ACATCTCCTCATTGGAGGAGTCAGCCATAAGGAAAGGAAGGAAGGATCTGCTTAATGGGTGCTTTCCATTTACTGGCACAAGTTGACACAAGTTGACTTATGTCGCCAAAAGTACTTTCCATTTGATTTGTGTCGCCGTGTGTCGGCAACACAAGTCGACTCGGGAAGACTCTGCTAGAGTGGTGAGTTTACGAGAGTATCTGTGTTCCATTTATTCGTTTTCGAGAGATGACACGAGTTGACACAACTCGACACAAAAGTCATGTAAATGGAAAGTACCCAATATTCTTTGAGACCTGATTCAGACCAACATGGACCGAAGGCAGCAAGCAGCTAGGATCGACCAATGAACAAGGTTCTTTAGAATTAAGTATGACGTCTACTCAATACTCTTTACGCATTGGTTGACGCTCGCTGGTTGGTGCGCGCCTGAATTAAGCCTGAGTTCCATTGTTGATGCTAAAACATAAAATTCTACTTTGAACTCCGCCGTGTCAAGAAATCATCGAGAAATAAAAAATGGTATGGCCAGCTTCATATTTCTATATGCGTGATCCTCAGCAACGGTGTGCAGAAGGTTTTTTTTTTAAATATTCCAAAGAAACCATGAGCCCCTAAAACTTTGAGTTCGTTCATTTGTAACACCAAAAAATTACCCATTTGTTAAGCAGATATTGAAGACAACAAAAAAATCAAACTTTCTGCGGTCAACTTCACGGTGAAATTTTGTTTTTGATTTTCCGAAAAACTTTTTTTTTTAATTGTTGAGCCAATTACCACCAAAAGACAATTTAGAATGTATTCCGAAATTTACTGACATTACTGTAAAAGTAATTACATCTTTCTTAGATGCGTATGGATGAATAAGAACACAGCGTTGGTCACAGTACTGGCAGTAATATTCGCAACATACCTGGAATAGAACAAGCTACATTTTAATAAGTCGAAATTGTAGTGCTAACTTCACATAGGTCAGCGCGTCCCATCGTAAAGGAGCTTTGCCCAATCATCAAGTCCGTCTCGGCGAACGCACGGAAATTGACAAATCCGGTGTAACTTTCGTTTCTCACAACCAGCTGCGGCGTTGTAGTCGAACGCGACATAAACCTACCCAACGACGAAAGGCACTTCCTATGTCCACCAGCCGTCCGTCGAGAAATCGAATTAGAAACTCTCGGGTCGATCGTGCGGTACGCGTTCGTGTCGCGCCAATAAAATCCACGTAGAATCAGTTAAAACATTTAAAAGCATTAAAGAATCATTGGAACGTATCTTGTATGTCGTGGCAGCAGTTTCGCGAACGTCCCTCTGTTGCAGAAAAGTGCCGATGTGCTCGCTAATGAAATTCAAGATGTCCCAATCAACGCTCTTGTGTCCAAGATTTCCTCATTGTTAAAAAGAAGGGCGAGTTTGTCTGACAGTGATATTCGTAGAAATTTTAGTGAAAATCGTTGAATGAAGTGGATCATAGCTGTGCGATTATAGAAATAATTGTTTTCATTTGGATCCTGCTTTTGTCCAAAGGGAATTCTCTGCTATTCCTCGGTCGGTTATATCGAGGGACTGTTTGTCTTCTTACTCTCTCGCTTGCCCTCTTTTACATTCTTTATCTTTTTCCTCTTTCCCCTCTTCTCATCCCCTTTGAATATACCCCTCTTTACGTCCTTCCCTTCTCAGTCTCTCTCGTTCCTCTGCTACCATTTCCTCCGACTACACAACGAGCACAAGGAAAGACCTTTCTCATGTTTCTTTTTTTACTTGTTAAATGAACCGTAACAGCGAAAATATCCTGGTCATCCTGTTCCTCTGGTCTCTGAGTGTCAAAAGTAGTCAGTGGTACGGACGCAATTTTTGTTGACCGATTCTATACGGTCTATCTTTATTCTCAATGCGTGAACGCCAGCTCTAATTCATGAGTGTTGTCAATGTACACGCAGGCTGACATTATCGCCGACTCGACCACCAAGTGTTTTTGAGGATTCTCGTTGATATTTTAAACCAGCATGATGAAGAGCAGTGCACTGCCCAAGAAGGAAAGCAAAATGCGAATACGTGCTTTTCCGGTAAGAAATTCTTTCACTTTTATATTTATTCTCTGTTTTTTAATATGCTTATTTGTTAATAGCTCTCTTATCTTCTCGCTCTCTGAGCTTTGTGATTCTTATAAATTTCTTCTTCTCTATTTTTCTTATTAGTTTCCCATCTGTTTTTGAAAGTTTGTCATTTATTGTTACTTTGATTAATTACTTTTACTTTGATATACATATGCTATAGAAGTAATTAATTTGATTATTTACATACATTTGAAACAGGTTTATCATTTTATGGATGATCAGTGAAATAAGGATACTTTCGAGGACAATTTTCAGAATATATTGAAGTGTTATTTTCTGGATACGTATTATACATAAAACAGTATATTATTTAAATTCTGTTTATCTCGGAAATGTAAAGTGTGTCATAGATATTTATTACGATGATTCTGTAATCTTTGGTGAATAAATAGTTGTCCATGTTGAATATTTTACATATTCAATCTTGTTTGTATGATGCATCATGCTACTGTGTACAGTTATCGAATTCAGCCATCAGTTCTCTATAAATTCAACTTTGAGATTTCCAATCAATATGTAATTGGCTATTTTATTCCGACTTGATAATGTAACTATTAAATTGTTAGTGACAAAATACATAGTTATTTATATTTATTATTTTCCATGTTCATCATGTAATTCTTATATTGATGTAAATATATTGTCATCCTATATTTGTTAATAGACAGGCATGACAGAATATTTGTCATAGAGTGAGTGTTGTTATAGCAACAGAAGAGACAGCTGAAAGCTTGATGCCATCTTCACTTTTTCTTTTGCATCTAAGAAACTTTTTGTCACCTACAAAATTCTATGTTTGAAATGTAATAAGTGGTTTAAAATAATTTAGCTTGTTTGTCGAGTTGCTACCTACAAAATTTGTGTTTGCAGAAATTTGCAGTTAATTCAATGCTCGAAATGAAAAAGTTTGTGTAAAAATCTTCTATTTAATTATATGTCATTCACAACAAATTTCTTGTACAATTGGGTACCTGCAGCAATGTGTCAAAATTAATTGAAAACGGTATACTACTGGATTTATAAATAGCAATATGTTTCCTGTATTAGTTCATTCTTAATTATATAAGAACAATAATTGTTTTATCTTATTAGAAGAACATCCAACATTGTAACATCATGCTAAATCTCAGACTGCTAAGCATTGAATTTTAAGAGGTGAATGTCATGAATTTTTCTAATGTACACATACAACAATTGATTAAACGATTAAAAGATTGAAAAGAGTGTGAATTAGCAAGTTGCAAGAGAATCAATGAATAGAATCCTCAGAGAGAATAGTTTAGCTGATCGCAGCCCAAGAAATCATCATCATCAGAGATCTCAACAATTAGAGCAGCTGATTAATAACGTGGCACAATCAAGACGGACATCATGGAATACAATCAGTATAAACGATCTACCTTACAACATGCATCTGCAATCCTGGGTGAGATAACCCTTAATGCAGGGTTATTTCAGTTCATCTTCAGGCTTCAAGAACTCATTAGGGCAAACGACATTCTTATAACAATGAATGCAATATCGACTTCTACTTTTGGCTGAATTGATTTGTGGGTTAATTATATTTCTGATTAATTAAAATCAAATGGTATCTTCCTTTATTTCAGATGACTATGGATGAAAAGTATGTAGAGAACATTTGGACTCTATTAAAAAATGCCATACAAGAGATTCAGAAGAAGAATAACTCTGGCCTTAGCTTCGAAGAGTTGTATCGCAATGCATACACCATGGTTTTGCATAAATATGGAGAACGACTTTACACAGGATTAAAAGAAGTGGTAACACAACACCTGGAGAATAAAGTTCGCGAGGATGTCTTACGATCCCTCCACAATAATTTCCTTCAAACTTTGAACCAAGCCTGGAACGATCATCAAACATCAATGGTGATGATCAGAGACATTCTCATGTACATGGACCGCGTTTATGTGCAACAGAATGACGTGGACAATGTATATAATTTGGGACTTATCATATTCCGAGACCAGGTATTTTCTATATCGATTAGGACTTATACGTACTATCGTTCCACAAGTAAATAAGTCTATCTAAAAGATTTTTTTACATGAAAAGTCTTTTGAAGTTGGCCCCTGTAAAAGTTTATTTACTCGTGGACGAACTACAACTGTAATACAGACTGAAGTAACTCATGTATATTTCTCTCCAGGTCGTCAGGTACGGATGTGTGCGAGATCATTTACGCGAGACACTTCTGGGTATGGTGGCAAGAGAAAGAAGAGGCGAAGTAGTAGATCGCATTGCGATAAAAAATGCCTGCCAAATGTTAATGCTACTGGGAATTAACAGTCGTCAAGTTTACGAAGAGGATTTTGAGAGACCTTTCTTACAGCAGAGTGCCGAATTTTATAGAGTACGCTTTTTTTTTTTTAATTATAAGTATTTAATTTCAATCATCCCCATGATCAGAGTTTAACAAGTCGCAATAAAATTTCAGATGGAGTCACAGAAATTTCTCGCTGAGAACAGCGCATCAGTGTATATAAAAAAAGTTGAGGCTAGAATCAGCGAGGAATCTGACAGAGCGAAACATTACTTGGACGAATCTACAGAGCCACGAATAGTTGAGGTCGTCGAGGAGGAGCTTATAAAAATCCACATGAAAACCATAGTCGAGGTACTTCTGATAACTTTTAATTACTCTAATAAGTAAGTACAATGTTATGAATATTTACAATGGTTATTGATTTCTCTACAGATGGAGAACAGTGGAGTAGTGCACATGCTCAAAAATCAGAAAACCGAAGATCTTGGGTGCATGTATAAGCTATTCTCAAGAGTCACTGATGGTTTACGTACGGTTTGCGACTGTGTCTCACAGTTCCTTAGGGAACAAGGTCGAGCTATGGTACAGGAAGAGCACGAATCAACTACGAATGCAGTTCATTTCGTCCAGAACTTATTGGATCTTAAGGATCGTTTCGATCACTTCCTCCATTATTCCTTTAACAATGATAAACTATTTAAGCAGATGATTGCTTCCGACTTTGAACACTTTTTAAACCTAAATGCGAAGAGCCCGGAATATCTGTCGCTGTTCATCGATGACAAACTGAAAAAGGGTGTCAAGGGGGTTAGTAAGGTTTGCGAAATCGCGGCACATAGTTTTTATTTCTTATAGAGTCAGCTGTTGCTCTAATTCATAAAATTTTTACCGTAAGCACTCCAATCGATTGAATATTATATCATTGAGGATACATTTTTCTAATTGCAGATGACAGAACAAGAGATCGAAGGTGTTCTGGACAAAACGATGGTACTTTTCAGATTTTTACAAGAGAAAGACGTGTTCGAACGGTACTATAAGCAGCACTTAGCTAAACGGCTACTTCTTAATAAGTCTGTGTCCGATGACAGCGAGAAGAATATGATATCCAAACTCAAGGTGGGCTTTTAATATTTCTTATTAATTAATAGATGTCAAACACACAGCACATAGGCATAAAGAGTACTTAATGGTGGGGAAAAGAAATAGGGAATGACGGCTTATTTAAATTGACTAGTTTCGATAGTCACAGGGAGCGTTCAACGTAGACTTGGACATCTTGATTGCCATGAAAAAGCTGACTCCCGATCCGCCTAAAGATTCCTTGGAGAGTGTCTTCCTCAGAATTCAAAATGCTCCTTATAAGGAAAAGATAGACTAGCACTTCCCGCTTTCTTCCCTTTTTCCACTCGCATCCTATTTGCACAAAGTAAGTGTATGCTTTGTAAACCATGCTGAATGCCCAACGTTTAATATTTAGAATTCTTGACTAAGGAACACTTCACGATCTCTGTCAGTCTGACTAGAAGTGCAACTAGTGTGGCCGGGGTGTTGAATTTTTTTATTAACGCCACTTGAAATGCTTGCCTTGGAGTTCCGTATGGTTTAACGAAGCTCACACTTTCCTGTACGCGGTGGAATTTCTTTTGATTGTTGTAAACATGGTGCTACTGCAGGACTTCATGGCATGCAGCAAGAAAAATAGACATTCTTGTTTCAAATTTAAACACGATTTTATCTGATTTCAATTTTTTTTAGACCGAGTGTGGATGCCAGTTTACCTCGAAATTAGAAGGAATGTTTAAAGACATGACTGTGAGCAATACTATTATGGAAGAATTCAAGGATCATATTATTCCATCTGGTGTAAATATTATTTTTTTTTAATACTATTATTTAGTATATCTCACATTATTTGTAATCTAACAAAATTAAACTATTGATTCCTTTATGTCATAGTCAAGTCTGCATGGAGTTGATCTAAGCGTGAGGGTGCTAACCACCGGTTTCTGGCCAACCCAATCTGCTACACCCAAGTGCAGCATGCCCTCAGCTCCACGCAATGCCTTCGAAGCTTTTCGACGGTTCTACCTTGCCAAACATAGTGGTCGTCAGTTGACCCTGCAACCACAGTTGGGTCAGTAAACTTTTTCCTATTAATATAAAGAACTATAATCGCGATAATATACATATAACATGTTTTATTGGTTGTTTTCAGGTTCCGCGGATCTCAATGCTGTGTTCCATGGACCTCGTAGGGAAGAGGGCAGCGTCGGAGGTTTGGATACACCATGCTCATCAAGTTCCATGGGTGGTAATGGAAGCGGTAATCTTAGTGGTAGTAGTAGTCTCATGAGCCAGCGATCAAACGGCAGCGGAAATGCAAGGAAGCATATTATTCAAGTATCGACATACCAGATGTGTGTTCTCATGCTTTTCAATAACAGGGATCGCTGGACATATGAGGTTTGTCTTTTATTTTTCGTATTGTCTGTTGCTACTAGCTTAAAATTGTATTTTTACAATCGATTTGAATTCCTCAGGAAATCCAAAGTGAAACGGATATTCCTGAAAGAGATCTGGTTAGAGCATTGCAATCTCTTGCAATGGGTAAGGCAACTCAACGTGTTCTTCTGAAACATCCACGAACTAAGGAAATCGAACCCTCGCACTGTTTCTCTGTGAATGACAGTTTCACCAGCAAATTGCACAGGTAAATTTTTGTAGACAATTCTGTTGGATATTATTCTGTTCTGAGTTCATAAAAAAAATTGCTCATTCCATACTAGACCAATTCATATTTAAAGAAAAACGTAATAAATTTTGATTTAATAATATTAGACGAATGACTGTCTTGTCTTATTTGAGAGAGCTCATATACACTCCATTGATAAAAGTTTACTGATTTGTCAAGAGTGAAGATCCAGACGGTAGCTGCTAAAGGCGAGTCCGAACCCGAGAGGAGAGAAACTCGAAATAAGGTCGACGAGGATCGAAAGCACGAAATCGAAGCTGCAATAGTGCGCATCATGAAAGCTCGTAAACGAATGGCTGTACGTATAGAAATTCTGATAAACTTCTATTACGACCACAGTTGATTTTGAAGAAAGTCAAGTAAATGAAAACATTTATCCTCAGCACAACATTCTTGTCACGGAAGTGACGGAGCAGCTACGAATCCGGTTCCTACCTTCACCCGTTATTATTAAAAAGCGCATCGAAGGCTTAATCGAACGCGAATACTTGGCACGAACTCCTGAAGATAGGCAAGCTTTATATCTATTACTTATTAATATACAGTACATGATATCACCTTAGCTATTTATATTAACGTAATCTCGTTTTGTTTTTCTATTACAGAAAGGTGTATACGTACGTCGCTTGAATGCGTTCCCCAAAATATCTTCAGATATGTACAAACGTGTAAGTAATTAAGTTATATTTAATTCCTGATTAAATACAAAGGGACTTCTTATCTTCATTTCAATTATATATATCGCACGAATATCTTCCTTTCCTGCTTTCAGAATCTGCCAGGCTTGGATCGTAATAATCCTAGCTCGCGTATAGAATTACGATAAGGTCTCTGATTTTACATCACTACTGTCGATAAATTTAATTATAACAGATTTAAATTATTCCAAATGTAATAGCAAATATATACTTTTTACATATTACTACCCCTAGCCCTCCAGACCCATCCCTAGAGCGACTTTTCCAAACATTTCCTCGTTCTACCCTCCCCCCAACCACACCCCACTCACCCAAAATATCTCTCAAGATGCAACATTACTTTTACGAAAACAACTCAATTCTTTTCTTGAGAGATATAGAGAGCGTGATGACGCCAATGTAAATGCTAAGGCGTATGAAAAAAAAAGAAAGAAATTGGATGAAAAAAGAAGTGAAAAAAAGAAGCGAATTAAACGTTTGTCTGAAGGGCGCATGCCTGGAATTTATTTAAACTATTGTAAGTAATAAGGAAAGAAGTTGTATCAATAAATGGATTTAAATATATATATATATATATATACATATATATATATGTATAGGCAGCTACACGACATTCCCAAGAACATTAGTTAACTGCGTGGACATAACATTTTTCCGTGAGGGTTCTGCAAATTTAAATGAATTTTTCAGTAGGTAATTATAAATAATTTTTCTTGGACAAATTGATCTTATCAATATTATTTCTCTCATTAAAACGATACATCGAATTCAACAGTATTAAATTTTACAAGAGGTTGCATTTCTGTTAATTCTAGATTAAATTGATAAATGTGTTAATAGAATGGTGATAAAATCATTTTGTGATATGATTATTATTTTACACGTGAATGATAACGTTTCCATCATTCATTCCTCACCATCGGGGGATCACGCTACGTGTTAAACGATTAACTATTTGGCACTGAATCATTCTGCGATTTATCTCTGATACCATTTCCAGGAGTTTAAATCCGGCTTACGATTGGCTGTTGAATGTCATTAAGAAGCTCAGGAATTATGGAGTTTTGCTGGCAAAATTATATACATCCAACGAATAACATGACTCCAAAATTTATACTGTGTGTTACATTATCAAATTCATTGTATGGATATGAAATTCAAATATGAGTAAACTGTCTCTCTCTCATCTTCAAATGGATTTCAGTGCAATGGAGTGCCCTAGACATCACACTTTACTCTTGGATCATTTATAATATAATTATAATTCCATTCGCTACCAAGGCATTGATCTTAATCCAAATATTGCGCTATTGTTAGCTAATTTTATAAGAGACTCGATAAGTCCCCAAATAATAATAAATCCCCAAACTACGTGTTTGATTCAGCATATTTTTTAAGTAACAATTGTCGATTGCATGGCGGAGAATTGTAATGACGCTTGCGCTTTAACATTATGTTCGACACCTTTGCTATGGCTTATTAATGTATTGTTATACATGAGTGTCTATTTACTGTTTAATTATGTGCACTATGTCAACACTTCTTCTTTCGAGTAACCCACATTGCGAATAGTAACGATAGTTAGCCAAAATTTACTCGAATAGAGTTGTGCACATACAATGTAGAGTGAGGTGAGGAATATAAAGCAAAGGGAAAGGGATACAATGTTATAGGACAGTTTAAATTAATAGCGTGAAAATTATAACGCGTGTTGAATTGATATAAAATAGAGAAGACAAATTCAGACAACTACGGGTTGTCATTAAAATGATAGAAAGCTTTCGCTATTGTATTTTCATTGTCGAATGAATAAGATAATGCAAAAGCGTCTAGCAGAACGAACTAGCGTATACATTATCATGAAATACATGCGTAGCAATCGAGCATAGACGGAAGTGGCCGAGAATAGCCGAGCAATTCCGAACAGCCTCGCCAGTCTCACCGGCTGCTTTAGTCCGATCGGTGCTCGACCTTGGTGCACTCATCTCGCGTGTCGCCAAGAGTTACCTTCGTCAAGATCGTTCCTGTAACTCAGCTCGTCGCTGATACCATCCTGAAACGTCCAGGATATAAGCTCTCCTGGTGAAGATGTTCTGGGCCAATCGCTGCTGACTCCGCCATTCAACACGTCCGCAGAACCGAACTTCCTTATTCGGCTGAATGCTGTTCTTCTTGTAAGTAAAACTCTCTGCTATTATAATCACAACTCTATTTTTATTTCTATCCTACCGGCAAGATCCTTATGGTCCTTGGAAAATATTGAAGAACATAAACGAAGCTATTTACACGCAACGAAATTCTAAGATGACATCTCTCAGGATAGACTATGCCAGGTTATACGATATTATGGTAATATAATACAGATACACTCCCTGGTCTTAACGTCGATGTTCTACTGTCTTTCATCGACCCGGCAGGGAGCGGTTACATGGAGATCTACCTGCCTTTTACTTAGTTACACCTTAGTCACTCTGTACCTCGTGGTTCAATAGGCACGCGATATGCTGTGAAAAATAATCGAAGGCTGCCGGCATGGGTGACTGCGTACTTAAGCATCACCCTAACAATACAGAGGTTACTCTCACTGTTCAGGGTGACCGCATGTAACAAGACTGCAGGGCATTCTATGCGCACGCGAATCTCGGGCAGGATGTAAGATGCCAGTGACATTTAAAGCATTTGGCACGCAGCTCGCTCGCGCTATTTTAACACCTCCTTGCAACATGTCTTCGCTCTTGTCTTTCGACAAGGTATAGAGGAACTTTATGTACAAATTTCGCCTGATACTCTTTCTTTGGCTTTTAGAAATTTGTATGGAATTCTACATTCTGATAGCACTGATGGACTTGATCCACTTGCAAACTATGTCAGTGTTATCTAGGTTTATTGATAACAGTGCTTTACTGAAATTATCTAAGTTGTGGATTAGTAGTTTTCAATTATTCCACGGCAGATGACGTCACGGATGCTTGTGACACGTAATAACGGATTACAACGTTACGTAATTCCACGTGCTCGCTCTGTCCACCAAGGTCAAATATTACGTAGCGCGAGACTCGCGGGTATCGTCATTCAGATACAACTGGATCGTGCTAGACATTAGTTCGCACGTGCTAACGAAGATTAGACTGCGTTGCTACTACATTCTACGCATATGTCTATTTAGAGATGACTGAAAGTAAATTTAGTACGTGCTTCAGGCATTGATTAGGTATTAAACTGGATGAAAGAATTTTCTAACTACCGTGCTGTGGTGTTGTCAATTTATTTTTTCGTTATGTTTCTTCAATATTGTCTATTTGTTTTATTGCAGATCACATTAAGGATATAGAAAAATATTGGGATTCAGGATGGCGAGCTTAAGATATCTTGTAGCAGGTGCTAGTGCTATCGGTGCTGGTGCCTTCACGTCGTACTTCCTTGTAACCGACTCCACCGTAAGTACGTTTATCGCTCTGCGCACTCTTTAAATCGCCGGCAAATAAATTCTCGAGCGATTCGACTTACACTTGGCGCGATCAGTTTTTCTGAGCTCTTAGCATTTCGTTATTTCGCTAAGTGACAGTTGTACGACCATGGCAGTAATAGTGAAACGAGAATGGATAAGGACGTCCGGTAAAATTTATCTAGAAACTAAACCACATTATTCTTTTTTATTTTATATAAAACTTGTCGACATTCAAAAGATGCCCTCGCGGGTCAGTCATACGGGTTAAAGAATTTCGATCGTGATTGGCAGAAATTTTCAAGTCGAAGAATCTAGACCAATGAAAAGTCGGACTTTTCGATCGGCGCGATTAGTCCAACTAACCTCGAAAGGTATCCTCGAGCATTTCTGAATTATAGATTCACGGTCAAACGTGCGTGATTGGACTAAACGACCTGGAAACGAGTGTTAATAGTTTTTTTCCTAGCTGGTTACGGTGAATGTTCTCAGTTAATAATAGCACCTCCGGGTTCATTTTACGAGTCTACCCGTAAAATGGCTTATTGGTATTATTATCCAACCGAATTTCATGGTCGTTCAAAAAGCAGACGGCTCTTGATATTTTATCAGAGTTTATCACAAGATTCACTGTCTGGGAGGTAAATTACTAATAAGCTTTCACTCTCAATAAAATGTTGATAAGACGGGGGTCTACATTTCGTCTGTTATCTAGCTTAATGTCGACACTCACGCTCGTACTTTGTTCAGGTTTCTGAGTGGTAGACATGCTAATCGGGTAAAGATAATTTGAATAAGGTATATTTTTAATTTATGAAACCTAAATGAGACGTCCAATAGTGTAAAAAAGTACGGAATTAACTTTCCATTTATTCTTTCGTCTTGTAATTGATTATTCGAGTATTTATATTACTCAAATGCGAAACCATTCTTTGTTCGCAAATTCAACGAACTGTACCTCTTCATTGCTCAGGATAGAAACCGCCGTGCTACTTGACTGTTTAAAAGTCGCTGTAACAGTAGAGTTTTTTACGTATGCGTTTCATCGTTCCGATCTCAGCCCATATACATATAATAACACACATTTAATATGAAACGATGACGTCATCACGAGAATAAGTATATCGCGTTCGAGTTTCGATTTTACTCCAACTATTTTTTTTATCGACCACCCATAATGCAGGATCGATTCTTTTCTTCCATATACCATTTCAGATGGTAATACTGATTCCCATTAGTTTCGATGAAGTAACGCTGATGTTTGTTCTGTATCCACTTGTTACCCTTACGGAAAAATACTGTCAAACTTTCAAATAGTTCTTAACAGTTTCCTCCAATAGTAATTTACGCTTACATAACAATATTTTTCCTTGAGGGTATATTTAAGATGTGAATTTTGTGCATGCAGCAAGACAAAGACCCCTGTAGCAGGTACACACAGTGGAGGTGTTTATTGGGGCTATTCAGGTGAAACGTATTGGACTAGTTTTGACAGCTGTGACAAAAATTACATAATATTATATAAATGAAAATTAGTTATGTTTCGAAATCCATTGAAGTTGATGAGCAGCAAAGTTGGACGAGGGGATAAGCTGTTTCTCTTGTGTACATAACTTGCCATGAGTCTGTCTCACTCGCACTGACAGTAGACATTGGAAACTAGAAAGTCGATAGAATTAATCAGATGTTTTATACTAAGCAGCTACAATACGAATTGCTCGTGGCATGTTTATGTGGGTGATTAAAAATTTTTAAAAATTTGACTGCCATTTTATTATAAGTTATTGTCTAATAACGCTCGATCGAAGGCTGTGAAATCTATTTGGTACGTTTCAACGGAATATTCCTGTACAATCATATTATACATAAATGACTTTCTGTACCGAAGGTGTTCGCGGACGTGGAACAAAAATCAAAACCGACGAAGAGGCCTCTGCCAACGCGAGAGGACCAGGTGAAGACACTTAAATCCCAGGATTACGATATTCTGATTATTGGGGGTGGAGCAACTGGAGCAGGATGTGCTTTGGACGCTTGTACACGAGGTAGTACTTAGCGTTAAAATTTTTGTTGTGAACAGAAATCGTTTATTAATATTAATCGTATTCCTTTGTGTCCAGGTCTCAGGACTGCTCTCGTAGAGGGCGACGACTTCGCCTCTGGAACCTCATCTCGTAGTACTAAACTTATACATGGCGGTGTTCGCTACCTGCAGAAGGCAATTATGCAACTGGATTATGAACAGTACAAAATGGTGAAGGAGGCTCTCCACGAGAGAGCATCTATGCTCAATAGTGCACCGCATCTTGCTCATCCTTTGCCCATTATGCTTCCCGTATACACGTACGTCTGAAAATCGCATTCCTGCAACGTATATGTAACGCCTGTCACGTGTTTGATAAGCACTTTTTTTGTAGATAATAACATGCGAGTATAGGAACAGCTTTCCACCGATTAGATAAGCCTGAATGAATTGCAGTCTGATTTTTTAAAATATATTAGTAGTGAGGATTAATAACTGACTGATAAGATAATCGCTCATGATTAAAACTATCTATTGGAACTTTACTATAAATTTTATAGGGCTTGAGCAAACCGATACCGAAAGTCATTGTACCTTTTAAGTTGTGTATTATTAATTTCAGTTTTAAATATTTTTCTGTAGATGGTGGCAAATACCGTATTACTGGTTTGGGATTAAGATGTACGATTTGGTCGCTGGCAGCAAGACTGTCAAATCTTCTTATTACCTGAGCAAATCAAATGCACTGGAGCTCTTTCCTATGTTGAAGGGTGATAAACTTACAGGCGCCATTGTTTATTATGATGGTTAGTACATAATCTTCAGAGGGAAAGTTTTTTTTGTCCGTTTTGTAACAAAAGATATTTTTGATCTTGGTCTTGTGTATGTACACATAAGTTTGGTTACAGAACTCAATTTTTTCTACAGGTCAACAAGACGACGCAAGGATGAATCTAGCTGTGGCTCTGACAGCATCACGTCACGGTGCTACTGTCGTTAATCACGTATCTGTCGTTAATCTTCTCAAAGGTCTAGACAGGGTATGTACCGCGCTGGCATCTATGCAATTTATCAGGAATTAAGTATAGTGAAATGATACATATTTTTTTTCAGGATGGTAAAAGAGTATTGACCGGTGCTCATTTGAGAGACGAGCTGACAGGAGAAGAGTGGGATGTAAAGGCTAAGGCTATCATTAATGCTACTGGTCCATTTACTGATTACATCCGAAAAATGGATGATCAGACTGTTCCAGAGATCTGCTGCCCTTCGTCCGGTGTTCATATTGTACTGCCTGGATACTACAGGTACACTGGGAATCCTTGTATTGTCACGATTCCTCTAGACGCAATAAGAGAAATAGATGATTGAGTCTGTATTTGAATGTAGCCCTGAGCAGATGGGTCTATTGGATCCAGCGACAAGCGACGGGCGCGTCATCTTCTTTTTGCCATGGCAAAAACAGACCATTGCTGGCACAACTGATCTACCTTGTCAGGTGACGCACAACCCACGACCCACTGAGGATGAGATTATGTTCATTCTTCAGGAAGTGAAGAACTACCTGAATCCTGACGTTGAAGTGCGTCGAGGCGATGTCCTTTCAGCTTGGAGCGGTATCAGGCCTCTTGTGTCCGACCCAAATAAACCCAATACTCAGTCCCTTGCACGTAACCACATCGTCCATGTCAGTCCCACAAATCTCATCACTATTGCTGGTGGGAAGTGGACCACCTATCGCGCGATGGCTCAGGAAGCTGTTGATGCTGCAATCGAGGGTAAGTTCTCAAGTGATACTCTTAGCCTAATGATAAACTGACTCGTGTTATACATCCACAGCATGCGATTTGAAACCGGAAAGACCTTGCCAGACCGACGGCTTCCTCCTGGAAGGAGCTCACGGTTTCACTCCCACAATGTACATTCGACTAGTCCAGGACTTCGGATTGGAATGCGAGGTAGCTCAGCACTTGGCTCAGAGCTACGGTGATCGTGCCTTCGCCGTCGCGAAGATGGCTTCGCTGACAGGCAAAAGGTGGCCAATTATCGGAAAGAAAATTCATCCTGAGTTCCCTTACATCGACGCCGAGGTACGTATAATCATCATTGACAGAGGGTTAACGCTCCCCTAGATTACGCTTCTAAATAAAATCCTTCTATATTGCCAGATACGATACGGATGTCGCGAGTATGCAAGGACGGCCATTGACATGATCGCACGTCGTCTCAGACTTGCATTCCTAAACGTACAGGCTGCTCAAGAAGCTCTGCCAGGTATCATCGACATCATGGCAGAAGAATTACATTGGTCGGCCGATGAAAAGAAGAAGCAAAGCAAACAAGCTAGCGAATTCCTCGCTAACGAGATGGGACAAATGGTTAATCGTGCCTCCCGTGACAAGATCCCAATTAATCTCACCAAGGATGAAATTCAGCTGTACATCAAGCGTTTCCAGATCATCGACAAGGATCGCAAGGGATACGTTTCCATCAACGACATACGACGTGGCCTTAAGGTTTACTCTTTAAATATTGAAGCACAATTATTTGGCTCCAACACTTCTTCTTTTGACAATATTCTTTGTAGCCGATATCACTGCGCGTCTCGTACAATTGATAATTTACTTTTAATTGTGCACATTACTTCTTTTAATTTTTGTTATCTTCACGCGCCTTACGCAATTCTTGAAATTCAGGCACTCGGCATTAAACTGAACGAGCACGAGATACATACGTTACTCAACGAAATTGATCTGACCTACAATGGACAAATGGAATTACAAGATTATCTTCAGGTAATTGTCAGCTAGATATTACGTAACAGATTTTTCTTTCCCTTTCGCAGCTCTTTGGCGACAAGGAAGTTCCGGGCGAAGAGCTTCACGAAATACTTCGCGAAATCGACACTAATATGAACGGTCAAGTCGAGCTGGACGAGTACCTTCAGGTCTGTCAGAGTCAGCTTCATCGTGATCATCAGTTTCTTACCCTTTCGAATGATCTTTCCTGTTTTAATTTTTCTATGAATTGGATCGAATGGTCAAAGTTGCATTTTGCTTGTTAACTTGCTCGTGTCTCTTTACTAAGTTCACTTTACTTCTAATTTTGTAGCATATCTCACGAGAACTTTTTCTCTTGGCGATGCTCACAGAGATCTCTATTAAATGTTCTTAAGTCATTAACGTGTTTCCATAACAAGAGCACTTTTCTACCTGGGATTTGGAGTCATATATTTGTAATTTTTATTACTTCATAATCTTCGGCTATGATGTTTCATAGCTTTATATGGATACTATTCGAAACTCCGTAATCCAAGTGCTCTCTTCTCGCATAACTAAGCTGACGCTTGACAAAGTAATTTTTTTATTCTGTTCTACACGTCTTGCTTGTAATTTATAATTGCATGGTTTGATTATCTTGAGTGCACGCGCACCGTCAGGCGATGACACGTGCTTCGATTAACTAACCGAAGCTATACGAAGATGAAGCTCCTCTTCCGCCCTGGTCGTGCCGCTAATTTTGGATTACCTGTTTTTTCTTCAATTAGACGAACAATTAAAATATTTTGCGCGTTGTTTAAGTGAACGATGATGTGGATACACCTACAAGTAGATGCTAGCGTCGGATAAAGAAAACAAATTTTTAGATTAATTATTTCTGACAGGGTCAGCTGACATTCTCATACTAGGTTGTGACATTTGAAATGACAACACATGCGTAAATTTATTTTTTAATCCGCGAGCAATTTTGCACACTTGATAAAAGTCATGTTTTGGATAATGGGTTTATCGGTCATTGCCTGATTTGTCATTTTATGTTGTAAATGACTATGTGAATGACTCTTTGAAATATTTGTCGCATCTGTCTCGTTATCTTTGTCGTCATCGTTATCGTTATCTCTTACATTCTACGTCTCTTCTCTTATTATCGCTAGGCATTACTACTTGCTGCGGTAGGCTTTAATAATACGTATTTGCGTAGAGTATTAAAATTTTCATTTAAACTTTCTCAGGTGAGAGAAAGTCACTTTAAATATTACTTTGAAATGCTTTCACATTGCTGACTCCAAAGAGTTGTCTTAATCTTTTTTTTCAAGGGTATATACGAGTTTAGTAATTGAAATAAAAATTTATTTACTTCACAGATGATGTCAGCTATAAAATCAGGACACGTGGCGTACTCGCGTTTTGCAAGAATGGCTGAAATGGAAGAAGCCCAGCACGAGAAGGATATGCTGAAGAAACAAATCAGCGTGGAAAGATCAGGCGGCGGTCTCTGAAGAGTCTAAGACGAGAGAAAGAACAGAAATCACACGAGACATCTCTGAACAATACAATCATCCTTCCTGTAGTGTCCACGATCTCTCATAACTGACTTACTATTTATTATCGATTCCTACCTAAGTATGTCTCGACATTCTCGACACTACTCTACCTAATTTTTCATCCTCATGTCATCATGGTCTACTCTATACTATTAGCTCATTTACTAACTTTCTAAATGGTTCCTTAAAGAATCAATTGATTCATAGTCAAACTATTTTGCGATTCCTGATCGCATATTCACGTCATACGAATCACGGTGGCAAGACGCGAAAATGGAAAAAGAATATAGAGGTGAATACAGCGACGTATTCTATACGTATACGGGATGAACCGTAATGAAATGAGCGTATGTGCATATATAAAATGACGACATTTGTGGGTACGTATAAAAAAATCTTAACGCGAAAACATAAGAAATGGTATGCGCGATATATTCGTCGAAAGTTTTGTTAATATGCAAAAGAATTATGCGTGTACATACATATGAATCGTCGTCGCTGTTGCACGAGTGCATACTAGAATAATAGAGTATCTCTCATTTAGGATAATTTATTCTAATGTGATTATCATGTAATTAATAAAAACCTGCTGTACATTAACTTTGTCAAATGTATTGATTATAATTCGATTTAGTTTATTTTCCTTGTGATTTAATGATAAGGTAGAAAATAGATTGTTTCTACTTGGAGCAACACCGTTCGTCGATAAGGTAGATAGCGCTGCTTGTTATCGACTGACAATACCGGCGCTGTCTGTACATAATTGAGCACAATGAGCGCGCACGTTATGATTTTTTACTCTGAACAAAAAATGTGGTACCTAAATATTGAATGCACAAAGCTGTTATACAGCTGCAGTGCTTTTAATAATACACGGTAAGAGTTGGATGGGGTAGTTGGTCAGTAATTGAGAGCCTCTTTCCTTCTATAGTCTAGTTTTGGAAGAAAAGCTTTTTAACGGACCTAATGCTGGTGGCTTTTACGCCACACTTGGAAAAGCCAAAGTTTTTCTGAAAGACAACATATGTGGGTGTGTTGGGGGCGGCAAGTCGCGGGGGCAGAAACTCGCAAATGAACGCAGGGAAGGCGTTCGAAAGTTCCAGTATCCGGGCGGGCGGGCCACCCCTGACTTCGACTTAACTGCCAGCGCTGCCAGGAACGAGCCACGAGCCCCGCCTCCGTTGAATTCCCCTCGAATTCCCCACGACTTCCCTACGGCTTCCCAACGACTTCCTCCCAAAGCTCTCGACCGACCACCCATGAGGTTGGTTCATATGCCGTCATTCTATTCACTTTTATTCTTCCTTCCATTAACCTTTATTTCAAACCTGGCTCATTTTCTTCCACTTGCAAGTTTCATCCTGATCTACTTGCCAATTTTTAAATTTATATCAACATATATCATTACTGCCAATCTTCCTGATTCCTTGCTTGTGTACTCGATCTGGTCTTCTTCATGTTCGCAAAGACGTTTGTGATTTACGAAGCATGCTAGTCAAGTTTTCTAAGGAAAGTCATTACGGCAAGGTTATGGAGACTTGCGAAATTTTATGAGACTTTGAGGACCATTACGTAGGTGTCAGGGAAATTCAATGAATTTCAAAGACTGACAGAAATTTGTGTAGTTGTGTTGTTACATGGGTTGTGCGCCCATGTGAAGGCGCTATTTATGTATGGTTAGTTGGCGTTTTATAGTTATGATAACTAGAAATTTCTCTGAGTTAAGGCATAGAAGCACCTGTGAGTATACGATATTCATAATATCAAGTTATTGCGGTGTTTTGCTAATATTTTATTTTATTTATAACTTTACAGAGATAGAGAGAGAGGGAGAGAGAGAGAGAAACAACAAAGGACAGGCCTGAGTTTATTACTGGTCTTGAGAGAAACGTAACTTCAAGGAGAGCCAAAGAAGTCTAGTCTGTCTTTTTCGAGAACTTTTATGGTACCTAATCGTTCCGTTATTTGGGTCTGCGTCCTTGTCACTAATTACATTTTATAATAGTCCGTGTTGAAGCTACTTTCCATAGGAAGAACAGTTATTAAGCGTAAAATTACCGCAAGATTTATTTAAATCAAAATCATGGACCATCAATACACAACAGACTCTTTCATCCGAATAGATTGTGAATGGATACAAATTGGCATTCCAATTTTCTTTAAAAAAGTTACGAATCTTTTTAAGCATGATATCCTCAACTGATACGAGTCAAGATTTTTCTATGATTAGAATAAATCCTAATTATCACTGAAGTTAAATAAAATCCAATGAATCAGGTATGTAGAGAAATATTGATAAATTACTTAGCAGTTTCACAAGAGCTTGTGATACCCCTCGAGATGATTTTTCTTTTTTTTGCAGTATCCCTACGCCACTGGACATGTGAACCCTGCTGCTTCAGGGGATCATATAGTGAGTGGGGCTGGTTCTGTCTAACTGAACCCGCCCCGTTTCATCACACGTGGGACTTATCGTGAAATCGGGTAACGCAGGATACGCCACTTGATCCACTTCTTCGTCCTAACACCAGAGACTTCAGGTAGACTGATGCGAGTATCGTAGTTCCTGAATGTTCTACGCTACTGCTTGCACTCCATGCCGTTCATCCGTGATTCTAGGGGCGGGTTCAGGTAGACAGAGCCGGCCCCGTTGTTCATATGTGCTTCACTGTATGTACAAACGTATGCTTAAAACGTAAGAAAGAACGTGTCATACCAGTGGGCGTTGTTACGCGTAGGCGCTGAGCTAACGAAGAGTATGAGAATTCACTGCGAAAATTCTTGTCTCGCTAAATACTCTAAGTTCCCCAAGTGAACGTTCCTGAGAAAGGATGATTATGATGCCTTGGTTCTAAACAGGAACTGATCCAAATACCTATTCTTTAGAACAGTGAAAAGTATTTTATAAAAATATACACAAAATCGTGGGCGAGTAACGAGCATCTACAGTAAAACATAAAACTCGTAACATAACCTCTCATGATCAGAGGTAGAAAAGTACTGGATGATCCAGCTGCATAAAGTTTCACCGTTTGTGTTGCATGTTGGTAAAGCATAGGAGCGTTGAGCGTCAAGGATGAAACACGCAGTGGGAGGAGTAGGGGACGAGCCAGGTGGTCCCAGAACTCTAACCTGGCCTCTCTCGTACCCGGCCTTTCCAAGGGCGTCTACACTGGGGGACGCCTGGTGCCCTTAATTTATCTCAAACTTTTTTGTATAATATCACCCGTACGATATATTCCACTGAAGTTTTGTTAACGTTATCTAAAACGTTATTTAATTTAAATTCATCTCATCTGATTATTCCAATTAAACATTAAGCTATTGACACTGACGCTTCTTATGCAGTCATTATATATTACATTAAGATCCTACTGGGTAATCAAGTTTATCTCGTGTGCTTGCAGCTTGCAGTATCCACTGTCATTTCTAGTCACGTTGGATAGTCTATTGTAGACTCCCTTCTCCAGCCCATCGTACCCGCATCCAATGCCACGAGGGTACCGCGTCCCTTTTACTACTGTGGATGACTACTTCGAGGCACTCCTCTACGGGAGCTCGAAAATGCAGTGGCGCAGGAACTGCTAAAGTACTGGATATTCTATATTATCCTGATTTATGTAGTGTGTATCTCACAATACACGTAAAGTACATTTACGTATTAGGTTACATACAAGTCATGAACGAACTAGGAAAAGTTTTACGCATATAATTGTCATCAAATTATTATGCTAAGTAAAATTTTTGTGAATATGACATAGTAGTGCAAGTCGAATAAACATTTTTGACTACCTAGTAAAATAAAAATGTCAAAGGACCTTAGAGTATTTATACTCGTTGAAAAACTGATTTACAAGGTAAAAGTCGAGTTCGACGCTTCGCTCAGAGCCGTCCAAGTAGTTCTGGTAGATCGCTCGATTACTGTTCTACCACTTAAGGCGCGCATGCGCGTTCGGGTCTCTACTCATATCCCAAACCCAACCTAACCTATAACACATCAGAAATATAAATGCAAAGGGGTAAGAGAGAATCAATGAATTTGTATTGTCAATTAAAATGTAATTATGCATTTTCGAATAGATGAGTAGATTCGGGTTGATTGATAAGACGAAAATTGTAAGTACAACAATAAGAATAGACGGTTCAGGATGAAGAATAAAGGAGCGCGAGTCTCCAAGGGGCGGTGGCATAAATGCTGCTCCTTCCTCCAGGGAATCAGTACAGAGTTTTCATGACGAGGTGATGAGGAGGTCGAGCTAGGGGCCGATGACGTTTCGGTGGCGGGTGGATGCTCGCGATGTTGGCCCCTATCATTGGGGGGATTGGCCCCCCGACGGGGGTGGGCGGCCAGCCGCCCCTGCGTACGCCCCTGGGTTCCGAGTACGGGCTGGCGTAACTAGGGGCCACCAATCAGGGGGCGCTTTGGAACCAACGCTGGCCTCGGTGACGCCGAACTTTCCACGCGCACCGCCCAACACCAAAGTAGTTCCCTACCAGCTAGCTGTGAGCACGTTTTTACGAGCGACTGCGTCTTAACGTCTCTACGGTGTAGTTACTTCGAACCTTTCGTAGCAGGAAAACTCAAGTTTCAGGAGCCGGAAGAAGAGCGTCGCCAGTGGTGTTGTTGTATTATCGCATTCCTGGAACAGTTGGCATTCTGTATAACGACAATGACGTTCTCAGTGACTCGCCGTATAATTCTCCTTGTGTGCAAGTGCTCCGCCTTCGAGGTGTCGCGAGAGAAGTGGTAAATTTGGCGGCAAGTTTGAAACACGCGTTCGTGTCCTTGTAAACATCCTGCCGATGACTGAAAAATATATGAGATAATATCCGTAGCTGTGAAATAATGAACAGTGCGATTAAGGATAGCTAAACTGGAAGGATATATTAAATCTTGTATAAAGATTTCTAAATATAATTCCAGATTTGTATCAAGTCGTGCGGAACACGCGGTTCTTAGCGAGTGTCGATTGTCATATATCGATTGGCGAGGAGAAGACGGATACGCCGACGCTCACAACTCGAGAGTGCGCCGACGCACGGCGTCGTCTTTGATAGTGTGTTGTGTATGAACGCTACGTGTATGTGCATAGTGCGTGCGTATGACTAGACCAGCATAGTCGTAGCGTGGACAGCACATCGGGCTGTCGCTTGAACGATGGTGCGATTACAGCTCTGGTCATGGTTACGGCTACGGCTACTCTCGCGATATTCGGCTTAATCTTTATCCAGAAGAAAATAACGGTTTTTCATATACTCTACTCTGCTTAAGGAGTGTTTAATAAGCGTCCACGCGATGGCCACGGTCAAGATACAACCGAAGGTAAACTGATAGGTCTCTTGCAAAGGTGTATCGTCTAGGCTTTCGGCAGAGTTGAGACGTGTCGAGTGCCTTATGGTTTCTGAGAGTCTGAAAAGCAAGTTTAATAGCGATTACTTTTATGGTGGGCTATGGTGTTATACTTGTAGCTGGTTATAATGGTTGGTTGACTGGCTGTATTCAAAAGGAGCACGTGTCAGGCTTGCGAGTTAGGTGGAGTCCGATGGGCAAAGTGGGTGGAGGCTGGCTCGCGAGGCCTTTCGCGTTATCGTAGGACCGTGTTTGTGCGAGAGAGCTAGGCGAGTGGGCGGGTGGGTGTAGTATTGCGAAGAGCAGCTTATACTGGAACGGCGGAGTACGTGTGCGCGTCGAACCCTGTAGTGGTGTCCTTGCCTTGCCTTATACTGCCTCCCTTGCCTCGCCCCGCCAAACCCATCAGACTCCTGATCAGCCCCGGCCGTGTGCGGCTGTAAGCCAGCACTCTCTCCTCCTGTCCTCTTGTACGCTGACGGGTGGGGCTGCTGTGACAGGGGCGTAGGGAGGCGGTCCTCCATCGGGTCCCCTAGGAGGGCCCGCGCGTTCTCTCTTTGTCCCTCGTATCCGCGTGACAGCGTCGATATTAGGATAGTTGCTACCCCTTGGCTCTCTGCTATTATTGTTGTTCTTAGCTATTTGGTCATTTGTTCTTTTACGTTTAGAATACTGAGGATAAATATGGTATTACTTTCTTTTTTTAGTAATGAAGTATAAGACCAGACTGTCGACGAAGTTGCGGATTTGTTAGTATATGAGGTAGCTATGATAGGAATACTTTAATTCATCAGGTTCTTGCGTATGAACGTTGTGTAATTCGTTTTCTCGTGTTTTCGGCCAGGTAGCTACTCCACCTATGTCCATGGTAATGTAACATTATTGGTAGTGGAAATAATGTAGTCTGCGTTTGCGTTTTGTATATTTTGAATTTTTTTTTTATAAAACGGATGAGATAAACATGTTTTTCATGCGTGGATCTTGAGTAAATAAATTGTATGGTGTTGGTATGTAGGAGGTTTACTTTAATTTTGTTACGTTGCAGGAAGAAATTGATGAACAGGATCCGTTGCAAAACCAACCATCACAACAACAGCAGCAGCAACAGGAGGCCTCTGAACAACAACAGCTAGAGCAGCATCAACAGACAGTGCAACCACAAATAAGATTTTTAAGTGCGAATGTACTTCAGCAATTGCAACAACAGCAAGTCTCACAGCAGCAAGATGTTCAGCAGCAGCAATCACAGCAACAGCCGCAGGTCATTACGTTGCAGCAATTGCAGAATTTTGTGCCTTTACAAACACAGCAGCAACAGCATGATCAGCAGAGGCCGCAAACCATTTCTGTACAGGCTCTACCCCAGCAGTTCTTACAAGTATGTTGAGTGATAAAAAAAATCTGGTATTCCGCAGAATGTATCTATGACTGTAAGTTAATATTACTAAATTTCTGACGTTTTTTCAGAGCGCTCAGCTGGTCGGTAATCAAGCACAGGCGGCGATTCAACAGCAGCAACAACAGTCACAGCAGCAACAAGCTCAGCAACAAAATCAGCAGCAACAACAACAACCCCAGCAACAGCAACTGAGCTATAGCGTGATCCCTCAAATGCAAACTGTGAATATCGATGGGCAAGAAGCACTCTTTATTCCGTCTTCTGCTATGTCAGCAGCAGGCGGTCATCATCAGTCTCAACCAACAATGCAGTTTGCAACTGCAGGAGGGCAGCAGGTGCAACTCACTAGTCAGCAAGTGCAGCTAGCAAATGGTCAAACAATTATCACACCACAACCGGTCAGTCTCATCAGAGCACCAAATGTCTTTCCTACCTCGATTATCCAAAACATCGGGGGACAAACAGTTCAATTGCCAACAGGTATAATGGTTTTTCTTTTGTGCCCTGTCTCTTAACCTCTGTTTCCTGCTGTACGTGTATTATTCCACAATTTATAACAATGGTTGGGGTTGCTTCAATGCCTTATTCTCTTCTGTTATCAATTTGTTTTAAACATCTCATGTTTGTCTCTTTAACCAGCACCTGTTCATTATAGCGATGTATGAGGCGCATCATTTTTCCACGCTTTGCTTCCACCTAATTAACTATCGCCTTTTGTGTCTGTAACGACAAACGGGCAGATTCCAAGGCTAGCCTGGCTGTTTCAGGTCAAAGCGTACAAGTGCGACCGCTCCAGTTTCCGATGCAACATGTCCAGCAGACGGTACCTGTCCAAGTTCCAGTCACTGCCAGTAATGGGCAGACGGTTTATCAAACTGTACATTTTCCTGTGCAAGCATTGTCCAGTGTCTTCAATATGCCTACCACTCAAATGATACCACAGATTACGCAGGTAGGTCTTAGATAAATGAATATCAATTACCGTACGTTGTCGACGTCGACAATTTGAAATATATTTCAACGTGCGGAGCTTTTTATTTTCAGCAACTCCCTCAAGTAGCTCAAATTATCACGCCAAATGGGCAAATTCAACAGGTTCAAATAGCAAATTTGCCACAGCTTCAAGGGTTACAGGTAATATTCGATTTTTATATAAACCATAATTCAGGATTATTGAATCACCTGAGAATTGTTATACCCTGAGAATTAAAAAAAGTAAAATGGACAGAACCATCTTTAGGTGGTTCAATAGTGATCTATATTGTTTAAGAATAAGTTTTCAATGATAAATTGTTAGGGTCAACAAGTTGCACAACAAGTGGCTCAACAAGTGGCACAGCAACAAGCTCAACAGCAGGTAGTACAACAAGTTGCCCAGCAGCAAACCCAACAACAAGTTGTTCAAACGGTACAGCAACAACAACAGCAGCAGCAGCAGCAAGTCGCTCAAGCCCAGGTGCAACAACAGCAACAGCAAGTGCAACAGGTCGTACAGCAAGTTATACAGCAGCAGCAGCAACAACAACAACAGCAGCAGCAACAACAACAGCAGCAGCAGCAACAACAACAAGTTCAGCAAGTGCAACAAGCGCAGCAGGCTTCTACTCCCGCATCTACAGTATCAACTTGGACGACCACAGTTTCTGCTCCAAGTAACGTCCAGGTAGTGGTCCAAAATAATATTCTACACAATTCCTATTTATATAACATACTCTCGCGGTATTTCGATCCTATTTTCTTCACACATTACCGTTTTATATTTTATCCAGGTTGTTGGAATTGGATCCCTTGGGAGATCAGTCACCAGTGGTACGAATGTTTTGACGACGAAAGATGGCCAAAAAATTGATGTCCAAACAATATCTACCTTACCACGTCCACCAGAAACAGTAGAGGGTGACATTAAATTAACCAGCATCGATGCCAGCCAATTGGCCAGTGGCCAGGTGATACACATACCTGCACCACAGCCGACCCAGCAGACTATGCAGCCCATCACGATAACTGGAGCCCAGGGTCAACAACTTACCCTAATCCCTGCATCCGCTTTGACTAACCTGACAACCCAGCAAGGCGGCATGATGCGCGGTGTGGGTGTAGGCAGTGGAAGCATAATGCAATTGCAACATGCAGGAGGTATGAACGCTGCCAATGGATTTCTCCAGTCGATTCCTGTACAGAACATACCTGGCCTGGGAAACGTACAAGTCATCCCAGCGAGTGCACTTCAGCCTGCTACAATGCAGACTTTACCAACGGCAACAGGATCACCTATAGTAGGTACTCCTACGGCAGTTCACCTAGACCCAATCGACCCTACCAAGTGGCAGATTCTCCAGACGATACAAACCAACGGGACTCTTTCAACTCCAACACCTACTTCCCATCAGCACCAAGTGAACAGTGCTGGCACAACAACTGGTACTACACCGGCTACGGGGGATAACGATTCTAGTAAACAACATAGAAGACGCGTCGCCTGTACCTGTCCTAATTGTGGTGATGGCGACAGGTAATTTTTTCATTCCCGTCAGCTCAAAATATTTATAAACTCTATCGAATCAAGATACTTAATTATAAAATGTCTTCTCAGGAATCGGGATATGACTAGGAAACGGCAGCACGTCTGTCACATAGCTGGATGTAACAAGGTCTATGGAAAAACGAGTCACCTAAGGGCTCATCTTCGTTGGCACACTGGTGAACGACCTTTTGTATGCAATTGGATTTTCTGTGGCAAGAAATTCACTAGGTCTGATGAATTGCAACGGCATCGTAGAACTCATACCGGTGAGAAGAGGTTCCAGTGTCCGGAATGCACTAAGAAATTCATGCGCTCCGATCATTTAACGAAGCACATTAAAACGCATACGAAAATTCGCAGCACGGTAAGAATTTGGTTTTGTGTTATTCGTACTTTATCTGCTTATTTATTTTATACCATTCTTTGATATTTAACGTATTGGTGTCATTGAGGTTATGTTTTTTTGTTCAGGAGGCAGCGACGTCCACTCAGGAAGGATCATCAGATAGTCAATCTTCAAGCGAAGAGAAAATTATAATATCCTTGCACAAGGAAACGGAGCAGTCTGAAATGGTGATCACTGATCAGATAGAGAGCATGGAAACCCAGACGACGAATCATGTGCCGCTTGAATGAACATTATCAGTGCGAATGATTTGTGCGTCATTTCATGATTTCTTAGGACGAATGTAGCATATCGAACATACCATAACAAAATGCAGACTGCAAATGTAAGATAGATAGAAGGGTCTGTCATTGATTAAGATCATTCTGTCTGCTAATTATTATGTTCGCGGGACTGTTTATGACTGTCTGTGTAGAGACAATTGCACATAATCTATTTTTCTAACGAAACATGTAAAAATGTATATATTGTATATTATGGTAAGCGACCTTTTGCACAAGAAAATTTTGCAATTTTAAACGTTTGTAAACGTTATTATTTCTGGAATTTTTTTCCAGTTTTTCATTATTGATGTCGAAGTTTGTACAGTAACAAGAATATTGTGTTGTGTAATGTAACATTTTCGGCAGTGCGGCTCAGAACATGACTGTACGGATTATTGTATATTGTTAATCGAGATAATATATTGTTATACAGTAAAAAAAATTGTAAACAACGAATTGTGGTGAGAAGCGAGGAGGAGGTTGATAATTGATCAACTGAAAAATTCTCCTACTTTATTACGTTCAACAGAATTTTGTTAGGTGACTGTGGGAGAAAGAGAGAGAAATTGTTAAGCAATCGGTGCTAATTGTAAGTGGCTCATTTTGGAGTACTAGATAACTTCATGCAAATTTATTGATCCATCGATCAGTATCGATGAGCGTGGACCTATGCCAATCAGTTTTGTTTGGAGTTAAGGGGAAAAAAAGTAATAGAGAGTTTATAAGTTAAAGTCATTGATATTTATTCATATAGTATACTTTAATTAAACTGATATCTTGAATGCACATTGGAATGGAGTTTGATGCCTTGTCAATGTGCTTACAAGTAGGTCTTTTCCGCAACATACATTTAAATTGCAATAAATAAAACACTTCCATGATACGCTTATACAAAGTTTGTATATAAATTGCGAGGGTAGTAACATTATTTCTTGCTATAACTTATGTTGATAGATTTATCAAGTGATTTCAATTATAAAAGTTTGTAGGAATTCATAACACTGAGTTACTTTCAAATCATATTGGTAAGAGTTATTGCTTTACCATCCATATGTGTTGCGAAATTGAGCTCTTTGATCTGTACCCACAATACTTTTTGTCCTCTGGACATCTTAGTCTTTCGAATTTAACATTTAGAATTATGACCTTACTTCTAAGAGCGAGTGTATTTTCCCCAAATGTGAAGCATGAATACAGAGGCAATGAAGAGGAGGGACATGACGAGTACTGGAACAGGTCCTCTGCAAAAATAAATGAAAAATCATAAGAGTGGGATCCAAGTAGTGAAAAATCTAGTAACAAAAACCAAACTCACACTTTAATTCCAGGAGAATCATCTGTATAGAATCTCCACATTCCGCCAGAGCTCGTGCCTGTATTCCTATTCCTGGCAGAAGTGGCAGGTGCTGTTTTTCTCTGCCTGACAGTTCCGCTGCCACCAGCTCGCGGTGCAACCGCCTTGCTAGGTGAGCGACCTCCTGCTCCAACAGATGTAGAACTCGGTGCAGCAGGCTTTGTAACACAAAAACAAAGTAACAATCATTAGAATGTAAGATTCTCACAATCTACAGTCATTCCAGTGTCTTAATGACTTTAAAATCTCAATACCATATTGTGGATACTCACCATAGTTCTGGGTCACTGTTGTTCTTTGAACCTTTTAAAGTCTTTGAAGTTTTTCAAAATACTTGTTTTACACGAGTAAAACAAATTTATCAATGCCGTAACAGTTACTTCGATCCTCTACGAAAGAGTCACTGTTTTTCAATGAAGGATCCTGAGAAAGTCGAAAACTGGACTCGCCGCCTTCGGACACCGTTACTTTGAGCAGCGTGTTTAACGACACGATACAACGCAGAGAGGCGTTCGAGTGCGTTCGAGATATATTCCAGCGACGTGTCGTACCCGCGTCCACGTGGTGCGCTGCTGACGACGCTATGGCGAATCGACGACACGTCAGCGTCAGCTTTTTAAACCAAGAATACGAATTGACTAAAGAGGTTATGTTACTTTGAGTTACACCGGCAGCGCTCCAAACGACTCTATAGTGAAGTTTTAAAATCATATGATGTTGAAGTTTTGGAGCATAACGCTTTTTATTTCTAGGCTCAGTTTTGACCGGCTCGCGGCAGCACTCTCGTGATTCTTGTGAATAATCAACTGGTCGGAAGGAACGAAATGGTAGACGTTTGACGTTTTATCGGGTTAAGGATTTGACAGTTGACGCATATCGGTTATTTAAGCTGTTACGAAGAAACGGTACGAAAATGGAAGCAGTACCCAGGTTGCCGATGATCTCGTTTCACCTGAAAGTTAGCCCTGAGCCAGTTTCTTTTGGTCCGAAATTGAAGCATGTAAGAACAATAAATTGTATCTTATATTAGTTATTTGCTTGGGTACTGCCGATTTACATGTTATATAGATCTTGTTTACGTCAAGAGGCAATTAAATGAATTGCTGTATTAGCTTAATGAACATAGGCGGCTTGATTGGTATTGTCTTTATAATTCAACATGTTTTGACTCGCTTCTGATCGTTTCAGTACATTCGAGAATTTTATAAAGAAGATGCTGAATCTTATTCAAATGAAATACATCAATTGGAGAGCCTTCGGGCTATGGCTGTTAGACCACCTATAGACGTAACTGGTTGCTCTTTGCTGAAAAAATATTACTGCCAGTTGCATTTTCTTGATAGCAGATTTCCTATGAAGAAAGATGGTGCTGCTGCTATTACGTTTACATGGTTTGCAAACTAGTTGTTTCATAAAATTAGATTTAGACTGAAATTTCATATAGTTATTTGAGTTTCAAATTTTCATTTTGTTTAATAGGAGAGACACATATGCTAACATGGTGTGTTCATTGGCTAATATTCGTTTTGAGATTATTTCCATCTTGTATAATGTGGGAGCCATACATACACAACTTGGGGCTCGTACTGAACGTACAACTGCTGAAGGAATGAAGATGGCCTGTGCTCATTTTCAATGTGCAGCCTGGGCATTTGAGCATTTGAAAAACAGTTATCCTCAACCTCCTGGAGTTGACCTAGCACCAGAATTAATGACATTCATGCATCAACTCTGCTTAGCTCAGGCTCAGGAATGTATCTTAGAAAAGAGTATGCTCGATAATCGCAAACCTACTATAGTAGGTAAGTAACCATATAAAAAAAGCAACTATAAATATTAACAAGTTAAATAAATTCTTATATTTTTCTATAGCAAAGGTCGCCCGACAAATAGTAGATTATTATAATTTAGCATTAAGCACACTCGATCAAGGTGGCACCGAGGACAGTACGGTATCAGACACAGTTGGCACAAAGATATATAAAGTAAGACTTCTCAAAATGATAAACATGCTTTCCAAAGCTTAGAATTCTGTAAAATTTTTTCTCATTATCTTTGCAGAGCTGGAAACGATATGTCAAATTTAAAAGAGCATATCATTTAGCTGTAACGCAACTCTATCAAGGACTTGCAGCAGAGGAGCAACAGAAAATGGGCGAGAGGGTAGCATTCTATAACGCAGCCCTAGCATCATTAAATGAAGCTCGTGCTCTTTATGGAAATGCAAAAGGTTCTGGCATCACGAGTGTAGCCGAAGAGAAAGAAGCAATCGAGGATGCCCTGACATTTACCAACGACGTAATAGAAGGCAAAAGAAAGGCTGCTAAGAACGAAAACGAGTTCATCTACCACGAGGAGATACCTGAGAAAGATACTCTGCCTACAGTAAAGGGTGCATCATTGGTCAAGGGTATTTCATTTAACGTAAACGATCCTGAGGTATCTGGATCAGATATATTTGCACGGTACGTTATCTACTGATTTATTTTTGAGTATATAGAAAACCTTTGATCGTTTTAAAAAACATGTATGCATTTTACAGACTGATACCTATGAAGGTTCACGCGGCAAGTTCCATCTACTCCGAAGAGAAGGGAAAACTGTTGCGTACCATTCGGGCAAAAATTGAGGAACGTGATCAGCAACTGAACATATACTTAGCATCTCTGAAATTGGACCACATGAGTCTATGGGATCCTGATCGACGTTCATCCGAGAGTGATCGCATGCCATTACCAGAGGAATTGGCTGAAAGGTGTGCAGCCTTAAACGCTAAACCTAATGCCATCCAGGATCTCGTCGATGCAATGGGAAAGTTAGCGGATACGTACCACGATGTGGAATCCATGCTAAAGGAAATTGGCCAGTTACTTGTTGAAGAGCAGCAAAGGTAAATACCTAAATTATATTTACATACTGCTACATTCTACTATCTTGTATAAATTTTGGATTAATTATCTAATAGAGAAAAGAAATATCAGGATGCAATGGGTAAAAGGCCACCATCTATAGTTGCTACCGATTTAACAAGAGAGGCTAAAAAATATGAAGAGGCACATGCGAAGGCATCAGAAAGTAATCAAGCTCTTCATCGAGCAATGACATTGCATGTTAATAATCTTCGAATACTGGCTCAACCACTTACTGACTTGATGGCACATATACCATCTCCCAAAGTACCAACCTCAGGTAATTCATTTTAATTCCATCCTGCATATTCAGTTTTAAATGATATCAAGATCAATAAGCTTATGTATAATAATCAATATGGAAAACAGAGTATGTCCAGTAGTATGAAGATAATTTAGTTCTAACTAAGCAATGAGACATTGTTTACCATTGCTTTGTTATCAGCTTCAAGTGATACGTGATACGTATAATAAACTTATTTTGTTTTTCGACTTATCAGTCATTTGAACAGTAACCTCAGTGATATTCTCATCATATACACGAATAACCTATGAATACTTTCATACAACGTAGATCAGGAAGGAGGTAAGAAAGCGGAAGATGTTTCCGTCAGCTGTGCCAAGGAATTTAAACGGATATTAAACAAGGTCGACGAGATGCGTAGACAAAGAGGTGAATTGCATGCGCAATTAAGAGACGCTATTGCTCAGGATGACTTGACTCAAATGTTGGTTACTGCCGTCGCAGAAGGGGGACCACTGGACAGTTTGTTTGCTGAGCAGATTAGCAAGCATCAAAAATTTGTTAGTACATCCTACTAGTCTACAGGGAAAGAGTATTGCCATGTTGGTACCTTTCTTTTACTTCTAATTGTTTGCTGTTGACGTCTTTCAGGTAAACCTGATCGACCAGAACCTTGCTGCTCAGGACAATATCTTAGCAGCCCTGACAGATGCGTATGCACACACAGCAGAGATGCGAAAAACTGTGGACGAGGTCTTGAAACGTCGTGAAATTATGATATCCTCATTGATATCATCGTACGATGCCTACGAGGATCTTCTGGCAAAGTCTAGCAAAGGACTAGAGTTCTATAGGAAGCTAGAGACAAACGTGTCAAAGCTTCTTCAGAGAGTGAAGAGTACCTGCAAGGTACAGGAGGAAGAACGCGAACAGATCCTAGCACAGAACGACAAGGTTACGTATAAGGTCCCTGAGGGTAATATTAACGCATTGCCTAACGTGGAGCCTCAGGTCCTTCCTAGTAGCAGCGGCTTGAAATTAAAGGACTATTTAGCAAGCAGACAAAAGCCAGTGGTGCCAACGTATCAGAATCAATATTACGATCGTCATACGGGACAAGTTAGTCAGGTGCAATCAATCTCGGTTGCATCAACTGAAACAGTTACTAACCAGGCTGTTAATCCGACGATGACAATGGCGCAGGCGGAATTAGCAGCTAGTGATCCTAAACATTCGTATGGCTACTATACAGGAGGCTACGGCAGTTACTATACTCCTCAGCCGGTAGACTACAGTGGACAATATCAGTATGGAGAGAACAATAGCGTTAGCAGTAATATCAATCAAAGTTTTCCTAGATCAGGAACTACCAATACCGCCAGTATGTATCACCAGGCAGGTGGTGCTTCCTCTACAACGGAAGTAGCTAGTAATGCGAGTCAGTATGCTGGTTATTCCGTTTTACCAAATGGACAGACACAGTACCCATCCACATCAAACATTCAAACAGGTGCGACAATGCATCATTCCATGTATCCACAAACTGGTACAATGGGAGCAACTCCACCGATACCTGATGCAAGTAACGTTGCACCGGTTTCATATCCTGCAACCTCGAGCACCATTATGCCCACCTCTTCCTCGTCGTATCTTCAGCAGACTAATATGATGCAACAAGTACAAGGACAGCAGGCGCAACAAATGCATCAGAATTATACTGATCCGACACAATCCACTTATTCTGATCAAGCAGCTCGAAATTACGCAGACCAAACTCAGCAGAATTATGCCGATCAAACGCAGCATACTTATGTTGATCAATCGCATCTTAATTATGCTGATCAGACGCAACTTAATTACACCGATCCAACGCAGTTTGGTTATCCAGATCAAACTCAGCAAAGTTACATAGATAACATGGCTCAACAGGCTAATGTTATGGGTGCTCAAGTGCAGGCTAATCAAGTGGTACAGGGTTATACAAATGCATACGGGAATTATACACAAGGTGTTTCCGGGCATCAGTATCTTCCTCAAAACAGCCTGAATCCGGTTGCAACGCAGAATTATTCACTGGCAAGCAATACAAATAATTCGGAAATTATACAAAGTCATGCCAAGTCCTCGTCTGTTCAGAATTATCCACAAAATTATCAATATGCTCAGTACAATCCTGCGCTTTATTCTGGTACTGTACAGTATCCAGGTTATTCTCAAGGCTATGCAAATACATATGGTGCCTCGCAGGCAAACAACATGAGTAATACAATTCAGACAGATTCGTACAAGGGACATCCAGGATATTCGTATGATCCTGTAGCTGGTGGGTATCAATACAGTTCAGGATATCAAGACTCACGGATAGCTCAGATGCAGAGGCCAACTAGTACTCCTCCAGCTGTGCAGCAAACTGTAGTTAGCAGTGGCTATGATCAACAGGAAAATATAGCGCGGTATACTAATGCGAATAATGATGTTGGAACTAATCAGACACCGTCCACGCAATATTCAGATCCGGCATATCAGCTACCTGCCAGTAGTCAATCTTATTATACAGCACCTTACGGGATTCAAGGTCAAACTCAGAGTGAGTTACCTGTTATGAAATGATTTTTTTAGTCTAATTTAATATACCTACCAACTATTAACATATGTTGTTTCGTTTAGGTCCGAGTGATCAAGAAACTGTGAATCAGAATGGAGTTAACAATACGTATATGCAAGCCAGTAATAATGAAACCAATACAACGACTAGTGGGAATGCAGAGAAAACTGAAAAGACTGAATCATCCAAGCCAAAATCAAATGTCGATCTTCTTGCTGATCTTGACATAACAATTAATCATGCGCCGCTTGTTCCTGAAATACATTCCACGGAAAAGGTGACGAAGGAAGAAAGTAATACGGAGGAGACATTGAGCGTTAATGCACCGGACCACGTGAAGGATGATGATGCCAGTAGTGATTCTGGGATACGTCTAGACGAGAAGAATGATAATTTACAAATAGTATGGGACACATGGTATACAGACGTACAACCAAAGAAAGATCCGCTTGGTGATTCAACAGTTTTACAAAAATTTGCCATTGATATTGAGAAGTATGAAAAGTTCATCGATGGTTTGTTAGCTAAGACATTGAGTGGAGCTACTACTTTGGATCTTAAATGGAAGGAAGTTCGTGATTTTCAAGTAAGTAATTCCTTTTAATACTTATTACTATGTTATACTTAACTGTCTTTAATGTTATTTTCTATTTTGTCAGGAACGAGAAGCTACAAAGCAGACGACTAAATTGGCACAGATTAATCCTTCTGCGAACAGAGTAGCAGATTGTGTTCCTTATGATTCTACGATAGTAAAATTGTTAAGGTCTGATATAACCTCAACGTATATAAATGCGTCACATGTTAGGGATATTACGCAATGGACACCTGCGGCATTTATAGTTACCCAGGCGCCTATGCAACAAACTTTTGAAACCTTCTGGACAATGGTCTGGGAACAGGGGAGTGAGGTTATAGCCTGTCTGGCATCTGATGCGCAGGTAAGTGTCATTGATGAAATAATAGTCTATGTATTTCTTGAGCTCATTGCTTCGATAAATAAAAACACAATAATTTTCGTTATAGTTGAACGGTGATATTTATTGGCCGACGGATGAGAATAAAGACTTAACTCTTGGTAGCTTTACAGTTTCCCTGAAAAACAGAATTAATCATACCAACCACATTCAGAGAGTCTTTTCTATAGCTCGAGAGGAATGCAAGACTCAGAGGACTGTAGTGCACATGCAGTTTGTCGCATGGCCATCGAAGTATGTGATTATTACTTTTTATAACTTATGTCATACTTAATTAATTTATGCTATTCATATTTCAGTGGTTTTCCCAGTAGTCCTGGACCTCTACTTGCATTTACTACTGATGTTATATCTGAACAAGCTTTAAGACGTTGTGCTCCGAGACCAATTGTTGTGCACTGTCTAGCAGGTGGTATTCTTAGTGGTCTCTTCCTTTTAGCTGCTGCTACGGTGTGTCATGTTCGCGTTGGTCGTGGTATCGTGGATGTAGCACTTGTCTTCTCCACCCTGGTGAAGTTTCGCAAATGTTTAGTTGATAAGGATTCATTACTCTTCGGTTATCGAATGGTTCTGTATCACGCTCAGGATGCTTTGATGAAACGTGAGTTTATTATAATTTGCTCTTTCTAATTATTCTTAAATATATCTTATGTAAACAATTTATTGTTGCAGGTGGTATTTTATCATCGACAAGATCCACATTCGAAGGTTTCGAAGGAGTGAAAGGAGCATTGGGTAAAGTACGAAAGAAGACACAACATCGTCATCCTGCTGAAGATTTTCTTCACAATCTTGGAGTTGGAATGCAGCATGATATTGCAGGATCACAAGGTATTTTCTTTCAATCAATATTATATTGTGCTTATTATTGCGATTTAACTAAAGTGGCTGGTGCGCTTGGTTTTTTTATATTATACCTAAATGTGAATCGCCTAATTATGGCAGGTGGAAAAGTAGGAGCAGGAACTGAAAATACGTCACAGTCATCTTCAACGAATTTCCAAGAGAAACCTGAGGAAGTTAAGCCAGTTGACCCTCTCAGTCAGCTTGATCCTATGTGGTCCATCAGAAGATAGTTTAATAGTACTAATAATGATTCATTTTATGTTTTGTATTATACTGTTGTAATTCTAAAGGCTAGGCCATTTCGAAGTCGTCAAGAAATTATTTGCCCAGTTTATCGTTTTATCGTGCTACAAAGAAACGCGTTGAAGAAGTACCAGAAGATACAGGACATCCTTAATCGGTAGACATGGAAGGAAATACTTCGATTACTCTATGGAAATTACGTTACAGCAAAAACTACTTGACGCGTTAATTTATTATGTAAAAAATTAATTGTTCGCGTGATTTCCATTCGTTGAACATTATTAAGTAACTTGATAAGGATTTGACAAGGCTTAGATATTATATATAAACATTTTTACATATGGAAATGACTAGACAAATGTATTCATTTTATTGTCTTTTTCCACAATCAGGTTCTGTGTACATTATTATACGTATAACGCAGATCATGAATTGGCATGATAACAAATTTGCAAGGAGGAAGACCATTACGGTACGTCATTATATTCGCCACAAATTCTAATGTGCTTTGCGTCACAGACCTTTATGAAAATTTCTTAAAGATTTTTCTATCAAAAGCAACATAGAAAATAGGCCGCACTGTATATTTTATTGTTGGAGATGGTTCGCGCCACATTGAATTATTTTAGTACGACATATTCATGAAATTAATGAGGTAATAATGGATCTATGCAATTCAACATGAAAATGAAAATATATGTAATCATTCTTTTATTCTAAGCCAAATAAATGCTATAATCCTCATTCCATAGAATTATATAATCCGAATAGTAAACCAACGAACCAGGACAGTCGGACTTATTAGTAAATTTAAACTCGTTAAAAGAAGTGTTCTATTATACCTACCGTTAGTAAGTTATCACGAAATTCATACCTGCAGGCATAATCAAGACATTTTTCAATTTTTATTTTTCGATCTTGTTTGTAATCGTTTGGACTCTCAAGATTCAAAAGTGTACTGGGTCCATATTTTCTCAGATGTCAACTTTTGTGTGTACAATTGGTTTCCCCCTGCTGGTGAATGCCTAGTCTGTTTATCTTCAGTGAATGCATGTATTCCTTCAATAGATAATAACATACCAACTTCCACTGGTCGAAACTGTGCAAAGGCACATGCGCCATCGCCCGAAACCTAAGGACGCTCATCATGTTGACTGGCAGTGGCGCGCAAAGTCGCCAGGCTGCTCAATGTAGTAGCCTGCCGGTGTGCACCGCGTTTGGGTGGCTTGTCGCATTGACGTACATTGACTGGTAGCCGTTGCGTCGAATCGACTTGCGTGATTTGCAGTGTTCTAAAGATGGATTGAGGACCATATAGGATATACAACCGTGTACCGCGTGTGATATAGTGTAATAAAAATTCCCAGGATCATACTCATTGTCTCCTGGCAACTATCATCTACTGTCAGTGAAATGAAATTCAAAGTGTCCTGTGAGTATCCTGACAGAAGAAGTGTTTAATAAGAAACCTTGTCCCATGAGATCTGTCAAATATAAAATTCCACATAAAGCATTCATCAAGGATCAACGCTGGTTCCAGGAGAAGATTTTAACTTGGACGAACAGTAGAGAATTGACGTGCCTGGTGAATTGGAGCCCGTTCTTGCAGCCACGGTCATAGGTCACGCGGTGTCTCGAATGTCGAATACTTGAGGAAAAATTGAAACTCCACCGTGGAAAGTATCCTAATAGAAGTAGTAGATATTAGAAGAGTTGTCAGTCGGTCGGGCACAAGATGACCGACCATCCTGATGCTCATCCTGCTTCCGAGGAGTGCTCACCCATGAATGTAGAGGATAACGATGATGAGCCGTCCAACTTTCAAAATAGAATTAAAAAAAGGATGAAACGACCTAAGTGCAAACTCAATTCAGATGGATACATAAACCTCCAGGATATCTTACTCTCCTTCAATGGACCTATCAGTCAGGAACAGGCGTGGGCTCTGTGCTACCAGGCTGCCAAGAGCTTTTCGTGTTTGCCTCGCAGAGAGTATCAGGAACTTTCTGAGCTCTCTCAGATACTTTTACATAAGGACGGGAATATCTTAGCTGATTGTAAGACCGGTGAGTAGATTAATTTAATATTATCCTACCTTTTATGTTATGAGATAATTTCTCGTACATACAGTGCTCATGTGCTCCTAGGTCATTCGTATTATAATCAATTTTTTACAATTAATTTCTAAGGATCAATCACTATAATTACTTGTTTTTGTTAGAGTTGTTGTTCCGGTGGCAATGAGTGTCCTTGGACCGGATTATTTTTTTCTTGTTCTCTTACTCTCTGTCTCTCTTTAATATGTGTCGTTGCCATTGAAGTCCTTTCGAGCGTTAATACGTTAATAGTGCCGTGCCAGTGATATTGTCAACTATCTTTGTTCGGTTCCTTATGTGTTTATTGACCTTTTTTTCTCATAATAATACAATCGTAATATGTTGTCATCCCTCGTAGACTGAACTGACTTAGGAATAACCTAAAAACCAACTGTTTGCTTCGTGCACGAACTCAACGAACTTATCTAAAAACCGATCAGAATCTAACCCGGTTTAGAACATTAGTGACTGGTCGTTTAACGATTAATTCTTTAAAACTCGCAGTTATTTGATTACTTACAATTTCATTGAGATATCACCTTGTGATCGTAAGTGGTAGTCATTTTTTTCCAAATTATGTAAGTGCTCATAATGATTTACGGAAAATGTCTTGGAATTTTTTGGTTATGTCATTAGGCTGTTCCTTTAGTGAGATACATCACTTTAGTGATGTATCGTTCTTTTTTGCGCTTGAAATTGGTCTAACAAATTAAAAATTACCTTTTCGAGTTAGCCTGCCAAAGATGGCGGCAAAAAGAGAAAATACCTTTAAAACGCTGTTTATGTTTTTCAGAAATTCACGTTAAGGTTACATGTTGTGCAATCAAGCCTGGCTTATTTTCCTTGTATCATTTATATGCTAATTTAAAAATAAATCAATATCGTTACTCATAATCATAGAATTATATAAGTCGCTACAGGAACTCTAGTGTAAATTACACAGAAAACTCTGGTCAAACTCTTCGATAATGGACACGCAAAGACATAAATCGTCTCCACAGTCATTTTTCTTATGATTTTTTTGCTTTTTCTCTTTCGCTTTTTCTCTCTCTCTCTCTCTCTCTCTCTCTCTCTCTCTCTCTCTCTCTCTCTCTCTCTCTCTCTCTAACGTACTTATACTCACACAAACATTTATCACATTAGTAGCATTCCCTGCAATCCACTTTCCATAATTTCAACCGATTTTATATTCCTCAAAGCCTGTTTTAGCAAACGGCTTTTTTCTTCGTTGCGGTTTACCGGAAGAAATCTCAACAGCTGTCCCCTTGGAAGATTGACTGGATCTATCTTGCGGTAACGCCACATTATCTTTAAACTCCCAATGGCTACAAACATAAGATTTCCGGGTCGTGATTATTGAATATTATTTATCCAAAAACTGCACCCCCTAGCCGGACAGTAAGCTGACTGAATATGTAAAGCCCGACAAAGCTGCATTCATACGATGACTAATCTATGCGTCAAGTAAACACTTGATTAGGTTCGAGCGGGAGACAATACAGAAATTCAAATAGTAACAGCAGCATAATGATTTATTACAAAGTATCGTAAATAATCGGTACGCTTATTCGAGTGTCACAACAAGTTTACTGTATCGTTCGGTACAATACAGTTGTTAGTCTGACTAACACAGTAGCGTCGTTTTATTAGCCAGCGAGAAACAACGTCACGGATCCACTAATCCATTTCTTTTTAATCTATGCCATGTGAAGCTAATCTCGATAAGACAACATTTAATCGATAACCGGTACATTATCGTATAGGCTACGTTCAGGTTCTTAAGATCGTATAATGCGAAGTAGCCGTAATATGACTATTATCAAAAGTAAGGATAAAAAAGCGTAACATAGTTGTTGCCGAAAAGGCATCTGACGATAAGCCTGACAGTGAGCCAATATAATTCGAAGCCAACAAGGTAAATTTGCGATATTTTCTTTTAAACTCGAACAGAAAATATCCACGTAACTGTATTCGCACCGATAATTCTTACCTCGCCGTATCCAATCAATCTAAAATTACTTGGATCACCGATAATTCGTAGAAAAAAAATTCTTTCACGCAAACTGAACTTCCAGCGAAAAATTGTCATCGCACTATTTACGTTTACCTTGACTCTACACATTTTCAATCTTACATTTGTCTTTCTAGGCTGACCGTACTACTTTGTCCATATAAATTTTATATTCGGATTCTCAATGGACGATCTACGGCATTATTTCTACTAAATCAGCTGTTCCCACGTGGTCACGTTCACCACTGCGAATTTGCGTGAGCTGAGCAAGGTCGTCGTGTAATATCGATCAGTCAGAATGGCAGCTTCGCGGGGGTGTATAGCCTTGCGAGAGAAATAGGTGGCCGGGAGTTTGAGCCGGCGCTGCATAGTCTCGCCTCCTGGAGGCTTGGTCCTAATTGTTCAATATTGTCCAGGTTAGGTGTTTCATGCCCATGGTACCCAGAGGGGGTTCGATTTGCCGTGAAAGGATTTGTACCGATTCTCACAGTATTTCTTTATCTTTTTTTTTTTCTTCACTATACCAAAGGCATATCGCATTAAAATCCAAATCATGAATAAATTGGTGGGAATCGATTGATTTAATCCTTTCTGTTAGATTCACCGTTAATTCGTGTTTTACGGATATTCGTCCGTTTTAACACACCTTGGTCTCGTTGTCGCTTTTATTCAATCGTATATACACGCTCTTGAATATTGAATGATATATACATACATATAGACCTTGGCTGACATCAAATTCGTATACCGTCCCAATAACAGGAATTACCGTGTCGAAAGCGTAACTATAGTGATTCCTGGGAAGGATTAACGTGGCCAATAGTAAATATAGAAAATTGGGGAAGATCAAGAGTGGGAAGTGCTTGGAACGGTTCTTGGTAGTCGGTCAGATGATAATTCGTCGGAGAGCCAAGAGGCATAAAGAAGAGGGGGACTGTAACTAGTAGCGAGTGCCCCCCTGTTCAAGCAGCGACGACCCCCCCTGCCAGATACACTTTTGACCTTATTTTTTTTTTTTTTCTTCAGGCAGAGCATTTTCAGTCACAGCAGAGAAGTTCAATGAGTTTCGAAGTAGCTACGATGACTGCTCGCTCGATTGATATTGTTTTTATTGGAGCTACCTTATCGGGTTTTACGTAAATACTTACGATGATACCAAGGAATGGAATCAGACGGTATCGGGCAGATAAACCGAAGGCGTTGGTCACTTACAGTATTATCCTAATATAAATGCAGGTGATGGAATAATTAAAAAAAAAGTTCCTACCTGCGCATCTGTAGTAAGGATTTTTTTTTATTCTTCTGAACGATTTCTACTACCTGCTCCAGGTCCTACCTGTTCCCTTGGTCCATCTGTCTGTACCTATGTGAACCTGGCACCCGACTTAAAAATATGATAATTTTCAAAATGCAATTCGATTGTACCCCGTTTGTATCTGTCTGTACCACTTTAATTTTCGTTTGTACCTCAAAGAATTCGAAGTTACAGGGGGGGTCAAAAAACCGCTAGCACCCAACTTGGAGTAATTTAAATTCTGTTTTCAGGGATGAATTTAGAATCGTTTGTACCCGCTTGTACCACCGTTAGTTTCGTTTATGCCCCAACGGGTAAGGAGATACAGGATTTTCAAAATTTACTAAGGGGTAACTCCACCATTTTTTGAGCTGGCTCAAATCTGCGAAAATTTTTTGTTACAAACCCATGCATATGCATACTTTGTAACAAAACCTTTATGCGGAGCCACGTATCACTTACTAAGGCTACATTGTTTGCTAACTGCCAAAAAACACATTGAGTTAGTTTCGTTTGTATCCCAACGGGTAAGGAGATACAGCATTTTCGAAATTTACTAAGGGGTAACTCCACCATTTTTTGAGCTGGCTCAAATCTGCGAAAATTTTTTGTTACAAACCCATGCATATGCATACTTTGTAACAAAACCTTTATGCGGAGCCACGTATCACTTACTAAGGCTACATTGTTTGCTAACTGCCAAAAAACACATTGAACCTCGTAGAGAGGCAATAAATGCAATTAATTTATCGAGTCTCGATTAATCACATTTAACTCGGGAGAACCGGATTAAATTCTTAAGGAAACTTCGAATAAACAAATTATGTAGCGAGGACTTGCTACGATTTTATTTTGTTTATAGAAATAAGCTGAATATTTTTTTAATTCCATTGCGCATTCACAAGTTCCAGGGCGTTTTGAATACAGGTTCGGACTATATAAACGTCTTAATATATCACCCACAATTTTTACAAATTAGCTAAATTTTTTCGAATGGTATTATTACTTACATTTTCAAATCAATCAAGTCAAGAAGATTACTAATTTTACTTTACCTTCATTTGCATTCGTATTCTACTGAATTAACTTTATTAATCAATATTATTTTATTCGTATGTTATAATTAGGATAGTTACAATAATAAGAGTAATACATTACTCTTTGATGTTAACAGTACTGTAATGAACAATTCCAATAGGTGAAAACAATTTTAAAGCAGCACCCCTTCGCAAATTTGAGCCAGCTCAAAAAATGGCGGAGTTACCCCTTAGTAAATTTTGAAAATCCTGTATCTCCTTACCCGTTGGGGTACAAACGATTCTAAATTCATCCCTGCAAACAGAATGTAAATTACTCCAAGTTGGGTGCTAGCGGTTTTTTGACCCCCCTGTAATTTTGAATTCTTTGAGGTACAAACGAAAATTAAAGTGGTAGAAACGGGGTACAATCGAATCGCGTTTTGAAAATTATAATATTTTTAAGTCGGGTGCCAGGTTCACATAGGTTCTGTCTGTCAGTATCCTGGGACCAGATCAGTCCTATGGAAGAGACCATTTCCTTCTTATAAGGACCCCTTCAGACTATGGCCATGTACAGTGGAGAAGGAATAGCTTTCCAAACGTAGGCAGCGAGACCAAGGTAGCGGTGCCGGTGGAGAGAATAACACGGATATCGTGGGTAGCATGGTAGACATATATATATATATATATAGTTAGTAGAGAATGAGAGACACTGGGACTAAGAAAGAGAGAGAGAGAGAGAGAGAGAGATGAATCTGTATAACAGTCAGCTGGTCGAAACTGAACAACCTGTCCGTTCTTTTCTGGTCCTCCTGACCCTCTTTCGTTTCTCAGGCTTCCCTATCTCCTCCGGCTATTCCTCATTCTTCGAGCAAACCACTGTGACGACTATCATGCTCTCTTGCTCATGAGCCACATGGCCGTGCGCAATCGACGCACTCGATAACGTGGCCTGTCAGATAAAACATGACCTCGCAAGGACGATTGGTTTAGCAAATATTGATAAGACTTGCGACAAGAAGTTGGTACGAGAACCGTATCAATAATTTATAATCGATTCTTATTTCTGTTGCAGGCTCCGAGGATGCTCCGGTGTCCGAAAGGAAGGTGCGTGTGCTACATCCTACTTTTGACTAGTCATTTGGATATGTGTGCTACAAGTCGAGAGAGACCGTTAAAACAAGACGTACCGATGTAGTACTTGGCATTATGATTGCTGTAGCGCAAAGGCATTAGATTATAATATGCGTTCCCAGTATGCTGGAGAGAATTGAGAATGATAGATCTTATACACGGTTGTTCAGTCCAAACGTATCAGCCGAGCATGGCTTTACTTAGAAGAATCATATGGTCCGGCGATGCGTTTTGGCTGAATAACCCGGTATATACTTGGTCAGGAACGATACTTTGTCTTTTGTGTAGAATCTGTAGCGTGTCGGCTGTATTTTGCTCCCCTTTGGGAATCACAGGAATTCCGCCCTTCCGTTTCCGGCGTGTTTGTTTTGTCAGTCATAGACGCGTTCTCGAGCATCCGCACATGTGTATGACAGGTTTCTCGTTTCGTTTTACAATTTTTCTTTCTTCTTTTTTTCGTTGTAATTTTCGAACACGTGTTTCTCTTTTGACGGAGAAACTCTTTTGGATCTCTTGGACGAATGAGTATGAAATTATTGTGAGATGTATGTTGTGATATTAAGATTTTATTGGTTATTAAAAAAAAGAGTTCAACGAGGCTTCCGGTTAATCTTCTTTGAGTTCGTCAACCTGACTGCTGTTCAGCTGTTTTATTCCGTCGTTGTGTCAGCGTAATCGTATAACGTGCGCCAAGTCTTTCTAACGCCAGATGGCAGGACGGGCGATAAATCAGAGTTTGAAACTGAAAAAAGAGTATTTACTGACTCGTTGTGAGTTACGGTAAAACTCGAAGGGGAATTTAATAAGCCGTCTTCAGCATTAAATGAAAATACGTATTCACTTGCAACGGACTCCATACGTATTTGTTGTTTTAAAATGGGCGTTAACGTATCTTCTGATTAGATTCATAGTGGTATGCATACTGAGACTTTATCGTTTCAACGATTTTATACAGTCTATTGTAAAATGATAGGAATAATGTTTCAGTCGTGCTTTAACGTTAACTTATATTTGTAATTGCTGGGCTGCTGGAAGAATTAAAAAAATTTTTATATACCGGATGACAAGGATTACTATACAGTTGGTTTCCGGTGAGAGAAAACGAGTAAAAGATGTTCAGCTTGTACGTATATATAGGTTGGCTTGGAATGATGAATTGGCAAATTTACAGCTCTTTAGTCTTATGAGAATCAGGCATTCTTTTCCCAAGCGAGTACAGTTAGTCATAGTACATAGGTATACGGTAATTATGCCATATGAAGAATTATACATGCTGCATCTCATATTCTTACAGTTAGTCTTCTCCCTGGGTATGATGGTTTACGAGGCTTTGGACTTTGGGGTAGCTGAAAAGGAAGAGAGGCCCCTGTCTTCGGATTTGGAAGCTCTCATCACATTGATGACACATTTTGGCGAGGGTACGTACAAAGCTTTCTGTATAATCTTCAGTATGCTTGAGTAATCCAGTCACAGACACATGATAGATACTCACTATTGACTATTGATTTTGATTACAGCAGAGTCGGAATTGGATAACGATGAACGGCTCCAGGAAACCGACGACGAGGGAATCGAGCGGGACTCTGGTGAAAGTGAACTGGATGAGCTCCTATTGCACAGAAACACAGACGTGTATGGAGTTAATAGAACCAGCGTCTGCTCCTTAGAGAGCGTACTTAGAGTTAGTTTATTCTTATGGATAATATCTTTGAAAGAGACTCGTTTGAATTTAAATGAACAATTAAAATTAATAGCCTGCTATTTCAGCTATGCACAAAACACATGCAAGGTACTAACGAGCAGGCGGATGTCCATTATCGTGCTGTCATTCGTGCACTGGTAGCCGAGGCGCTGGAGCTCTCACAGTTCTTGGAGAAGGTCGCTATTGAGAAGAAACGTACAATCTTCGGTGACGGTATTGATGTGGATGACACGAGAGACGGCACAGTGTCGACGCAACCCTTGCACGCTCTAGACTTCAAAGATTGGGTAAGACCTTGACGTGGATTGACTGTCAAATATGTGACAGTCTGTCTTAACGAAGACTTAAACGTAATTTTTTGGACGTGCGATATATTCATTGGATATTACTTCTTCTTATAGACTGATGTTAGGATTTGGCGAGCTATACAAGTATGTAGTAGCCTATTGTATGGAAATTGAATGTCTAGAAACTTAATTGTTCCTTGCACGATTAACGTGTAGACGAATCCGAAGACGCATGGAGATTTATTTTTCTTATGAAACCCTCTGACGTGAACGTCAGATATTTATATAAGTTTTTACTATTTAGCTAACAGCGTGGCTCGTCGGACGAGTTATTATATTATTATTATCGTGTAGTTTCTGTGTTTCGTAGGCTAGATTCTGGGTGCAGGTGATAGGCGAGCTCAGAAGGGGAGTGAAGCTGAAGAAGGTGGAAGCTGGCTTAGGAAAACGGGGCTCAATTCGAGGTCTTGGTAGAGGAGCTGAGTTCGAATTAACTCCGTATGAAATCCTGATGGATGACATCCGTGCCCGGCGTTACCGTCTTCGTAAAACTCCCACGCCATCCCCACAACTTCGAAAGGACGCCCATGCCGTTATTCTCGAGTTTATACGAAGCAGACCGCCCTTGAAGAAAGTATCCGAGAGGAAGTTACCGCCTCTCAAGAAGCAGTGCACACCGCGAGAACTTCTTATGGAGAGCATAAAGAGGCCGCCTCGTCCTTTAAGACCGTCTCATGGCGCTGCTAACGGCAGACTACAGCAGTGCGATCTTCAGGAAGCTTCAAAAAGATACGGTAAGAATTGTAATGTTATTTAACCGATATAAAACTTTGCCGTTGATTTTTCGTTGATCGATAGATTGGGATCGATTGTTCCTGGGCCGATTAAATAATACGTTTTATCCATCAGGAATCTCATTAATTAATGCATTTCGTAATGACAAAACATTGTGGCGGTTCGCATATCACGGAGCTATCGGTTATCCCTCCGATCTCTCTTCCCGTGTACTAACAGACTGTGTGAATATTTCTTCCAGTACTTTCTAAGATATTTCTATACCTTTCACGAGGACTCCCACTGAATTTACATAGGGAAGATCGTGAGATCCTTTGACTCTATTATACGCGTGTTTTTGCGAACGTTCATGACGTGAGCCAGAGGATAGGGGATCGAGGATGACGAGGATACGAGTGTGGCGGACAATACTTGGCTCTGCGTCGACTGTGAGGGCAACGAGTGGCGCAAGCGCCCTAACGGAAGTTGCGCGTTGCGAATGCGCAGCATGAACCATACGTATATATATAGTGGTGCGATGTATTCAAGTGTACAGTGATGTAAAGGAAAACTGAAGAACTCCACTTACTGCTGTTCGAGCAGCTAGATCGGTAGCTACTGGTTGGAACTATCATATTCTGGTTGCAATATGATTCGCGGCCGATCAGCAGCGCTTCTCCCACCTTGTGTACACTTCTGTCTTCTCCCTCTCGTCTCTCCTGTGAAAGCATAGAGTTCGCGCAGCACTGACCAGGAGTCACGATAATTAGGGGAACCGTTCTACGCCTGCTCGACCCCGGCTCCATCGTCTGCTTGACCGAATTCGAAACAGAGCATAGTCTTTAGTGAGAATCGGGATTTTGATCGTGTCGTGCGTGGCTATCTGACGTGGACTTATTAAGTTTTTTTTTTTTTCCAAGACAAACCATATATTCCAGTTCCTCGTGCGCCAGCTGGTTCTCTTGGCGGACGAGATGGAAACGTCGAGCTGCAGTATGCGGCGCTGCCAGTGGAACGAAGAAAGGGAGAGTCTAGTCGTCGATCAATAATGTTAGGCGAGTAAAACGTGAACCGAAATATCAATTGTGATCAACGTTACGGAAGTTTGACTTTACGTGAGAAAACAGTTTGTGCATCTCGTACCTGGTCCTAATTTGCGTCATGATTATTCCTTTGTCCATGTAGATTTTTCCTTTCCTTACTGGTCCTGCAGTGCTACACCGACGTCATCTTCGCGCGAAGGGGAACGATAATTTAAATCAAGAGGATAATACATATCTGCCGCATCTTAATGATCGTAGCTGAGTAACTGTAACTGGGGCCTACGTTAGTCGGTCAAGTTGAAGGTGCCGAGGGTGGCCAAGGGTGGAGAAGCGCATTGGAGCGCATACGAGCGCAATCGAGCGCACAGCTCGTGCGACTGTAGCGATGAGTCATCCGGTCAGCCGTAAGAATCGGGGAAGGACAGAAGTGTACCAGTTGTACTGGGAAGGCAAGGGACGATTCTCATAGCCGTTGGGGACATCGTCGAAGATCAGTGGAAAAGCTTAGGGTGCCGTTTACAATGCAGTCGTCGTAGAGTGAGAATCATCAGGATTTACGAAGAGGATACCAATACTCGTGATCCTTAGGAAAATAAATATTGAAGGATGCTGCTGGCAGTCGGCGGAGAGTCTCGCAGGATTGTTCTTGGAGAGGTCCCACCAGCTCAGTCCGAACAGGAACAGGAATCCGCTCAGGATGTCGCAGCTCAATGGCTGGAATCGGATGGTCAAGAGCCTTCGTCAACGGCTGTATCCTCGAGCTCGTCCTCGTTCTCCGGGCGTCCGTGCGTCACTTCCGGTAACAATGACTCGGCCGCGCTTTTCCCGGTTCCCCAGCCACGGCAGCGCTCCGAAAAACCCGAGGAGCTGCGTTCTCGCGCTATCAGGAATCGTAAGTCGCGTAGAAGACACTTTAGAGTCACAGGTAATCATCGTTTGTCCTTCATTATTGTTCATGCTCGTCCCACGTCTTCTGCTCCCGGTTGATTCGCGGCTGCGCCGTCTCCTATCATCTGGACCCTCTCGATGGAGATAAGACCCTCATTCGGTCCGGCTAGTGGAATCTATGTTATGGAGAGTGTCTGTGCTCTGTCTGATGGACGCACGTTTACGTTTGTTTTACAGATCATGCTCAGGAAAATGCTAACGGAAAGGAGAATAGTTCAGCCATCACGCCAAAATCTTTACGACGGGGATCAGCCGATCTTAGCCATGCAGTTCTCAGACAACCCAGGCGGTTGATACCCGTTGACTTTGATCTCAAGGTGAGGATGGGTGTTAATAGTGTATAAGATAGTTCGGTTCATGGGAGCGGAGGAGTTTTAAACAATTTTTATATGGAATGCACAGCTCGACGGAGGCGAGGAAGAGGAGGACGAGGATGAGGAATTCGTGGTGACGAGGTTTGAGGATGAAGACGAGGCAGCGAATTACTGGCAATCTAAGGGAGAGCTGGAGGGCAAACGTTTGGAGGGCAATCGACAGGATGACGAGGATGACAAGGAATCTGCAAATCCTTGGCGAAAAACCGGTGGCTTGCGTCTTACCAGGAACGAATATCATCGTTTCTGTGATGCGCAACTTGAATGTAATTAATTTTAAAATCAATCATACGTTATTTATTCAATGTTTTTCAAAGCTGTGCAGTAGGTTTACGTAACTTTCTTTTTTTTCTTATAACTAGCATACGACCTAGCGACACAGTGCCCATCGAGAAGAGCTTCTGCCCGGAAGCACGCGACAGTGACGAACCTTAGCCTGTCTTCGTTCGTTTCTGGTACTACGTCACTTCCGCATTCAAGACCTCATAGCCGTCAGCACCGACACGAAGGCATGACTGGTACCATGAACTTAAGCCCTGGTCCCAGTCCGGGGTCTAGCTTAGGTCCAAGTCCAACAGTAAGTCCACGACCACGGGCAAGACCCAGGTCGAAGCCTAGTGGAAGCATTGAGGATAAATCTAACGAAGATCAAAATGCCGAATGGCAGAAGGAGTCAGCAGACGAGCAAAAGCCATCGTTGGGCGACATGTTCCTGGATGAACGGCTGTCCCTAACGTTAGAGGAGATCGTGCACATTCGTAGCGTGCTCACAAAAGCCGAATTGGAGTCTCTTCCTGTGGAAGGTCGTGTAAAGGAAGATGTGGAGAAGAGACGAGTGTGCTTTCTGTGCTTAAAGACTAGGTTCGGATTGCTGGGACCATGGGGACAGCGTTGTCGTCTCTGCGAGAGGACCGTATGCGTTAAATGTTACTCTAAGGTAAATGGACGATCCATCCTCTACTGGTAATTCATGCACCATCCTCATAGCTGCTAGATAATTAATTGATACTGTTATAGATGCGAATTCCTACGGAGCACTTTTCCCACGTACCGGTAGTACTCTTATCGCCCGGACTTCTTCTCTCACCGTCTTCATCAGAGCCTGACTCTGGAACTCGGAGTCCCTGGCTCAGACCTGCCGGAGGAGTTGGTTCCGCACCTGCTTCACCGGCTGCCAGGAGGCGGAATTCCGCAATGCGAACTTCTACGCCAAGCTCCACTCCTATGATCACTCCAGCCGGTACGCCCACACCGGCTGGGACACAGACACCACCTCCTAACGGTCGACGGGATGATGATCCCGGATCTGTCGATAAAAGGTGGGCATCACTAGAATATTAATTATATAAAAATTATTAGAAACCAATGTCACAATTAGTATCTTCAGAGGTTACAGGAGTGCCGGAAGTCCTGCCAAACTATCGACAACGGCTGCTTTCAATGACCTCGGTGGGCTCAGCGCTGAACAACGACTGGCTGCTGAGCGTCTACGAGGTGTCGCGATGGTCGTATGTCATGACTGTCGCATTATGGTAATTCAGATCATCAAGAGTTCAAGAACGACTCGTGCTACTATACGCAACAACGTTATTTCACGGCTTACCCTAAATCTATCACCTGTGTACGTGTAAGCACCAATCCCGGTGAGTCAGGTATCGACAATGCATCGTCACACCCAAGATAGAGTATCTCCTACCTCAGGTTGTCCCATATTCGATGCCTGATATGTAATGTCGCTGGAATGGATATTCATTCCACTATATAGATTTTCGCGACACATGTACCGAGGTCGGCCTAATCTAAGTAGACAGTTTAATCCTAGGATGCATGACGCGTCCAGATAAATATTCTTGGTCACATAAAGCGCTCCTTTAAAGTAAAAGAAAATGAACAACAAAAAACACGATATCCCCACTGTTTCCGTGAGACAGAAGATACGAATTTATAATTTTTCTGTTTTAGGAAAGTATACAAATTATCTTACGGCACCAGCATACGTATATATTTTGCAATTAACGTTCGATTGTTGTTCTTCTTCGACTAATTAGTATAGAATAAGTAGCGAAAAGACAGCAACACACAAAAAAGGAGAAAATAAAGTACGCACCTAAGGTCGGGCTTCGTACGTTTATGGTCGAGTGACTTATGTGTGCTCACAGGCTAAATTAGGATGTTAATTGTATTTTTCATTCCATATCGGATTTTGTTTTCGAAATCCGCGATTAGATAATTCTGTAGAAATTGTATAAAAGATCGTGATAGGGTGGGTAAGGGATGGGATCGGGATAGGGGGGACCGCATTATTTGGTCTCCTTGTGCTCTTTGGATGCAAATACGTGGGATATGATATTTTTGGAAAACATTGTTGGCCATTAATGTCAATGTCGAGTCTTTATGATATATGGTGCGAAGGTGGTACGAAGAGTTGACGGACATTCTTTATTTTCGTATAGCGAGATTCCGGGTAGGCGGGTATAAGCGGTTATATAGACACTATATTATATTGTAGGATGTAAGCGAAGGCGTAAAGTCCTTCCACGATTACCGATTACTAATAACAATGATGATATCTCGGGTTCATGATAAAAATAATCGTAAAAGTACATTCTCTCGTTATATATATATATATATATATATATATATATTGTGTATATACATATGTACACATCCACTCAACAATTTACGCAGGCACATAGGGATTTTGTAAGAGGTTGTGAAAAATATTAGTAAAAATAGTGCGAAAGAGAATAAACGTCGATCCGTGTATAGAGTGTAGGTATATGTGTGTATATAGACATATATATATATATATATATATATTTAATTATTAAAGATCAATAATGTTGGACGGGTCTCTAAACGATAATTGTTACTCGTTTGAAATATCATCAAATGGTTATGGATGTAATTATATCTATAGCAGTATCGCGCTATCTGTATTATTAGGACGTTTAGGATCGCCCTGATAATGTTAAATATGATGATTATTAATCAGGTTGAGACGAGGACCTTTGTGGAGGTGTTTTTTGTTTATTCGTCTGAACTGTGGTTGAACTGTCCTTAAGAAACTTACTGATGCAAGGAAAACTGATAGTTTCACTCTCTAGTTTCATTTCATATTTATATTATTCATCAGTTACAAGTATTCATTACCTTGCAAGCAACTAATAGGAATCATTATTGCATAAATACTTAAGTACATTCGTGAGGTCTATTGCGTATACTGGGATTATTAATCAATTAAATCATTGCAGTGGAAGCTAATGAGGCATTCTAATTAGTGTTAAATATTTTCCCAGATTAGTGGGGACTATTGTCACTTTGAAACAGTCCTCAAAGAAATTATTCTATCAGGTAATCAGTAGTCAGACACAATGTATGTTATGAGAAGTTTTAATTGATATTAGTTTGACCACAAGCATTGTTTTTTTCTGTTAGGTATTCATCGTCATTTGATAATTTATTTGAATTGTTTAATGGTGTTGATTTATTAATTCCACCGAAAATGTGTCACCAAACATTAATACTAACAACGAATTAGAATGGCCACTGGAGCTGAATCAATAAAGTGAAACACTGGAAAATGTGGGGGAATGTGTATTGAGTTAGATTTCAGTGGTTTGAATTCTATTCTACATACATATGTCGTACAGTAGATTAACGAATTTAACTCTTACTTAATCTTGTTATCTTGTTAATTGTAGAATTTGTATTCTCAATATGATAAGTTATGATCAATTGTAAAATATTTAATTTGTCACACAGTCCTTGTATAGTACAGGTGTAGCGCGTTTGCTAATTTATTATTCTGTAAAGGAGTTCAATAACTCTGTCAATAGTCTCTTCGTGCCCACTTGTTTTGTACAAATATAATGTCAAACATGTACATCCATATACTTGTACATACATAACGTAGTACCTTATGCCAACAATGTAATTGTATAGTAATATTTAATTGAGACTTGTTTCTATTCAGTAACACGTCACTAATATGATCCTGAATATTATTTATTTTTTTGTATGTAATCTATTGAAAAATAAATGAATTATCTATAAGCATGTTAAAAACTGCTGTAAATATATTAAAGTTGTAAAAATCATTTTCTAATTTCCATTTAGTCCTCGGTCAGCCAAGAAAATCATGAACAAATGAAGTTAATTTAAATGTGATTATTATATTTCAAAATTTAATATGAATTTTTCCAGACATTCGTGTGGCTCTATTTTTCAGCATTCTTGAAAGTACTTTAAACTTTCTCACACTGTTTTATCCTTTTATACAGGGTTACCTACAGTAGATACATAGCTCAAAAAACTGGTTTAAGGTTGAAGTTCAAGAACTTCAATAAATTGTAACTTGGCATCGTTTTATCTTTCTCTCAATAACGCTGATAAAGAAAGATGGATCGTGCAAATATTATCCGGATTAAGGTTTTCCGAATGCACCCCCCTTTTCCATATAATGCATTAAACGTTCGGAAGGATTTAATAGTTTCATATATGTATTTCTTGCGATCGAAAGTATCTTGGGTATCTTGGGTCTTTCCATTGCCATGAGCAGCACTCTCACACGCCATTTCTGCTCCAGCTTAATGTTGCTTATTGCTCATGTAGCTGACTGCCGACGCCGGGCGTCCCGTCGCTGAAAAACCTCTTCACAATCCCATGGCTAATATCAGGAAGTGTAGCACAGCGCCATTTTGCGGAGCAAAGTCGCAACAACTGGAATTTCCGGTAGCACGAGGACAGATGAGAGGTCAGAATCGATCGTGTTTTGGAACACCCAAAGTAGTCAAGTGGAAAGATGGTGCGCTGACGAGCGAAACAGTCGTTCCTGATCGTTCTCTTGTCGAGGAGCTGTATTCGCCGGCCATATTGGTTTACTGCAGTGTTTGTTTTGGTGCAGCCTAAGACCCGTTCTGTGAAATCCGGCAAGATCGGCTCGAGGAACTCAAAAAATCGCATAGAGATATCATAAAACTCGTCAGACAGTGCGTGGAAATAGTGATTTCATTATATTTTCGTAATAAAAGCAACATAATTTTGGGCTCATCCTCGAGCCAGGGTGTCAGTCGTGTACGAGACGTTGAACGAGAGAAATGGCCTGCGCCACCCTAAAGAGATCGTTGGAGTTCGACCCGGTGCACAGCCATGGGCGTCCCAGCAAGCGACGAAGATGCGTTCCTATGTGCGTTTCACCGGGAACGCCCACCCAGAGTACGGCCAGATCACAAAATCCATCGCCTTTTGGCGAGGTAGCTCACAAATTGACGCCTGGTAATTATCATTGGCCACGGCCATTTTTTCGATTTCGATGCCTGTTCGCTAGGGTAGGGGCGACCTGAGTTGCCCCTTGCGATTTAAAACCTGTATTCATGGCGGACATACTTGTTCGGATAGAGAGGCGATATGCTTCTATGCTTTCTCTCATAAAAGGGAGGGTTATGGGGGAGATGCGTAAATCATATGGTAAGGCGCTAGCGGACGTTAGGAGTCTTTTCGCCCTTTCTCTCTCTCTCGCGCTCGCTCTTTTGTCTATCTCTCTGTGGAATATGTTTTTTCTGAGAGGAAGAAATATATATATTTTTTCTTATATGTACTCACATATATGTGTATATATATATATATATGTATATATATATATTCGGATAACGGATATATATTATATATTCGGATCCGATAGGAATTATGCACAGATGACTTGGATTTTCTTTCCTACTTACTGATGCGCTATTTGTGTATTATTATCGATGATAAATATAATTTTCGGAATATGAATACTTTTTTCTCATGGTTTTTTCTACTCCTAGCAGGATTGCGTGCATCTTATATCTTATGTGAAATATTACATTATTTTATGATACGTGGCGCACCCTGAAGTTTGTTTTTCTTACGTGACTGCGTGTACTGAACGTTTTATTTATCCTTCTTTTTCTTTGTGTCACTGGTAGTGGAGACGCAATGGAGGAGGGCTCGTTACGTTTTCTTAGATTTTGTTCATATATTTGTTGTTTATGTAACAGGATTTTATTGTTTTATGATATTAACAATGGGTGATGCGAATGTTGTTTTAGGCGATGATGTTGAGAGATATGTAACTATTTCCTTAGGATGGCTACTAATTTTCCGAATCTTTGAAAATATATATATTATTTTTGAGACTACAGCTGGATTTTTTAATTTTTTTTTCAATAGAAAAAATGGCAGCTAATATTAGAGAGGAGATCCGCAGGCTGCATCGACGCAAACAATTGCACTTCAATCCTCAGACTAGCAGTGGAGATTCATCAGATATGGAAGGTCCTGCTAGTCCATCCAGTCCATCTGCTTGCAGTTCAAATGCCTACAGTTACAATCCAAGTGGAAAGGAAAAACCTCTTTTTACATTCAGACAGGTACATGGTTGACATAAAATGTTTTGTTCTGCAATAATTTAAAGGAATCAATTGTTCGTATGATGTACTTGAAGTAAAATTAATATTTATTAAATATTATTATGTTTATGTATAGGTTGGTTTGATCTGTGAACGAATGCTGAAGGAACAAGAGACACAGATCCGAGAGGAATACGATCAGATTCTCACCATGAAACTCTCTGAGCAATATGATGCATTTGTCAAGTTCACCTATGACCAGATCCAAAAGAGATTTGAATCTGCAGCTGCACCAAGCTGTACGTTAATAAATATTCAAGTGATCTTGTAGTATACACGTTATGCAGAAATTCATAATCATTTCTTCTTTTATATTACAGATCTATCCTAAAGAAGAATTCTTACCTCTAAGGATATGTTTCTTTGAAGAATATTAGGTGAGTATTTCTTTTTCCTATAACTCAACATGCTCATCATCAAACAGGAATTACTCAACAAATTTTGTTATCGAACGTTCCCAGTAACAGCTACACGTCCATTTAGTCCTTCAAACCATAATGGTTTAATTTTCCTTCCAGATTTCTACAATGTAAGTGAGAGAAATTTTGCTTGAAGTTGACGCCGGGGTACGCTGCGCCGCCTCGCGCAAGAAATCTACATAATTAAATTGAAACGATGATTTACTTTGAGGGAGAACGAAGCAAGAGAAAAAAAAGCCCGCAATAAACCAAGGTTTAGCGGTGTAAGTTCAGTAGCTTGGCACACGAAAAGCAACCATACTACAAAAAATCCACAACGTATACTATTAAAAACTAACAATATTTGTACTGTCCGATGTTAGAAGTGCGCTGGTATCAGGGAACTGTAATACAAAGTTATTCGTTGTTTACTGTAAAAATTACTTGCTATCGTTTTAACATTGCTCAAGGCAGCATCGGAGGTCCGCGAAGGTCGTTACCATCCGAAATCGTAGAGTAACCAGTCTAGTATGAAAAGGAAGAATACATGATACCGAAAGGGGGGAGGGGGGCTCAGTAGGAGGTTAGGTTAATTTTTGCACAAAAGTTTAGCGGCATTTATTCGGGAACTGAATTTTACACAAATCTTTTTGTAACGTTCAAGCGCGTGTATACTCCTTTCTACCCTAAACACTGTGAAAGGCGTTATATGCCGTCCTCGACATACAAGATTAAATCACCAACGGCAACGCCAACGCCAATAAGAAATAAGAAAAAAATGCTATAAAAAAAAAAACGAAAATACAATCATACTCGGGACATGTCGGGCTATCCGTTGATCCGAGAATATTAGTATCGTTCCCATATAAACTGTAATGACCGTGTCGAATATGGAGTTTTGCTCAAACATGAACGCGCGACAAATAGTCACTGTTTACAGTTTACGGAAATACGCGAATCGTTATCTCGGATATTTTCCCCATCAGATTCAACGAAGAGCGCCTCGCGTGTCCGTCGCACTCCTGTTCATTTTTAAGTTATATTATTATATGAATGTGATGTATTTGAATTTTCCTAATCGTAAATAATCGTATGATACCTTGTAAAACGGCACTATCAAGAAAATTGATAAAAGTACTTTCCATAATTTATTTTTCATACGTCCGTCAATGGGTAACGATAATTGCGGACGCGTCGTTATTATTATCGTCACGATTGAGAGGCGCGCTTTTCGAAATGTATTTTCTTTAGTTTTTATTTACTACTTTCTTTTTTTTTTCCTTAAAATAAATTCCACTGTTCTCGTACCGCTATTTTCACTGTCTCACTACTAATGCGATTTTTGTTCCTTTTTCTTCGTACGAACTTGTACTCACGCGATCGCGTTATACATTTCTCTCTGTCTCTCTTTATCTTGTTTGTTAAGTCATTCATATGTTCATTCAATCATTCGCCTGACTTTCGTGTCTCTTTGTCGCCAATGCGAACGGCAATGCAAACGCGGACCTCGAAAGTAAAAACAAGAATAAGAGAACAAAAATTGACACACGAGTAGGAAGAGATATCGACGTCTTGTAAGGAGGTTAAAAATTTATCCTGTAGAATTTAGCATTGTACGGACGCATTGTGAACAATAAACATTTGAAATAAAAAGATTATTAAATTCTTATGAATCTTATCCGTTCCCTGGTAGCAGCAAGGACTTGCCATATAGCGTTAATGAGAATGCCGAATAACGAAAATACTATAATCCATACATTTACTGTGCCTATTGTTAGACGTATTTATCAGGATTACTCAGTACTGCTAGAATAATTCATAAATCGCCGCTTGTTGCTGGTTAATTTAATATTTTTAATTTTTTGTTTTCGTTTATAATGGTTATGCGTGCACGACGTTTTTCTTCTTTGAGTTTGTTACTTTTTCTATCTTCTTTACTCACGTCTTTTCTGTCTATTTGTTTCTCTCTCTCTCTCCATCTCTCTCTCTTTTATTTTTTCCTTTATACATGTAGAAATATATAAGTACATAGATAAATATACGCATTAAATTTAAGAGTGTGTAACAAGTTTCAGGATAAGCGCAGAATAAGAGTTTCACACGATTCCCGACGATCCACGTATCTTATAATTTTGTCAGGTGACTGTTTATTCGTAAATTTTGACTTAGTATAACAGCGGGCTGAATTTATTAGAAAAGAATATGATAAGATAAAGGATAAAAGAAAGAATAAAGTAAAAAAAAACAGTAGAAAATTTGCAAACTACACCTTACCTTAACCTAGAATACGTTTATATACATCTTTGCTATATAGTCAATTTTATATAATGCCTTAGTGGACATAAAAAAATCACGAAATGTCAACCCGCTGTTGTTTAATTTTTTAATTCATTTTTTTATAATCCACACAAAAATCGTATTAATGACTAAGCAAAGGGCATTACCGTTGCCTTTCTTTGGAGTAACCCGTGTCTTTCAGTTACCGAGATATTTGAGCGCAATAACTCTTTCAAGCGAAAGAGAAATTTGTTTGGTCATTGTTTAAAGTATTTACAAAAATTTTTATAAAAGCTTTTCGAATTCCCTTAACAACGCATTTTATACATTGCTCCGAAATATGGCTAAGCTTTTAAACGAGTAGTCGATCTGAGAGTAATTGCGCTTGAAGGACATAAACAATATTTTACTTACATTAATTACTGTTAATAGTTTAAACATTGAGCAACAATAAACGAATCAGGTACGAAAATATTTAAGGATCATCCGACATTAAGTATCCTAACACCGCATCGAGGTATCCTTAATAAATAAGGATCGAGGCGAAAAATAATAATAATAGATGGAAATATAAATGAATTTAGTTGATAACGATTGATAATACATTATATTAGTATTAATGAAATATAATGAATGGTTTATCATTTAGGAAGCAACGATGAGATGAACGATAAACGATGAGATAGAATTCTTCGTGGCGAATCAAGGAATATAAATTGAATGATTAAAATACCTCCATATTATGTAAACACTTACTATTGAAATAAACATAAACCTTAAGACTGAGATCTGTAATCGAATCTTTCACATTTGCCACCTCACAGTATTGAGATTAATTAATTTTTATTAATTGTAAGTCATTTGACATATTATACTATACCGTTAATCAGTCTTACATGAATGTAGTATATCTAATGGCTTTCACGGTTTCTTATGGTGTAATGTTCTTATGCACATCGTCGATGACCTTCTGTACCTTTACCGAAGGAAAGTTCATAAGGTACTGTATTAGGAACAATAGGGAATATAATAAGTTTCTGCAAAGTGTTATATTTTGATCCTCTTTAATTAAATTACCTAATGAAATAATCTTGTTAGACGTAGGGCTTCAAGTAGAGGAGAAGCCCCTCGGTGGGTATATGAAGATGCTGCCGTGCTGGAGAAAACTGTCACTTCTGGGCGGGAAAAAAAACTTTCTGTTAGAACACTACATCGGAAAACAATCCAAATGTTCCCTCTCTTGTTTTTGGTCTACGTGGTGGCCGTCAAGGTCTTCAAAAAGACTACGCCAAATGGTAAGCACCCGAGGAAGATGTTATATACTGGGTTGAAGACTTTGTCATACGAAAACCTTCTTCGAGAAAGAAATAGGAATTATTTGGAGACAATTTATAATGTGATCATTGGATTTCTTTTGATTCTAGGCAAAGTTACCGTGTACCTGGGCAAACGAGACTTCATCGACCATCTAGACCATGTGGATCCTATCGATGGTATTGTCGTCGTAGAAAATGACTACCTTCAGGGCAGAAAGGTCTTTGGTCAGGTATGCACGGATCATCTTTATCTGTTATATATATCGAGCATCGTCTTTGGGGGAAACTGACCATGATTTCTTATGTATCCTCTAGATCACCACGACCTACCGTTATGGCCGAGAGGAGGACGAGGTTATGGGAGTGAAATTCAGCAAGGAGATGGTACTACACCGCGAACAGATTGTTCCCCTGAAGAAGGAAAAGCAGGAGATGACTCCGATCCAGGAACGTCTACTGAAGAAACTTGGACCAAATGCATATCCTTTCATCTTCGAGCTTCCACAGAATTCTCCGAGCTCAGTCACTCTTCAGCCCGGCGATGATGACCAGGGCAAACCCTTGGGTGTTGAGTACACCGTCAGGATGTACGTTGGCGAGAACGAGGAGGACAAGGTATTTATGAGCATCTACAAGGAATACATAAGGCACAAGGAAGATGCTCGGTTCTCTGACCTTGGCGTGCGAGTCCGACATCCACTGGAAAGGTAAAGCAAGGTGGGACGTCCTGCAGCTTCGTTCACACTGAATCTTCCCATTCTGAATTCATTATACGATGTGTGTGTATATATTCTACTGTACTTCACCTTACTAATTGCACAAGGAAAATACGACCTGGTATTAATTTATAAATTGTCCCACCAGGGCCACAAGAGATCCTCGGTTTCTCTTGCCATCAAGAAACTCCAGTATGCACCTCCAGCTCGTGGTCGAAGACTCCCCAGCTCTCTGGTCTCCAAGGGATTCACCTTCTCTCAGGGAAAACTTAATCTGGAGGTTACACTGGACAAGGAAATCTACTATCATGGTGAGAAAATCTCAGCCAATGTGATCATCACCAACAACTCCCGCAAAGCCGTGAAAAACATCAAGGTGCATTGTCGTAATATTTCAAAAGAGCCACCTGGATATTCAGAAGCAGCATCATCTTCATAGAATTTTATTTCTTGTCTTGCAGCTCTTCGTGGTACAACATTGCGAGGTCACAATGGTCAACTCTCAATTCTCTAGACATGTGGCCAGCTTGGAAACACGCGAGGGTTGCCCTATTACACCTGGTGCATCCTTCACCAAACAGTTCTACCTGGTACCTCTGGCAAGCAGCAACAAGGACCGACGTGGTATTGCCTTGGATGGACACCTGAAGGTAGCTAAAATACCATTTGACCCTAAGACGTGTCAAACGGCACCAAATACAAATACTTTTGTTTCCTTCAGGATGACGATGTCAACCTCGCGTCCTCTACTATGGTCGCCGAAGGAAAATGCCCAGCCGAAGCCATGGGCATTGTTATCTCCTACTCTGTCCGAGTGAAGCTGAACTGCGGAACCTTAGGTGGTGAATTGGTGACAGATGTTCCTTTGAAACTCATGCACCCAGCTCCTGGTACGAATTACACTAAATACCATAGCTCTCAGGTAACCGAGGATGAAGTATACCAAAGCATAACTTTGTCTGTACAGGATCTGTCGAGAAGGAGAAGGCCTGTATGAAGAAGAGCAAGAGTATCGATAGGGCTCGCTATGAGAATTCTTGCTACGCTAACGACGATGACGACAACATCGTCTTCGAAGACTTTGCTCGTCTCCGTCTTAACGAACCGGAATGAGCTACTACTTAGACCGGCTGCTTGTTCTGAAGGGGTTGCGCTGATTATTTTTCTGTGACAGAGCTCTAATTTTTTCAGTAAGACAGCGGATGATAATACGTGCTATTAAGATTCTATATAGTATTTATTAGGCGTAGATATGGTAAAACCTAATATATTTTATTGATGTAATATTATTCAAGTTCTGCGGGACTCATTCAGAACAGGCAGATGAACGAGAGACTCATTGCGATACGTAGGAGAACATAAAAGGTAACATTAACTGAAAAATTATAAAATGTACATTGAATTACCTCAAGTAAAATATTTCTCAGCATTGTAGGCTATTTATGAAGAGCTGAAAGAGAAAGAGAATTTAAAAAATATACTAAAAAAGGGTAGAAAAAGGCTTGCCTGAAATGGTGGGTAACAAAAAAAAGCGAAAAATGGTACAGAAAAAGTGAATCGAGAAGGTGCGACCACTCGCTCGAAAATTTCGGTCCGATTGTGGTGGTCGGGCGGAAATTTTTTATTTAAGAGCGACCAAAAAAAGGTTTTCAAGTAAGCATATTTAATTAATGTTATATTAAATTAAATGCTTTCCCGTCTAACCAGAAGTGACTATCGTTATAGTTTTAATTTATTTCTATATAATTACATGTGTGTATCAATCTGTTTATTTATTATTAGTGACTTGTTAATTCCTTGTACTGTTGAGTTATCTCTGTATTAGAAGGAAAAGGATGAATAAAATATTTTAAAAAGTATTTATACCGTCTTGTCTTATGAATACTGAAGAGAAAGGGAAATTAACTTAAACAATATTTTCCAAAAAATTCATTTATTTCGATGTCTATACAAAATATTACACTATTGCAGTTTGTAGTCCCACTAACAAACTGTACCACGTGAAAAATATAATATTCAGCCATCATAGTTAGTCGTACATATGCGAATAATATTCCTGATATGTCTGAATGTAAGCTTCCTTTTCACCAGGTGTCATTTCCGCAATTAACGTGTCATTAACATCCGTGATTGCCACAGTTTTACCCCCCACGCTAACAGTCGGTAACAGGTCATCATCTTCAGAGTCCATAGTTTCTACTTCGCCTAAAGAATACATGCATAGTATCATTGTCACCTATCCAATTGCTGTAGAATATATATAATGAAATATTATAACTTACCAGTGTCCACTGTCTGCATTTCGGTAATTTCCTCGTTATCGCTACTGTCACTGGATTCTTGAGGAAGTACAGCCTTAACAGCATTAGCTGCGTTGGTGCCACCTTTCTTCTCATGTGCCAGAAGTACAGACATAATATCTTCTCCTTGCTTGTTGTTGCTCATTGTTGTTGTGTTTGTAGCATTTGAGGCAGCCTTGTCAAGGATACTCTCTTGCGCGCTCGCCGCATCGGTCTGAGAGTAACAGTACAACTTGAAGTTGAATTTTTCTTGGAAAACACTATTGAAAGGAATAAGTTTCATTAAATACCTGAGAACCGTCGGCATTAATTACTGTACTCTCCATCATCCAGATTGGTCTTTCTTTTCTGCGATTAGCTGTGTTGTCATTGGCAGATTCATCGCCTATCGTAACATCCACTCTAGTATCTTCCACCATGAAGCCAGCCGATCTTGTTGCTTCTCCAGACCATTGTTCACCAGGAGCGCGTAGACCACTTGCTTTCCTTGCATCGATTCTATTGAATGGTTTGTATTTTCATAGTCAGAATATTGCTGCACTCGTCTCGTATGAAAAGATATGAATGTGTACCCTCTGATAGTGTTGATATCTACAGGTTCTGGCTCCAATATCTCTGGAGCTAATTTTATTCCTTCTACTTCTCGTAATAGGATATATAATGGCTCGAGCTGTTCATTAAATTTTGCTAATAATAACCTCGAGTCTTTCTTTGGCAGAGCTGACTGATCTTCTTCAACAACTTCTCGGCAGTAGGTACATCTGAACTCACCTGTTGTCATATCGAACAGCTGATCTGCCTATATTTAAAAGTTTGTTGCTGTAGCAGATATTTAATGCATTAAGAAATATATGCTACTTACCTCGAGATCTGTAAATGTTTTCAAACAGTTTGTACACTTGAAACTGGCTCTACTGGTAGCATCACGTTCTTCGGTCTCCATCCGCTTTCTCATTAAATCTAACTTGTACTTCACCACATTTACAAACGTCTGCAACAAGTATTACTTGAGTTTTATTGCTTACAGGATATAGAGTTTATGATGACATAATGTACCTTATAGTTAATGAAATAGTAGTTAACTTTCTGTGCTTTCCCATCAGAACCAGTCTCCATTTTCAGTCTGACTTGAATAAATTTATCATTACGCAGTACAGATATTCTAGCACGCAACATTTTGCGATCAAATTTCAATAATTCACAAATATCATCTTCCTTCATACCTGCAATGTACTCCAAAGTATAAGTATACCTTAAAATATTACTGCTGCTTGTATGTAATACATGTAATAATTGTTCTTATGAATTTGTAAAAAATATACTCACAGGGATTTCTAACTAACATATCCACGATTAAGGCATCCTCTATAGTATAAAATCCACGTACAACCAGTCTAGCTAACTGCTTTAGACTGCTAGGTACCTCCGTTACAAATCTTTCTTCAGCACTCATTGTATCCAGTTGATTCTTATTAGGGTAAATTACTGTAGTATAAACATTTCACTATGACAAGAATGTATGATAAATAATCAATCAAGTTTATTGTATAATAAAAAATATATTTTCATGGATTTTACAAAAATTTATTCTCATACAAAGTTGTAAAATGGAAAATGCTAACCTTTGAAAATACGTTTATTTAATTATTACTGCATCTATTCATTTCTCAATAACATCAATATATCAGATAGAGCAGTAATTTATTCATTTACAGAGATAAGCACTAACAATAATATACTGAATAAAAAATACAGGCCATTGTAAAGATTCAATGGGATCAGATTGACGCAACAATACTTGTTTGCACGTATACGTTGAGGTTATGTTAGTTTCACTGGATTGTCAAATGAGAAGTAACTGTTAACAAATAAAATTCTTGTAATCTAAATGAGACAGTATTTATTGTGTAAATGATCAATGGCAGCAATTGACAAAGTGAAAATCATTGTCGTTGGTGATTCTGGTATAGAAAAATTGAAGAGTATATATATAAATAGAAAAAATTATATACAGCTGGTAACAACAATGGCTAGCATATGTTCTATTTACATTAACGAATGTTATTGTTAGGATATTTGTCATATGACAAAAAAATGTATTTCATTATTCCATAAATTTTGACCATTGTATTAGCAGTGTTCAAGCATAGAATAATTGGGCTTGAAAAACCTTAGGTTATCAGGAACGGAGCAACTGTTATTACGATTTGTTTGTACAAATGTGCTAAAAGCTGTCTATTATTTTTTAGGTGTTGGAAAAACTTCACTGACACACTTAATATGCCAACAACAAACAATAAGCAATCCTTCGTGGACAATAGGATGTTCAGTAGAAGTAAAATTACATGAATACAAGGAAGGTACTCCAAACCAAAGGAGATATTTTATTGAGCTTTGGGATGTTGGCGGTAGTCAGAGTCATAAAAATACAAGATCTGTTTTCTATAATCCTACAAATGGTATTTTATAAAAACCTATAATTTGTATGAATAGTATTATCTTGTAATACATAATCTTTTTTTCTTTTCAGGTATAATTCTTGTTCATGACCTAACAAATAGAAAGTCACAACAGAATCTACAAAAGTGGCTCCAGGAAGTCTTAAACAAGGATGGAAGCTACTCAAAATCAAAATCTTTTGATGACTTTGATCCTGAGCAATTTGTGGGGTCGACGCAAGTAATATAAACACTGCAATTGAGGATTATGAATGAAATTCTATTACTCCTGGTACAATCAAGATGGTTTTTAGATTCCAATATTAGTTATTGGTACCAAACTGGATCTGGTAGCAGAAGTAAGATCCAATATTCACAGACGATCCTCAACAATAGCAGAGGAGTGTGGTGCTGATGAAATCTTTCTAGATTGTCGCCAAGTAAGGTCCTTGGCAGCTGGATCGAGTTCCTCAGTAAAGCTCAGTAGATTCTTTGACAAAGTAATAGAGAGACGATACTATGCATCAAGAGAAGGAATCAGCCCTGACAAACGAAGACTTCCTATCTACACATCTCAATACAGCCCAAAGTCTTATCATAATGATTAAAAATACCAAACCAAGAATAGAGGATGTACTGTATTCAGTAATGGATCGAAAAAGATTGAAGGTTTCCAAAATAAAAATTGACATTCCTATCCTTCGCAATTTCTGTACTAAATAACGATGATGAAATCAAATATATTGATTACAGAAACAACTGTAAATTTCTTTTATTTACTGATCCTTTCCTTATGGCTGACTCCTCCAATGAGGAGATATGCCATATTTACTAATCTATAACGGTTTTTGAAAAATGTCTCAGGCGTCCCAACTAAATACATGGTCAAATTCTTGAATTCCCTAGATGTTTATTCTACGTGAGAAATTCATTCTTGCGTAGTCATTGGTAGTCATTCTGGAATATTTGTTATCAATGACAGACTTATCACTTCTTTTTTCTTTTTTGTCGTAGCGTCGGGACTGCAAAGTTCTAGCGCGCCTTACTAGCTATACTTTCAAATGATATTTGAACCTACATAGTAATCCTTTCTGGTTCGTATTTTGCATGTGTAAATACTCTCTTTGCAGGCGCCGCAACGAATGTTTGTTATATAAACGTGAAAGAAAAGTTCTGCTAATCTACTTGTGACGTGCTCGAAATAAATCACCTTGGCTCTTGAAATCGAGTCTGCGATTTTTCCTTGTGCTCTATTTTCTGCGTGGGCGTTTTCTATTCTGAGGTAAGTCATATGATATTTTATTCTTTGTCAATTCTTAATAATCAATAATCACTTAATTGTTTTAATAACGTTATCTCGTGACTGGAGGTTAGCAGTCTTATATACAATATAAATACTCTTTAAAAACCATCTGGAAAATGTGGCATGATTATTATTCCTTAATTCATCACTGATAATGTCTTTAGTGTTAATCCATGTTAAATTCTGTTATACCTTAATGTATTCTGTTATTTATTTTTAAACAGAATTCTAGATTATTCATGTGTTTTGTACATATTTATTTTTTGATTTGTTAAAAAACAGTTTAAAAGTACTTTGATGCAGATTAATTCTGAAGTACATTATATTTTATTAAAGCAATGCATGTTACCAATATATTATAAATGAATGTTGGTAAATCAGTATTTGATAATGAGAACATTTGTTTTAGCGATAACTTTAATAATGGCTAAGTTTATTGTAAGAAGTCCAATAAGCTGCAATTATTTGATCCGTTTACTTTGTCAATCTCACACTGTATTTTCTCTGCAAACCTGTGGTTATACTGGGACATCGAAGCCTATTAGCCCTGATAGTCCATTAGATGTATTAAAAAGAAAAATTGCTCGTGGTGACTTATTACATGATGAGCACCAGGAAAAAGTGACTGAAGGCTTGCAAAGGGTTTACAATGACTTGAACGAGTATGAGCCAGAGCAAGCAAGCTTTTTAAGCAAATGGATTGGAAAGGGCAAGAAAAAGAAAAAAGCACCAAAGGGATTGTATCTTTATGGAGCTGTTGGTGGAGGTAAAACAATGTTGATGGACCTTTTCTATAATTGCTGTCAGGTATCTCAGTCAACATCTTAATGGTATTGCACATGGGGAGCCAGAAACAATTACAAATTTATCACTGTCACATTCATCGTAATGCAAAATCACATTTTTCAGAATGATTAAGCACTCAATAATTATTGATAATGGATCAATTGCTTTGTAGCATGAGGCAAATATAGTACTTGTGGACCTACGATAGAGGTACTATGGCTTTCCATATGCAGTACACAGTAGCTTCTAGTTCTTATTAACTACTCCTATCATTTAATTATAACTAATATCCACATTTAGATTGAGAATAAGAGAAGAGTACATTTTCATTCATTCATGCTGGATATACATAGTAAAATTCATGAGGTCAAGAAGACTATTGTCAGAGATCACAGCAGTACGAAACTTCAACCCTTTGACCCTATACCTCCTGTAGCTGCATCTATTACAGAGAAAACTTGGCTCCTCTGCTTTGATGAATTTCAGGTATACTAAATATTAATTAAATTCAAGAATTATTAACATTCCTAACATTGACTACAATGGCACATGGATATGTTTCAGGTAACAGATGTTGCGGATGCTATGATTTTGAAGAGATTGTTTTCTGAGCTATTTAATAATGGTGTAATAGTTGTGGCAACAAGTAACAGAGCTCCAGACGATCTATATAAAAATGGTCTTCAAAGAGGGAATTTTCTACCATTTATTCAAGAGTTAAAAAGCCACTGTGCTATAATGTCTTTAGATTCTGGAATCGATTATAGATTGATGGCTGGTCCTGGAAAGGATAAGAATTATTTTATGTATGTATCACTTAATTGATTGATTAATTAACAACTATTAAAGATCATCCTTTCTTAATTTTACACTTAATGATCTAGTAAAGGACTAGATTCTGAGGATGCTATGAATAAAGTGTTCAAGTACTTATGTTCTATGGAAAATGACGTAGTGAGACCACGAACGATCTCCATCCGAGGACGCAATGTAACATTTAACAAGACTTGTGGTCAAGTCATCGATGCAACATTTGAGGAATTGTGCGACCGAGTAAGAACTAAAATTCATAAAAAGATGATTATATATTTCTTAAGATTAGATTGATAGAGAATTCCGTTTACAGCCTCTCGGAGCGAGTGATTACTTAGGACTTAGTCAAGTATTTCACACAGTAATAATACGGGACATCCCTCAGTTAAATTTACGTCTAATATCTCAGGCTAGACGTTTCATCACATTAATTGACACATTATACGACAACAGGGTACTTACTCTAATCATTAAAAAAAAAAGTTAAATATTCATAAAATTGAATCATTATTCTATATTTTACTTCTTTACTTAAGGTACGCGTGGTGGTCTCAGCTGCAGTTCCGCATACCAAATTATTTGTCGCTGAAGGAGACTCTGAGTATACAGACGAGAAGAGAATGCTAATGGATGACTTGAAAATATCTCACGGTTCGGTAAGCAATTAATAAATGTAATTATATAGTTATTATCAACATACTATACTCAAATTTGCCTGAAAAAAGATAATTTGATTTATGATTAACAGGATAATCACAAGTCAAATATTTTTACCGGGGATGAAGAGTTATTTGCCTTCGACCGGACTGTATCTAGACTTTCAGAGATGCAAACACGAGATTACTGGGAGCAGTGGGAGCATCACAGATAATGCTACTGTTAATTAGTTGAATTTAACTATACATTTTTTAGACACAGTTTTTAGATAAAATTTAGTTTTAAAAACAACATAATGCCAGAGTACAAAGATAGATTGTGAAAAACTTTTATTCACAGTCTCATGTAAGATAGAAAAATTAATTCAGAAACAATATACATTGTATTATGGCGTATCCCCATTGTACTTAATGGATATGCGGACAATTTTCTACCAAGTTGTCTAATTAGATATAGATAATGAGTATCTAATTAGTTGAAATTGTTACCTATATATTTATTATTAGATTAGAAAGGGATTTATACGATTACCTATATTATGACTTGCGCAAATGTACATATGTAATTAAGGAAGCACATAATTACCTTAAATAAACATATTTAATGTTAAACAATAAAGAAATTATTAATTACTATCCGTATAAATTATTGTTTAAATACCGCGCCCATTTGCACAGTGCTTTTGTAGAATTATCTAAAGAGTGTCTTATCACCGCGTTACTTCGATAGCACCAGGGTATGACTTTCAGATATCTCTATGCAAGTGTGTTAATTCCTGGTCAGTAGATTGTATATCTGAATAAGTGAACCACGATGGAAAGGAATCCTGGACTAGATTTTTCTTACAGTGAGACACAACAAATAAGTATTCATCAGTATCTATCAGTGAATGATATCTATTTGACAACTTTCCAGAGTTAATACAGGTCCATTTAAATGAACCTGCCACTAATACGTGGGCAACAGAGATATCTGCCATAGCTAAGAAGATAGAAGGGCCTAACAAGATTGCTTGGTTAATCAAGGCAATAACATGTATTGACCTCACGACTTTGGGAGGAGACGATACATCTGCTAATGTTAGGACTCTCTGTGAGAAGGTATATTAAAAATGATACATTATCCCACCTGGATTTTTATCTAATATTTTATCGTTAATAGGCTGTGGAACCAATCAAATTAAACTTTGAATGGAAGTTACCATTGCATACAGCAGCTGTTTGTGTTTACCCAGCAAGAGTCAAAGATGCTTTTAATGTTTTGTGCAAATTGGATACATCTAAGAAGGTTGCTATAGCTAGTGGTAAACATTTTAAAGAAATATATTCTGTGTAATAAGTATCTACATCAAAATTAAATTTCTTTTTTTTTCATGTTATGAAATAGTAGCCGCTGGATTTCCTACTGGACAATATCCTTTAAGTACACGGTTAGATGAAATCCGTTATGCTATTGCCGAAGGAGCTACTGAAATAGATGTTGTCATTAATAGAACTTTAGCATTGGAACATAAATGGCATGAATTATATCTCGAATTGAAGGATATGCGTGAAGCTTGTGGTGAGGTTCATATGAAAACAATTCTAGCAGTTGGAGAACTTTATGACCTTCGTGATGTCTATGTTGCATCTATGGTTGCTATGATGGCTGGATCTGATTTTATTAAGACTTCTACTGGCAAGGAAACTATTAATGCTACTTTACCTGCTGGAATTGTCATGTGTAGAGCAATAAGGGATTATCGGCGTGTCACTGGATACAAGGTAATTTCTTGTGTTATTTGTTATGGTTATATATCTTACTCGTATAAATGTTAACAATTTATCAAATCAACAGGTAGGTTTTAAACCTGCTGGAGGAATTAAGAATTCTACCAATGCTTTGGAGTGGCTCACTCTTGTTAAGGAAGAATTGGGTGAAGAATGGATGACAAAGGATTTGTTTAGAATTGGAGCGTCCAGTCTTCTTGATGATATTGTTAATACCATTCAAAGATTATCCACGTAAGAATACTTTTGTGTTCAATGGATAAGCTGTAAAATAATGTTTGGATCTACATAAAATACATCAAATTATATTATATTTTTGTAACTATCTTTGGAAATATACTGTTTATATTCTCTTAGTCGGTAATTTATTTTGTTTCCTGAAAAACCATATCTCCGTATTAATGATATACATTTATTATTACATATTATTAAATATCATAAGATTAGAACATTAAGTTTTGTATGCATTCAAAAATACACGTATTTTTTCGCGCAAAATTATATTCTAGCGCCTCTACAGGAATGCGACAAAACTTGCCATGACATTTTTTCTTAAAATTCCTGTCTGTAATCGCAGAAATATGTTTAAAATTATTATTTGCATTGATGCCGAATTCTAATAATTATAATTACTTCATTATTATACCACCTTAGGCAAAAATAATCAAGTCTTTTATGTCGTCATTGTCATCAATTTTTGAACATCATTTTCAGTAGCGGTGGCGTTGCAAACAATTTCCTGACGTGCCGAGGCCGTTAGTTTCTTTTCCGTTCAGAGATCCAAGATGGTAAGTTCGCCTCGCATTTTCGTATTAAAATCCAGTTACATCGAAGAAATGAATGTCTAGTTTGTGTAAGTTTAATATGGAAAATACAGTGGAAACTGCAAGGTGGATTGATACGTGTTTATTAAGTGAAATGTGAGGGAGGATAAGCAAAATATTCAGAAGTTGTGAAGTGTGCGTTTGCGGCCTGTCGGTCGTCGTGTACACGCGAGTTTTGTTTGTAACACTTTATGCATTTCTTTTGAAAATCGTTATTATTTATTATTATATTATATTATATTCATTTTTTGTTAAAATCCACACAGTTTACTAATTATCCATTTGCTAAATAAGCCACTTTGCATTGGTACACGATCAGTCTGTATAAGACCAACAAATTTGAGGTTGTTGTGCTTTTATCTATAAACTCTCTTCTGTTTTTAGTTTATAAAGACATTAACGTAATAACTGACATTTGCAGATAAGAAATTTCATTGGAATTTAAACATTATTTTGTAATCTTGTTTTAGGCTCGCGGACCCAAAAAGCATTTGAAGCGTTTAAACGCGCCAAAGGCATGGATGTTAGACAAGTTGGGAGGCGTTTACGCCCCACGTCCATCTACTGGGCCTCACAAACTTCGCGAGTCTCTACCACTTGTAATCTTCCTCCGTAACAGGTTGAAGTATGCTTTGACCAATTGCGAAGTCACGAAGATTGTCATGCAACGTCTTATCAAGGTTGATGGCAAGGTCCGTACTGACCCCAACTATCCCGCTGGATTCATGGGTAAGTTAAATTGACTTTTCATATTTAACTATCTGTTGGCCATATCGAAGCTGCTGTGCTTTGTCTTAGTGAAGCCTGCAGTCAAAAGTTGGCCAAGAGAAAAATATACATCCTATGGTCACTGGTTGAGTTAAAATATTCATTTAGTATTACCCAGGATGGATACAAACATTTTACAAGGCAATTATAGATAATAAATGTCTATAATTGTTAAATATCAATGTATCTTATTAATTCCAGATGTTGTAACCATTGAAAAGACTGGTGAATTCTTCCGTCTTATTTATGATGTTAAGGGACGGTTCACTATTCACCGAATTTCTGCTGAAGAGGCCAAGTACAAATTGTGCAAGGTCAAGCGTGTCCAGACAGGGCCAAAGGGTATTCCCTTCCTTGTAACTCATGATGGAAGGACCATCCGTTACCCTGACCCCTTGATCAAGGTCAATGACACTATTCAGATGGACATTGCCACCAGCAAAATTATCGATTCCATTCGCTTTGATTCTGGTAAGTTTGTTTTATTGTAATGAATCTAACCTGATCTTCACAACAGTAACTTTACAGAAAAAATATGACTAAACGTTAATTATTTGTTATCAGGTAACTTGTGCATGATCACTGGAGGAAGGAATTTGGGACGTGTAGGTACCGTTGTAAGTCGTGAACGTCATCCAGGGTCCTTCGATATCTGTCACATTAAGGATTCACAGGGACACACTTTTGCCACCAGGTAATTACGAGCACTAAATTTTATTTTTTTAAATGTTAAGATTATTTTTCGAATTGGCCATATTCAATTTGCGTTATTGCTACAATGTAATATCACATATCGAAATGGCTAAGAGTAAGCTTTACTTCTCATTGGTCACTGATTGGCTCTTATTCATAGTCTTTCCGTATTACCCAAGAAGCGCACAATCTTGTTTCTTCTTTTTAAAATTCTATAATTTTCCAAAAGAAAGCAATTATAAACAATCTGATCTATATTTCAGGCTGAACAATGTTTTCATCATTGGTAAGGGATCAAAGGCGTACGTGAGTTTGCCAAGAGGCAAGGGTGTTAAGCTCTCCATTGCAGAAGAGCGTGACAAGAGGTTGGCGGCTAAGGGCGCAAACTAATGTAAATTTTACAATGAAAAATCGAATAAACCAAGTATTTCTTGGTGAATCTTCGTATCTACTACTGCAGTTAGTGTCTACCGCAGAATCCGATCTTCCTGGGAATATCCTCTTCCATACAAAGCATCCTTTATTCGCAGCACAAAGCTCAAAAGCATACAGAACACGTCTCACAGAAGTAAGACGTCTGTTTTCGCAATGGAATTTTCACAAACACCATTCCGAGAGTACCATCCTGTTTTGGAAATGATACAAAAGAACCAAGCATACTCTTAATATGACAAATGTTTTAAAATTGTATATGGCTAAGCAAGAAGTAATCCTCGCGTATATATAATATAATCAAAATCAAATACGCAATTCAAGCGATATCTGGAATGTCCATTCATTTTTCCGGTAGCCAGATTTCCGTAGTCAGCTCTAAGGTTCTTTGAAGAAATTCATTACATTGCTCATCCCCAAGTTTGCCGAATTTTCTTTGTACATCTTTGGCAGCTTTTAAGTATCTGCAATGGGATGAATATCAATTAAATACAAGTACAAATGGTACACTAAGTATTTAAATAGAAACTGAATATTAAGTAAGTGTATAGAAATTACTTTTGGATACAGAGAACTGTATTCTTGATTTCCTTCTCGATGATACGTGGCGTATCCGAGATCGAGGCGTTGATGTATTCTGTAGCATCCGTTGGTTTCAGAAGAGTCAAAGGATAAATACGTATCCAGCCACCTTCCTTTATACTAGGATTTCTCCAGTCCTTCCCATTGTCCCATGCAATGGCTGGAGGATTGCTGTTATTGCCCTTGAAACCACGGCGACAACTCTTCTCCAGGAACAGAGGGTTGTAACGTGACCACAATTCAGAGCAGGTCTCTGGTGTATTCTGACGAAGCTAGTTAGCATAAGCGTAAACAGTACTGAAATGTTTTAAAACAATATATCGGTTTAGGAGGATCCTTACCACATTTTGTATCTCGGGACATACATTAGCGAGTGGCATGGAATCCCGACTTGTCCTACATCTTTTCTTAGAGTCCCGAGCATGATAAAATCGGGAAGGATTGTCCTCATCAATGGAACTGGAAGACGACCATATCGTAAAGAGGGACAAGCCTGTATTGCACACAGGAAGTCCAAGGAGATCGAACATGTCGTGAAGTAGAGGTTTCTTCACCTCAGAGTCCACTTCGCAGTCATTGCCAAGTGCAGGACTAACATTGACCTAGAGGAGGAGATGAGAATCTAATACTGAGTAAAGAAATAGATTTATTATTCGAAATTTATTTATGAAGACCTCTAGGAGCCAGGGCTTCAGGTTATCATCGATAAGGACATCGAATCCGAAGAACTCAAAGCAATTCGAGGACCTGGGTATCCCTGCTGTTTGACTTAGGATAGTAAGGCTAACGAGACAGGCGATTCTCTGCCACAGGAACCAGTCTGAATATCCTGACTGCTCCAGGTATCTCCTAAGCTGCCTGAAGGTCCACTTGCATCCTGCATTATTTTCCTAATTGTTCTATTTTATTTCAGACATTTTCATAAGCTTTTCTTACCAGCACCGACTCTTTCCTTCTTCTCCGAGTAACCTGGACCCAATTTATTCAAGGAACAATTGGTCAAGTGACGGAAGGGATTGTCCAGGTTATCCAAGGAAAATTTCTCTGTGGCAAAACGAGCAAGACCCTCCTTGTACAAGTAAACTGTTAGCGGCTTGTAGGATGGGACGCAGACGTATAAACGTAAATCAAATTTATAGCCACCGATTAATAAAGGATTTTCTATGTAACGTTGAACCACTGCTACGTTATCATAGGTCAGATCACTTAATCTCTGAAAGTAGCAAGTGACGTTTAAGAGAGCATTTGAATTTATGGGTACTTTATTCTAATATAATTTCATTATTACCCGGAAGAGAAAAATTCCTCTTCCTTGACTTTGACCCACAGGTTTACATATCCATACTCTGTCGTCCTTTTCATATCGACTGCAATCCGCAGCCAGTTTTGTGTATTCTGACGGTAGATTGTAACCTAGAGGACTGAATGTACTGTTCAGGTAATTATATCAGTATGTTAAATGTAATATCTTTAACGTTTACCTAAAATCGTATATCGATCCATAAACCTTTTTCATACATTTCAAATGTCTTACAAGATTGTCCTTTCTACAAATTGAGTTCCCCTTTGGTATGTGATTTGTGAACTAAAATTAGTAATAGAACTTTATTTAAAAGATATTATATGTATACAATTTCTCTAAAGTATCTCTATACCTGCCAGGGCAGTAGAGTCCTGTAATGTGATAAAGGGAAACCGCCGGACCTCCACCATAAATTCCAACGTTCCCTGAAAGAACTACCATCCCCTGTATACTCTCTCCAGCCCCGTTCGGTGCACACCTGTTAAACATTCCATGCTTACCCAAAAAAGGTAAAAGACATTTAAATTCTTGAATTCAATAAATTTATATTCCTTTATTATTCCAGATCCAAGAGACCACCTGAAAAAATATCCTAAACCCCTGAGGTCATTCCTGAACTCCTATCAGATTTTTTTTTTTCACAATGGAATCATCCTCTATTTCATACGTCAAGATCGTATAAGGATTCTTTAAAGGGTAAGTCATAAAAATAGTGAAAACCGTCCTTGATTTATTGTCGTGTTATTAGAACATTAACTATGACTTAGGAACATGAAGCGAGCCAAGGTCTGTAATTACAATTAAATTTAGCAAACTTTGTCACGATAGCCTACTTTTGTTACACAGTGTTGTGTATCTAGGTATACGCTTGTACATTAATAACTCCAAGAATCATTAGGTCTTATCTCCACCCCAGAACTCCGAGTGCTTATCCATCCTCAGGCTTCCTCAAGGTCCACACTAGGTAAATTCGCGTGTTCGTCGTTGTTAAAAGGACTTTTAATATTTTTTATCTCTTTTTCAGTTAAACGCAACCGCCACTTTTTACATGTGCATGTAAATTGGTGCAGTCTTCGAGATTCTTGTCGACTCTACCAGCAAAATTAAATAACGTTTCGCAACTCTCCAAGTCACATGGCCAAGAGGAAGCTTTACCGTCCGAGCAAAAAGTTGCAGAGTGACGAATTTAAAATTGAAAAAGAAACAAAAAAAGAATAACGACAATGGAGTAATTCCTTTCGAAGATCTTGGCCTAGATAGTTATCAGTAACGTTACAAGAAAATGGAGCAGATGGCTATTTTTGGATTTTTTTTTACAAAAGTTCGCCAACTATTTAACGTTGCGTTTAATGCCACCAGCACCTCCCTCATGCCCCTCGTCACTAATGTGTCTTATAATACCGTGTCCTAGCTTGATTAAGGTATCTGGTTCAAGGGTGACTAACAATATGCATCGTGAGTCTGTCCAAGAGATTGGAATATAGCTATACACGAAAATTTGTATTTACCCTTTATGTCAATTCTATCTATTTATTGATGGATTTTGTATGGATTATATATATTTATATACTACGATAAGACTTAAATAGAAAAAAAAAATGTTTATAGATTCCACGCATGCTTTGTAATGGATAATGGGAAATTTTATACTTGTACTAGAAGATGGGGTCCTGCGCCGTTCTCGTTGATTCTGAATACAAATGGCCCATCCAAGTAATTTACTGCCATTCCAGGCTATATGCACTGCAGAGTCTCTGGCTTAATATGAACATACGTCTATGTTTTTACGCAGGGCCATGCGAATAATATGTTTGTATATCATTATATTTATCGCTGCCTGCCTCGTTCTTCCATATATCCGGTTATACGTACAATCAATATTTAGATTTTTTAAAATATTGTCTGATTGTGAGAGGCGAGAGCCATGTCATTGCAACTGCTGCGTGAAAAGGAAACATTACTGTGACGTATCTACGTGATCAACGTTCTGAAATTCACTGCCAGTGTCGCGTGCGCGGTTTTGTCTTACTTCATAGCATGCAGGTAAACAGAGACACAACGACATTCGTAGTACTGGCATTGAATTCTGAACGTATTCCGAGTCTAAATTTGTCAATATGTACAAAGAATAATCGATATCTTGGACTTACCGATATCGTTCATTCACCTGGTACTTTTTTTTACTTTGCAGTTCGGAGGATCCGGATATAATATACACTAGCTATTTGACTCTTTGATATAATATCTGATGGCGGATTTTTTATTGGCAGTGTCTTTTTTCCTTGATGATTCTGAGGATACTGGAAAAATAAGGGGATGTATCAAGAGAGGATTTGGCATAAGGGTGTCAAGGAGAATGAGTGAAATATGGTAATTTTTAATGGTTTTATTAATTTGAAAAAATTAAGTGTATATAGAACTTAATGACATAACCTCCACAGAGATATCAGAGGGCTGAGTGTATTGTGGATCTATGAAATTTCTAATGCTTCATGGAAAGACATGCTACTACCCTTTTCGAGAATGAGAACGTTGCCGTGCCACGCATTCAATTTTGTTAATGAGGGTTTGCAAACAAGCGTAATCCATAGAACCACCCTTTGACCCTTTGGCTCTCGCATGCCAGAAGTATGTACGCCCAGGAGTAGATGTGCTGGTAAATATCTTCTAGGGTGGTCGATACTTCTTGTGCGCTATTTGAGAAATTGCGTGCACGCTAATGGATCATTCTCAAAAATTAATCAAAGCTGGAATCTCGCAAGTGTCTCCCTCATAGAAAGCATATAAGTTATATTACAGTCACCGTATCTCCTGTTTTCTTATACACAAAGTCGAGTACACCTCCTTCACTCTTGAGGAAGTTCTTTTAGATCTCAAAATCTATGGAGATACAAGGGCTACGTATATCATCACTTTACCTAAAGTTTCTTTAAAAAAGACAAATAATATAACTAATAATAAAAATAATCACGAGATGTCGGAGCGACTACCGGAGATGCGTCCCGACTCGATGGGAGTCCGTAGCGCAACTGAACAGAACTGAATAGTGAATTTCCTTCGCTGAACTCTGAACTAAAGCGGAACCGGGACCCGGTATTGGGACGTACCGGGTGTAAAAAAAGCGGTAACAGAAATACTTATCCCTAGTAGAAATACGAATGTAATTTCTTTGTTCAGATAAATGAACTTCAATTTTTAATCAGTAGGTTCTACCAGCGTCCATCTACTCCAAGGGAGACTTTCTGGGGGAAGATTCTCAACGTCTTTTGGATGACACACCCGTTACATTCCAGAATTCCACAATGCTCACTCGCTATGTGACGTTCCAAGCACGCAATCACTTTCCCGTATTTCCTGCAACAGCAAATCACCATCCATAGCTTCTGCACACGTGTAATATCAGCCTCTTTGGTGGTACGTGATTGTCATTCGAAATCCTACAAGAAGTAGTGGTGATAATAGTTGAAAATTTGGTCGTGTAAAAAGAGAACAAGATGGCGAGTAAAATTTAATATTTAATAAGGTTTATATTGCCTAAGTGAAATTAGGGCTTTTGGTCCCTTCATTATTATACCGTATTTTGTTCAGGGTCAAAGAGAATGACAATATCCCTTACTGCCAGAGGCCGAAAATAGTACTGTGACACTGCTTGAGAATGGGGGAAGACACGAAATGCGAATAACAAAGTGGAAGTAGAGGAACGACGACAAGCTGATAAAGGAGGTTAATGAATTAGCCGAGGTAAAATATTTATCAACTACCACTACTAGTTTATACAGAGGCATTTGAAAATCCAAGTCTATTTTCAGCCTCGTGTGCACCTTAATTACTTTTTCCTATTTTCGCATTCCCCAGGAGGTCTCTGCGGCACCATCATTTTGGTAATTCAAGTTTCAATTTATCGTCCTTCTTACTTCCCTGTTCCCAGGGCGACCTCAACGCAACGATAATACCGTGGCGACTTCTTCAAATGCTACTTTACATAAAATGGTGACTCCACGACAAAATGACACGCGAATGATTCCACCGCATGTTTATTCACCTAACCTAGTGGCTCATGAAACGAAGCAGAGTTATGGTAACCTCTGATCAATAAATCCTTGTATGTCAGTTAAATGTCCCAGGACGATGGTAGGCAAACCCACCGACGTAGACAACAATACATTCGCTTCAGGCTATTCAGCGACGATCAAGGAACTCTTCTTCTGGAGGTGGAAACCCCAGTCTTCCGTTGTTTGTTCATCACAATGAAAATTATTGAATGAATATTAATAGCCCAACAGACAGTCAGTGCGTTACGATTTTGTTCTGTATCGACCGATAGAACAATTAATTGTTTCTATTAATTTTCAATTGTTCTGTTCAGCACGAACAGCACTAACGGAACACTAGCATTGATATGGCCACTTGATAGTAAATTTTGTAACAATCGACCAATCAAATCTATTTGTACCTTCAGCTGCTTTTTTTGAACACATAGCATATGCATTAAAAGAATCTTACAATGAAATCTCTTTAAAGACAGGAGAAAGAGAAGAAAACGAATTTCTTGTACCAATCGACATCATTGACTAGACCCTCCAGTCACAGAAGGTCTAGGGCTTTAGATTTTAGAAATTCCTATACTTGTCGCGAGTGCGAGAGAGAGGGTCTTATGGAAGATTACACGAGTGAGACAAGGACAGATATAATATTTGCCAAAATATCTCAACTTAGACACACTTTCTCAAATTGTCTCTCGCAATTCTCGCATCACCGAATGACCTGGGATAGTGAAATGACGAGTCCCTTAAATGACTATTTACTTTATTGTAAGCAACACGTAGTGGGGATACAAAGGCCGCATTCGGGGACTCTTTATTATGTACGGATATTAATAACTAGCATTTGATATTTTGCGACTTGGCTCGCTTTTCTGTATACGATTAGAATTTCTCGTTTATGCTTTTTTTTCCATCTCGTTTTATCTCACAACGCGATTCTGACGGTTATTAATTAGGTTCTTAATTCCTAATATAGTACACTATACTTCCCACCCTCCCATATCGTTTCACTGTAGTGCCCCGTCCCACCCTTATCGTACTTATCATTATCATCGTTATCATCGTCTGGCCTAATTTAACGAACCGATACCAATCAAGGATATATACTTTATTATGACTAACTCTGAGGCGAGCACGAGCGATGGCACGGTTATCGGTAACCTCCTCTATAATACAACATAAATATGGCAACTATTTAATTAAGTCCTCGTGGATGATCGGTTCGCGCCGATACGTTCGTTTAATTCGATAACGATTAATCTCTACGTCTAAGTCATAGGATAAACTTCAACAGTCGATCGTAGGATGGACTTTAACCCCGAGTAGCGTTCGACGGAAACGTCGCGACGCGAATTTAAAAGGCGCAAGACGTCGCGACGTCACCGATTCCTTGCTCGGATGAAGTGGGCGTATCTTAAATTTAATTAGTTACTCTATCTTAATCTTCTCTCTTGTTTTCTTCTTTTTTTTTTAATTTACCTGTATTTTAATAAAGCTATTAAATATCTTCAGCGAAAACATACACCCGTCGCTCATTCGTTATGGATACGCGTAATATATATATGTATATATATTCATAGGTACTTGTGTGTCGATAATTCATTACACAATTCTTATGTTTTTTTTTTTTTCGTACATAAATTTTCCAATAATTTACATCGCTTAGGTCACTCGATAGACTATTACGTTATTACCATTTTTTTTATTCTTGTATTCTCTCATGTGTCAATGAGGGTTTTTGATTTTTTTTTTGGGGGAGACTTTTGTTATCTTTTCATTGATTGTCTAGATATTGAGAAAAATGTCATGGAGAATTTCGTTACTGATTCGTACATTCCCATAGGTGATATGGAGTAACGATAATGGCACGTTTCTTCTTTCTCTTTTGCTATTTTACCTTTGATTACACTCGACAAATCGTGGATATGCGCTTAATCGTAATGGATTAGTGAAAATAATTCTTGCCAAAGAAAACATACGACTACCGATAGATAAACTCCGTGCACGATAACTTTTCTCTTTGATACCTGGCAAGGGTATGCTTATTCTTAGTGCTCTTTCACTCTTCCTCTTTCATACTCTGCCGTTTTTTTGTCAAACTATTTTTTTGTGTTTTCATAGCTTTTACGTTATTCGAAGAAGTAATTATGGGATGCGGGGATTAGCGAGCGTGATTCTTGCAGAAGGGACGTCCACCCTTCGCGTAGAAGCTCTGACCCTCGAGATTCTTCTTGCACATCTGTAAGAAAGACGTGTATGGTGATGAGAATTTTTTTTATAACGTCAATATCACTTTTAATTATCTAATAATTACCGTGCAGTTGAAGCACTGGCTGTGATAATTATTGTTGAGGGCCTCTACCCAACGGTCACCAGCTTCCACTGGGAATCCGCAAGCGAAGCATTTCGTGGTGAACAATTCGTTCCAGTCTGTCGGATAATCAATGAATTAATTATTTATTTTCACTTTTTTTTTTCCTTACAGAAATATTTGACAACCCGATGACAGCTTACCGGATTCACAGTATGGCAATCCTTCCTCCAGGAAGAAGGGACTGTTGCCAAAGAGTTTTCCACAATAGGAACAGTTGAAGCATTCAGGATGGAAATGTTTTCCAATGGCGTTCAAGCAGTCCTGAAGAGAAAAATATAATAATATATAATATTAATTTCTAAACGAAAATATAACTTTGCAATGTTTTTAATTCCACGGGTAATACTCACGCCCTTGATTTTGTTGTTGCACTTGTTGCAAGGCGGTGCAATGAACTGTTCGAAGCAATACTCGCAGTAGAGCTGACCCTTCTCCTCGACGAAACCAATGTCCTGCAGTGGTCGACGACATTGTCCATTGACGCAAACAAAGTGATCAGGACACCAGATTTGTCCAAGGGCGGTAATGAAGGGTCCCCTAGTTTATTTAGGACAGAAATCGATACGTCAATCGAATTTCTTTTTTGGCTATTATTATAATAAGTCACGAAGCAATTATCCGCTCGAATGTTACTGGCAGAAATGATATTCCTTGCTGACGTCACGCTATCATTAAATGCCAGTTACATTAAAGAGTATATAATCGTGGTAGAATAATTATATTCATATTAATATACATTAAGCCATTGCCATAGACATATAAATAATTATTGGCACGTTATTTTGCGACGAAAAGAACAAAATTTGTGTAACATATAAAAGCAAGGCTCGACTTAGAACACAAAGCAACATTAATTTGTTGTATGATTGCTTAAGAAGATTCGGATCTTGAAATAGAAACGTAGGTCGGCCAATGTGTTTTCTTTGTGTAGTAAAAAGCATCTGTCAGAATATTGTTGGTTGTGAATGTTCTACGAACCTCGTGATCTCCGCTTGACAACAGCAACACACGGGCTTCGGGGTCTGATCGTTCGCCAGGCTGTTAGTAATCACTCCGTTAGCTGTCGAAAACGTGCACTATGATGTTAGTCGAGAACGCAAGACAAAGGCTGTAAGTTAGGTGCGCGGTTGGAGATAAAATAAAAACAATGAAATAAATAAAATAAAATGTAAGTGATTAGAGTAAAAACAAAAATAGAATTGGAAAACGGATCCACGTTTCTTCAGTCCTGGTTCTTGAGGGAAAACTGGAAAAAGCTTAAATAAGACACAGGCGGTTATTGACGATCGCACGATAAGTAGCCATGCTACTGCTGTTGTACAGACACACAAGTAGCCATGCTCTTTTTGTCGTAGAGATAATTGAATAACGATGACAGACGGACACTCGTAAAGAAACAGACAAACAAAGACAAGAACAAAACTAAGAACAATACTCTTTCAGGTACACTCATCAGTACCTGACGTAGGAGTTGCAGTGGGCACAGAGTGGCACACGGGATCCTGGACCACTAGCTTGATTAAGTATTCCACGTCCACGTTTCGGTGCGCTGCTACCAGCGAAGGAGCCGCTCTTGGAGCCTTGTCCAGGAAGTCCTCCAACGCCGGAACCTAGATCCGGGTGGGACGACAAATTTGGTGGGTCTACTAAATTCTGGGTTTTACTAGTCGGGGCGAGTTTGGGACACGATTGGTTCTGGGATGTACATTGGGCCTGGGGTTTGTACAGCTGGACTACGTGCTTGTCCTTCTTCAGGGTGAGTTGCGTAAGCTGTTTCGTAAGATTAGTGCGCGGTTTGTGAATAGGCTGAAAGCCTAAGTCGTTGGGTTCTTGTATCGGGGGGATGGCAGGGATCTGAATGTTTGGGGACGGATCCTCATCCTCGTAGGGAAAAGGGATCTGAGGAAATGGCAAAGACTTGGCATTGACAGGACACTGGTTCTTCAATATTGGCTTCGGACATCGGACTGACGATACTCCCGGGATGGTACAGGGTGCGACGCACACGGAACCATCCCCGCAGGGAGCCACGCAGACTCCAGAATCCGAACAGCCACCCACGTCCAGGTTACAACCACCGGAACGCTTTCCGCAAGAGCCCGACGGTTGTCCACAGGTTCCTGACTGTAAACCGTAGCACGGAGACACGCAGACTCCTTTACGATCTCTGGTGGGTACCACGCAGATGCCTGACTGAGAGCACGATGAAGAAGGTCCTTCGCATGGTACCACCACTACCCCAGCCTTAGTTCCAGCATCTGACACCGCCTTGCATGGCAGCACCGTCACTCCTGTGTCCGGGCAGGGCCTGGACCTGGCGCAGAACGCGCTGGGCTGCGACTGCGACACCGTTCTCTGGCATACCTGCTGCTGACTGCTCTTCTGATAGACCTGAGAGCGCTCACAGCTCACTACCTTTGGACAAGGCGGTAGAACGCACACTCCAGTTTTTGGAAACTTCTCTGACGGTGGCGCGCGCGCTATCGGACAGGGCAGTACAGGCTGCGACCTAGTTACTTGGCTTACGGCACATCCTGCCTTGAGGTCTTTTCCCCTTTCTACTCTATGGGAATAATTCGTTTCGTCATCTTCGTACGACTTAACTAGTTCGAACCTTCTTTGACTCTCCTCGTAGTCTTCGCTGATTTGCTTCGTTCTTTGTACCGACGAGCTGTACTCTTTTTTAGATTCCTCGGTAGCGACGTCATCAACTTTATAGAACTGTTGGCTAGACTGGTGCGTAGTGCCCGAATCATCGCAGTAGGACATGGACTTCTTCTCGGTGTAATCCTGGACTCTGTGTCCTGTCGGAGTGTCCTCCTCGTAGTGATAGGATACAGTAGCGCCTTTAGGCGTAGTCGTATAGGAACTCACAGTAGTATGTTTACCCTTTGGTGGAGTATCATCCCTGACCTTAGGAGCTTGAGCCTTTAAGAAGCATGCGGGAGGTTCAGGAGGGCCCTGAGCAGGTGACTTGGATCTACCTGGAGTCGGTGTAGGTGATCTACTAGGAATATAAGTCTGTCCATCGACTGGACCCTTCTTCATACATACCAAGTTCCTCTGATATGACGGAATAGTGTCAGGTTTTTTTAATCCAGTCATTAATGATCTATTCGCCGGAGTTTCAGGCCGAGATCGCGTGGGCGACCTGGATGAGTCCCGTAAGCGATAATCTGGTGGCGGAGTCGGTAATGGCTGCGGTGTCATTGACTTCCTGGACAGACTACGTTCCCTCTGCATTATCTCACGGGTTTTCGAATCTATGTATAAAATGTCAGCGGGTGCACAATAACCGGAATTTTCAACAGCAGGGACCGAGGGCGTTTGCGACCTTCTTTGTTCGTAGTACTCAGTGGATTCGTAGGATTCGACTGGCTTCTGGGTTCTACACAGCTCCTGATACTGTTCATCAGGTATGGATCTACGTTGCTCTATGTATTCAGTGGTATGGTACGGCGGCTTTGAACTACGCTCTATATAATATTCCGTGGTCTCGTAACACTCGACAGGATCCTTCAACTTCGTCTCATCGACCTTACGTTCCATCCTGTTCTCCTCGCGGAAGAATTTGGTCTGACAGTTGCTCGCTGGTCTCTGAACTTCCTCCCTGCATTCACTGGACTCGTAGCAGGGTTCAATTTGCATTTCCTCCATTTCCTGAGAGTCTCCCAGTGGAGTATAAGGACGATCCGGTGCGGTGGTCAATGCCTCCTGAAACGGTGATACGGACCTCACGGGCCCAGGGGTTTCCTGTGCGTGAGACGGGCTGCTGGAGAACCTGGTTAAGTAAGTAGTGGTGCCATCGTCGTTTGGAGTTACTTGACGTATTTCCTCGTACGTGTATTCGTTGTTGTAACTTTCATTGAAATTTGTGTCGTCAGGGTTGGAGGCTGCGAAAGGAGAATAAGATCTAGCTGGCGCGGTGGTCAAAGCACGAACCATTTCCGACTTCCATTCTTTCGGCGTAGAATTCTTTATTGTCGTTGGCGGTAATGCCTGAACTCCGGACTCTGTCTGCTTCGTGAACTGTACGTGCTTCTTGGTCTCGCTCACGACTTCCTGTTGCGGGGCACCTGCTTGACTTAACCTTGCGCAGAGTCTACGTTCCTGTAGATTCTGACGCTTCTCTGGTGCCTGCTGCTCTCTGAGACTCTGATGAACCTCGACCTGTTCTCGGAGACTCTGTCTTCTCTGCTCTTCGAGTTCCCGCTGCCGGAAGCTTTCCTGTATCTGGATCTCCTCCTTTAATTCCCGGTAGCGTTCCTCAGCTACCTCTTGCGTTTCCTCTACTTCTGTCTGCTCGGTCTGTTCAATGTATTGTTCAGAATGTTCCTCCAGTAGCTGTTGCTGCTGTTGCTGCTGTTCACGGATCTCACGTTGCTCACTGAAGCTGACACGTTTCTCACGAATCGACCTGGACCTCTCCTCCTCTAGACGTTGCTCTTCCTCTTGTCTCTCTTCCTCCTCCTCTCTCTTTATTCTTTCAATCATCTGCTGAGTATCTACAACGGAAGTCACGACCTCCGCAGATTCAGCAACGCTCCTCCTACCGGAAATATCCTCAACTTCTTGGTCAAAGGTCGGCGTCCTTCCGTCAGTGATCTGCTGAACCTCCATCTCTTCGGCCCTGTCAACTTCCGTGAGTCCCGGTGAATCTGCACGATCAGGCGAGACGAGTTCTACAGTCTTTTCATAAACAGTGGTCTTCTTTATGTGCAAAGGACCTACGTCCTTCTCCAGAGTCTCGGTATAATAATCATGCTCTCCCTCTACGCCCTTTGGACATACTGCAACGTTCGGTGGGACCAATTCCGACAGATCACGTTCCTCAGCCTTACTCTGGACCACGGACCTTTCCGACGGCGGCTCAGCTTCCTGCAGGTACTCGCATACCTGAGTCTGATGATAGACCTTAGGCTGTTGACATATCTGAGGTGCTTCCGATGTCTTTTCCTGATATCTCTCCTCGCGGTAAGTATCCTCCTGCTGGTAACTCTGAGGTTGCTGATAAGTCCTCTGACTAATCTTTTCGTGTTTACAGACCTGCCGTTCGCTGTACTTCTGGCATACCTTCTGCTCGATGGGATAAGTATTCTGATAGAGGTTGGTACCAGTAGTTACAGTCGCTGTCCACGGCTGAGGTACCGGCTGAGTAATTTTCGTAGGCGTCAAGGATCTTCTTAGGCTCTCTCTGGACTCGGGTCTGGATGAGCATTCCCTGGACGATGCTCTAGGTACCATGTCTCGTGATCTTGACTCTCTACGCGAATCCTTATGTATCCCGACCAGTTCGACCCTCCGATATACCGGACCAGGACAGCTCACCTTCTCCATCCTTTCTACTACTTCACGCGACTCTACGTGCGTCTCCTTTCTCTCAACGTCCAGACTCTTTCGACTCTCTTTCGCGAGCTCTCGGTGTCTACAATTGAGAGCGGGATTGGGATTTATATAGAGTGGACAGGCTGTTGGATATGTTACGTCCTCGATAGGTTTGGTAGGTGGCCAGACCAGGCTCTTACACTTTACTGATGTCGAATTGTTCCTATGGATTTCAGATACCTCACGGTACTCGGCTTCCTCCAGATAGCTTTCTATGGTCCATGGTGTTCGGGGTGTATGGGTATTTGTTCCGGGTGGTTTTTGGTGAAAGTTCAATAAGGTCAAGGTCACGTAAAGGCCGGTTTACGATCGGAATTCGTGTCATAGGGTTAAAACACAATTGGCACACACGTGTGGCATGCATTCGTAAACATTTTGTTACGTTCACGACGATTGGAGTTTATTTTATTTTTTATAGGACGTTAGATTGAGTTAGGAAGAAAAAAGAACAGAGAAATATACGGTGAGTACAAGCGCGCAACTGGGATTCGTGATTGTGAACTCTCATGCGTGTACGCTGTACGAATTTTATTTTTGCTGTTGATATTTAATTTTTTCTTTTTTTTTTTCAGAATCATGAGAGATCACAGTCACGCTCCGGACAGCTGACTAAAATATAAACGCTATAGCCTTATTGATTATAAAAGTCAGTAAGCAGTCGATCCGACTTTATTTGATCGAAGCCTTAATCGTCTAAATAAAAAGATATTAAAATTTGCGACACTCCTCTGGATTCACTGGAATCGGCAACTAATGGCGAAAATAAAAAAGATAATATCGCTGCACAAGTTTTAATGGGTGAAATAGATGGAAATGATTTTTTCACGCAGGACTTTCGTAATCCTGGAATGATTATGGTCTTTGTGAATATGATTAATGTAAAGCAAGGTAAATGTCATACGGAACTCGTCACTAGCTGAATAACACTTCAATCCTGTAAAAAGTTAATAGCGATTTTCAAACAATTTTTCTTTGCCAAAACTCGGTGTACGCAAGCTGCTGTCTAATTAATCGAGAAAAATCGACTCTTACATCTCGGTTCATGTGATCTTTATTATTTAGTTTATATTGCCAAGTGCAAATACGTCACATAATATTTATAGCGCGATAGGGGCATTCAAATAATTTAAGCCCTCTCTTTATGCTCGCTATGATGAAATATAATGAGAGGGCATTATGTATATATATATATGTATATATATATATATATATATATATATATATATATATATATATATATATATATATGTGTGTTTCATATATACATATATACCGAATGAATTTTTCGCACGTTGAGAGCTGCTACGCTCATGCGAAACTAAGGGAGAATGGTCGGGGTTTTGGGTTGAAAGATGGAGCTGCTGAAAAAAGATAAGAAAAGACGAATTATATAGAAAATATTATTCACACAACAATTGATTTTACTACTTCTAGTTTTTCAAATTTTATCGGAAAATTTCTAATCAATTGGACACCGTTGATACGATAGGAACGGAGCAGCTTTCAACGCACAGTTTTATACGCGAATAATTGGAATGTGAGGATTTCGAAAAGGGATAGAGTGGAATCACTATAGATATTTACATTAAAAAAAAAAGTCAAAATCTAAGCGATGAGAATCGTAATTTGAAAAAAAAAAGCGATAAAAAATATTGTTAACCGTAGCTATAATTAATTAATGGCTGATCGATCGAGCGAACGATTATTTACGTATGCGAGCTACTTTAGGGCAGACATTAAGATGATGATAATAATAGGAAGTGATAAGAAACAAAAAAAATGACATCTCTACATTTTAAGCCAAAAATTGTAAGCCAAAGCTTTTTTTTAAACGCCGATGGCCAGTTCTCTTTCTCTCTCTCTCTCTTACGCTATCGTCGTACCTCGGAAGGGGCTACTTTTTGGCTTTGGCAGAGCAGAGAATCGACCTATTTACAAGAATCCAATTAAGTCATTGAGATCCATCATAGATCACGCTAGAAGATGATCTATGTGTTTTTCAAGATCTGGCACAGAAATATTTTTCTTCCTGTAATCCATTAACGATACGCTAAGATCTTTTTACCTTGGATCCAGGTTTATCAACGGATCAAAGAGACAGTAGGAGAACTGTGAATTTTTATTAAAAAAATTCAACTCACATGAAGAGTCAATAATATTGTATTACGACGTAAACTCAAAATGGACAGTTGGAGAATTTTCGATTTTTATACAAAAAAATTCAATTCACATCGAGAGTTGACAATTTTGTATAACGACCGTGATTCACCTATATTTCCGTAACAGACTGTCATCTTACCGACAGATAAGACACCTTATCATGAAAAATCTTGTTACGTACTCAATTCGAAAAAGACCTTGAGGTAATATATATAAAAAAAAAATTTGTATAGTTTACTAAAAAAAATGCAAAAATATTAACTTACCGGTAACAGTCTGACTCTGAGGACGTGGCAGGGTGTTGCTACCAGAGTTGACAATCGGTGGAGATGATAAGCTGGGTGGTGCGATACTGGAACCTCCAAATGGTTTAGGTCCACCGATATTATTGGAAGTGGGAGCCTGAGGGAAAATTATAACGTCACTTTAAACTGAGAAGAAAAAAAAAACGAAGATCGAACTTCACCACGTCTACGATAAGTTTAGCGATAAAATTAAAAATGAATTTATATAATAAATCCTGATAATAGCTAGCTGACAGAGCTCGAAATTCATGATCACGTTAAATTAATAAACCTCATGGACCCGTATCGCAGACGATCGTATCACAGTATAAGATGCTCACTTATCGCAGTACGCTCGGATTGAGATGATCGATCCCAATACAATAAGGTATCAATCGATCGACGACGTTACCTGGACTGGACGCAAACTAGGTGGGTTGACAGGCGACGTGCCAAGGCGGGTGGGCTGCAATGCAGAGACGACAATAACGATCGCATGCGACGTAACAGGCGAATTACGACAGATGAATTAGTCATGCATTTTAAATAAATGGACCAGATTCGACGAGAGAGTATAGATATGAGAACGAGATACATAGAAAACAATAGGAAACAAATGGACAGATAATTCCGAAGTAATATTCATCTGTACGCAGGCATATATATATATATATATATATATATATAATTATTCAAATTTGAATTTACCGCTCTATGTAATTTCATTGTTTATATATTGCGTATATACATTTTTAGGTTACCTGATTCACATGAAACGTATAGGTATTCAGTTCATTGGATTCCGTGCAGCATCCGTCGGGAAGCTCGTTAGAGATTACTGGATTAAATATAATCTCACAAACTTCCCCAATCTTGGGTGTGCGATTAGATTCGGAATTCAAGCGTGAGTTAGTGATGTTATTTTTGCTCGCAAGGATCCTATCGTTGGTACTTCCGACCTCGTTGCCTGCGGTCTGTATGGTGAGGGTGCTTCTGAATGTTTTCGAACCGTTGATAGTGGAGTTGCAGGACTCGGTTTGATATGCGGGATTAAGAGCGCCGTTTGTACCATTTGTACAGTGTGCCATTTCGCGCGGCTGGGACGTTCCGATCCGTGGGCCATTATGATTGGCGGGATTGCAAGCCTGCAAAAGTTATTAGTGGCGCGAAAAAAAAACAAAGATACACTCAGGCAACACGCGATGCAATGTTAATTCGTTGCGGACGATATAGGTAAACTCTCGTATAGGTATTTTTAAAAATTTCTTATAATTTTGTTTTCTTCATTATTTTGAAGTAAATTAATGGTGCACTTGCCTAGAGCGTCTGACCTAACGGCTAGCTTGTAAGCTCAAACTGGACTAAGAACACCACAAGAAAAAAAAAATAGAAAATCCTTTACACCTCGAGCAAGTAATCGTTCCTGTAATCATGCTTTGCTATTGTATTCAAGAGTAGCTTGGATTATTGGATATTTGACAGATAACGTTAAGAGAATAATGACTTACAGTGAACGGCAGAGGGGACGAATGGTTATTCAATGATGGTGATAATGGTGCCAAGGGTGATCCTGCTCCAACGTTAGCCAGGGCGGCTGAGATTGTTCCAGCTGGAGCTTTGCCGCTGCTGGAGAATAATAATTATTATTTGAGGGACGTGAAACAGCCTGTGAAAAATATGGTGTATCAGGGTAAGAAGCTGGGATTGATAATCATTTGAATTTTTGGGCTGATCACTTTGCAGTATCTAATGACAGTAATATCTGACTACTGACAGTACACGAGTTTCATTAATTAAATTTTTTATTATTCCAGCCTTCTACCAGCAGTCGTCCATTCGTCGATTCAAAAGGTTATAGAGATTGAAAATCAATACTGCGTCCTATGATTAATTGGCAGATGGAATGGCACGTGGATAATGATCTATGAATATAAATCCATTATATTTTTGCACAATTGATGATTGCCTATTGCAAATTGGCACTATTAATAAGGTTGGATCATCTTCTTGTCGCCTTGCATGATTGATTCAACGCTTCGAATTCCACTTACGTTGGGATGGTGACAGGTGCAAGGCCAGCAGGTGCGTTTTGCCTGGCAACGAGCTTCGCGTGGATGTCGCAGTACAATTTGTTGTTGATATTGTAGTAGCCAACATTCTTCAGGGATGTTCCACAGGTTGAACACTTGAAACACTCCACGTGAAGATTCTTTTCCTTGATCCTTACAAAGACACCGCTATGGTTTTAAAAAAAATTTTCATCAGTATTTTCGTACCACGCTCTTTGTTTATTTTGGAAATAAGATATCAGGCAATGATTTCGCATTGGACCCTGATTAATGTTTTTTGAATTTCTTTTAATGCAGTTAATTAAATATTTTGTCAATAAAGACGTTCTTATGGGTTCCAATGAAAAATCAGCCTGCGATCTTAAGAATGGTGTACAGTGCATCTTTCAAGGAGTCCAGCGCACGGGGTGGACTCTGAAGTGAAGAAGCCGAACTTTCAAAATAAGCCAATTTTTCTACGGAGAGTATACGAAAAATACGTTAAGCCATGTAAAACTGCTACTGATAACAAAAATTTATCTCCAGTCCGCTGGTAGATACTCAAAAAGCAAAATGATCTACTAGCGTCTAAAAAGACAAAGAGGAAAAAAGAGATAAATACGAGATGCCAAACTACTGTAGGCTTACTGAAGAGAGAGAGAGAGAGAGAGAGAGAGAGAGAGAGAGGGCGAGCGAGAGAGAGGGCGAGCGAGAGAGAAAATAGCCAGATATGGAATTGCAAAAATTACGAACGTGTGCAAAGGAAGAGATAAACAGATAACAAGTGAAGTATGCATATAGTATAGGGGTACGCATATGCCCACAGAAGCATGATCTATGATAGATAATAAATAGATAAGATATGTTTATACGCAGGATACGATGATGAAAAGCCAATGACAAACCGCACGAAGGGTTCCGTCGAGTCGCGCTATAGAAATTATCATGTATGAATTGCACACGAAGAATCGCGTATGCGGTAAAGCGGATATTCGCCGTGCAACGTAATTGTTTAAAAAGTTTTATAGATTTTTGGTTCTTGTTGCGGAAACAGAATGAAGTAGAGGTGGATCAGTGTCCTCAGCAAGTAGACACGAATCTGCAGAGTGACAGTAGCGTAAACGTACAGCGGCGTGCATTTGGTTGTATTGAGTATTTGCGTGGTTCAGCCATGAAAAAAAAAAGAAAAATAAATCGTAGGAAGAAGAATAAATAAATATGAAAAAAAAAAGATGGATGCCGCTCGCAAGTAAAGGACATACACGAAGCATCATGTATGTTCAAATACGACAATCGGACATACATTCCTCCATGCCCGTGCAGGTAGGAGAACATATTTGATAGCTTTGTGAATCCAATAAAATAGTTACACGATGACTTTATCGCAGCTGTGACACACGGTGCAGTCGGACTTCGCGGTCCCGTCGACGGCTTTCGCGTTCGCACGTTCGTCCCGCTGATATCGCTGTGTCGCGGTTTGCCGGAAATTCGAAAACTGCTGACCCATCGCGAGACTCAGGGGCGTCGGGGACCTCGGTGAGGTCGCCCTTCCGCCAACGGCGTGGCTGACCGAAGAGTAAAAATCCGTCCACGCGGAAACTACGACATCAAGTTCAAGAGGATGGTGTCAAAAGTTTAACTGGCTCTCGTCAGTCAGGGCGAAGAAGTTTGGATTTTTCGTATCGTCAACCGCCTCCTGGCGAGGAATTTCTCAACGAGATATTTTTATAAGAGAGAAGAGACAGACAGAGAAAGAGGGATACAGAAAGAGAATGACATGGGGATCACGATCTCCTGGATAGAAACTCTGGCCAACCCGGATGTCGCTGGTACGAACTCCTGGAAGAAGAACAACGTGTTCAGGGCTCGCTGGCCTTTTGGAACTTACACGATGAGCCTCTCGCAATCGGCGCAGATATTTTGTCCTGGTGGTAGACTCGTCTGGGAGTTGGCCGGTGCCGGTTTCGTTTCCGGTGCTGTAACTGGTCGCAATCCTGACACCGCCGGCGAGGACGGCGTTATCACGCCGCTCTGCGCAGTTGGCTCCACTATTTTGCAAATTGGTTATCGAGGGCACGCGTACTTAAGGATATTTTGCAAAAAGTTTTTCACTTGGATTTTAATTACTGCGTAATTAGGAATTGACGCTTCTTTTTTTTTTTAATCTAAAATTAAATTACTTGCACGAGATCAGCAGACCTTTACGTATGCTGCAATGCTAATGGTTTCTTAGAATTTTTTTGTAAATTTAAAAAAAAATTATTATACTAACCGGGTTCAGGAGTCTTTGGCTCCTTGTCAGCTTCCTGGACCATCTTGAAGACCTCGCTGTTCTCGGCATTGTAATTTTTCTCGTTCTTCTTGAAGTTTACTCTGAAACGTGTTATTTCTTATATTCTCATGGGTGAACCGTTTTCATTTATAATTATACTGTACTGTACTGTATAATTATACTATAATTATACTTTTTTTTTTTAGAAAGAGCAAACAACGCAATTGGCTTCTCATTTTTGAGGTACCAGGCTGGGGGGGCAGACTGATTTTGCTTATGGACAAGACAGGCCCTCTGGAAATAACTATTTGACAAGAACTCGACTGACATAACTACTGGCGACAGGAGACGGTACTTGTTTGATTTTTGAAACTATGTCAAAAATCTTTCTCTATTTTCTAACTGCTACAAGTCGATGGTGAAAATAAGATAAATCTAGAAACTCGCTAAAGGTTTATGGTCCTCTTGATGGATTGGATGGTATGTAAGAGAAACTAAAAAAGAAGCAAAGTAAAGAGAAGGGAAATACAATAATACCAAAAAGAAGTACTAATGTAAACGTACCCAAGGACTCCGCCAGCAAGGACTTCAGCCTGAGCGGATAGAGTCTCCGCAATGGTTTCTTCGCTGTAAATTCCAACAGGACTGTTATATTGTTTATTGACGATCGATTTGATTGGTCCTTCGCCAGTGCCATTAAGCTAAGAGAAATAAAAAAGAATGACACAAGTAAGTAAAATTCTTAAACTTAAAAATACAGTGAATATTTAAGAAGATAATTAACACATTTTTCAATTTTACAGGTACTAACGAAAGGTTTGGGACTGAAGTTGTGTCCACTTCCAATAAGAGGACCATCCTGTTTCTTAGCAGCCAATGAAGTTTTCGTGACCGGAGCCACGTTGCTAACTGGTGCAGCCGGCTGTGGAGAAGGCAGAGATGCCGTGACAGGTGAAACGCTGGGTTTCCACGTGCTTCCGCCCCTGGAAAGAAATATGAAAAATTAGCATCAGCTTTTCTCCCATATGCATGCGAATCTCTAGAATAATCAAAAATACCTTTGAACGGTGATTTCAAAATTATTTCCAGCCTTGACGATGACGTCTTGCGCCTCCTTGTGTCTCAGGTTGAACATATCAGTATTATTAACCTTGATAACGGCATCGCCTGCCCTGAGACCAGCAGCTTCCGCCGGGGAACCGCCATTGACCTGAAACATAGACATTCTGTTTGACTGTTTTTCTTACCAAGATATATTAGTTTTTCTTTCTACCCCCTATAAAAATCTATCATTCTATCTCTCTATTTTTCCCAGCTCGATCTAATTATCACGAGACTTCCGATTTACTGAACGGCTCCAGTAAGCTATTGCACGTGCAGTATAGCAACGCCATGTCAGTCCAGACTTCAGTCACTATATTTAAGCGACGCTACGTCGCCCGAATGCGTGCCGAGCACTGTGCTCCCATTCATAAAGTTAACCACGAAAAGGAATGATCGTCGAATAGATACAGCAAAAATGCTTGAGAAAGAAAAGTGTTCATCGTCAGGAGCACAAGAGCGGATCTATTGGATGCGACAGAGGAGAAGAGAAGCAAGTGAAAAAAATTATGTTAAAAGGAGGAAGAAAGAAGAGAGGATGAAAGAAATTGTTTTTTTTTTTTCACCAAACTAAGCGAATCAGTAACGACCTCGATTCCCTACGTTGGCATCATCCGATATAATTAATGGGCTTCGACCCAATCGGCGACCATCGGGAGTCTCTATAAATACCGGTGTAATTTATCGGCGTTATTTTTATTGCGAGTGCGGCTGCACGGGGCCAATTCATTCCGTCCTGCGTGCTTTTTCGTGAGTTACGGAACGCGGGAAATGGGGTCGGATTCGAGTTAGGGACTTTTGGACGCTTCAGGCAGATCGTCGGAGTCCAAGGAGCGTTGTAGGTGCGGCCAGTGGATCGAGCGACGTCGCGACGCCGTGAAATTGGACGCTGATGGTGACGGTTTGGTTTACGTTCACGAGGCCGTAAATAGCGAGATCGAAATTACGTCACTCATCTGTACCTCCGTAACGTGACACTAGTCTGTCGCATTGAACAGAGATGATCCATCGGTAGAAATTAATTCTTATCCCTTTGTTCTCTACAATTATTTCTTCCTTTATGCATGTGTCTCTTTGCTCTCTCTCTCTCTCTATGTATCTTCTGTCTCTCGCGAAAGAATCTCGCTCCAATGTCACGGCTTTGTCCCTGAACCAGAGAAACAAGCCGGACGAATCGGCCAGGGCCTTTCTCCGATTCCCGACCGAAGCCAACCAGCCGGATAAAGATTATCTGAAGAAAGAATGAGGAGGAGAGAGTGACGTGGAATAAAAAAAGAAATAACAAAATCAACTAAGGAAGTAACAACAACGAGACTATGAAAAACATTAAAAATCGCCTACAATACATAAATACTCATCATGCGTCTTGTAAAAATATCGTTAACGATCCCCAAATCGATAAAGCTATTGTATTTATGCCGTAAGAACTTTTATTTCTGTCCTTACTTCCGTAAGTGCCGAAATAGACGTACCTGGCACACTGACGTAACTCAGTTACACAAGATTTTCTAGGCGTCTTCGCGAAGGCGCCACTTATTTGTTTCCTATTTACAATGTAATTCCGCATCGGCGCCACCGGTCACTCTCTCTTTCTCTCTCGCTCTCTGCCACCAAGCCTACCTCCAAGAGACCCTCTCACGGTACCCCAGTGACATCGTACTAGACGAATTAAGATATTGTCGACCAATATATATCTAGTTTGTGCTGGATTTGTAAATGGCCGGCCATAAGTGTGCCGTTTCTAACGTGCCCCGACTGACGCGTATAACGTAAGTCAGGGTTAAAGCTGGGCACCGTGAAAGCTTCTAAAAATAGAGTTGGACCTCTCTAAAAATAGCCCTTCTACGTGCACTCACGACTTCAACCAGGAGAAGGGCGACGGTAAGGAGCAAGGTATACGAGGTACGCATTCCAATGGGCGGGTTATCAGAGATGGATCCATCCCACCTTCCATGCTGGAATGCATCTCCAACGGCTTAAGACCATTCCCGTGCCCTCGTATGCGGCCGCGTACGTATCTCCCGGAGTCTAATAAGACGATCACGTGGGCCGGCACTGTACACAGGGTGTCCGGAATTAAGGCTCTATTATACGCCTTGGTGACAGACACCCCTTTTTCAGGTGTCCAGCAGGTAATTCGACTCTAGAATTCTTAAATTGCAGTATATCCAACCCTATGAAATTTAAAAAAACATCCCTAACAATACAAAACTTCGACGTTGAATAGTGCATAATTATTTAACAACTTTTTTTTCATATTTTAGGTTAGGTCATATAATACCTTACACTCCGGTATTATGTATATAGTAAAGAAGGGCTGTATATATTTTTATTAGACACCCTGTAGCACTTTAGTTCTTTATACACACGTATGGAGAAAGCGACCTATAATGACGTAACCTCTGAATATGAATCGAAATTCCTTGACTGTATACAGTTGATTTCCGATAGTTCTTTACACATATATCTTGTGTATCGTTAAACCCGTATAATGTGGACCATACGTAGATCCAAGGGCGTTAGACCTTGGATTGTAATCTAAGAAACGTATATTCTTGTTCCTTTAACGATTACACCATCGTCTTATCGAACAAGCGTGCTCGTCAGTCTATGAATAGTCCAAGAAAATTTCCCAAGATCAAGTGGATCTCAATTTCATCAGGAGCCACATAAGTCATTTCAAGAAGTTCTATTCCCTAATAAGGTAACAGCGACGCGAGGTAGTCTTATCAGAATGCATTAAGTGATAATAACTTCTTATCTTTGTTTAAGTTACTCGGTCTGCATCATACGATGAGAATGGATACGACGATCATTTGAATATTGCCTTAAGCCTTTCTTTTGGAGAACTTTGACCCCTGACCAAGGTGCGTGTTGAATATTTGGTACCAGAACCCACAAGGATATCGATGTACGTCTGATTTTCATCTCTTAGGCATATACTGTAATTATTGCAAATTGAATACATTCACTGACCAAACGTTACACAGTCCTGAGGAACGAGTCATAAGTTTGTCACAATCATCCTTTGTGTGAGTTCAGGAGGTTCTCTTCTTCTTCTGAGAAAGTATCGTCATCGTTATTTGGAAATGAGTCGGGTTGATCGTCAGGAAGCGAAGGTTAACGAATCTCCAAGAGGAAATAATTCTCGGATTGTATGAGTCGCTGCCAGGAAAACGGTTACGAGGTGGCTGAAGTGACGCCGCACGTGACGAAGAGGATGACCGATCCTTCTTGCCGAAAGTAGTCGATTGGATGAAGAATTTGAATTTTAAAAAAATGTAAAAAACGAAAGAACCGGTCATTGAATTTTGATGAGGTAAGATCAGTCATGAGACAAAGTTCAAAGTTCATCCTGACTATCGATACGCTACTAATTTCTTAACAGGGTCCAAGTGTGTTGATACGCTATTGTAAACACAAACCGAGTCATCTTCTTGGTATACCAGAGGCTGGCTAGCCTACGATAGTCTTCTCGTTGATGATTCATCGGCTATCGGGGGACTCTGCGACGGAGACGTTCAGCTACCTAAAGCTTCGCCACGGTTGACGGCCTCTTCGATTTGCCCGGAGCGATCGGTGATCTCATCGTTATCACACTGGGATTCGGCATTCCACAAGCAATACGATATCTGATTGATGTACGAAGGCTGTTTCGTATTGAAGAACAGGATGAGTGCGGGCCCGTGACTTTGGGATCGTCAAGTTGAAGATCAAGAACTTCATTCGCATAGATAATCACAGGTCTGACGTTGATTCGGCATACCTGGACCAGTCTGAAATTCTTTTAGTCTCGGACACCAAGCATAGTTGAACAGACTGGAAATCTGATTCCCTGGGTACATCCGGACTTCCGGTTTGGTTTAATTCCTATGAGAAATCATGGCGATCCTTTCACTCGTACAGTTCATACCTTACTACGTATATTGATCGTCCCTGAACTTCGGTATCTTTATTAGATTTATCTTCTCAAGGATGCTGTCTTACTGGACCGTGCAGAATCTTTCTCGCAAGAGCTACTCCCATTCATATGTACCTTCTAGCGAACAAAACAGATACGACTAAGACGCGCGGTACTTGGGTATTGTTGTGCAGCTACGCGTCGTTGCTTATGTGTATAGATATAGTGTATTCTGCAAAACACGGCACATAAAGAAAAGGTGTCGCGTTACTCAACACATCGTCACCCGTTATATCTAAATTCACCGAGTAACTGTCTAGACGATATACGCACGTACGAATGATATATCTAGATATATAGATATACATATAAATATAATTTGGCATAACTCCAAGATCATGGTTTGGCGGTTTTCGCACGTTTTTTTAAAAAAAAAATTGACTCTTATTCATCTAATCACGTGTCATTTATCCATATTGATCTCGACAGAGTCGAGCGAAATGTCAGCGATGGAATGTATATATACATTGTTCACTCCATTACAATAATCGTTTGTATACATAAGACCATTGGGATTCTCTTGATGTTTCTTTAATTCTCTTTTTTCTTTCTCTTAGCTCCGCGCATGCGCAACCCGGAGAATTATTTGACGAGAGAAAGAGCGAAAGCTCCCGTTGGCCCCTGGCAAAAAGTCCCAGCAAAGATGGCGACGAAATAAAGACGATATTTTTATATCCGCGAGAGTAAGCTTTGCCGGCCGCCACCAGGCCTCGGTCTCTATTAATATCCGCGGGCCGGGCTTCCTTTCGGCCTCCGCTCTCTGCTGCTCTCATCCGCAGCCTCGCTCGCGCACAGCAAGACTTTTCAGAGTGGAGTAAGGCAAACCGCGCTACGAAAGCTAGAAGGAAGAAGGATACTGTTGAAGTATTAAAAAAAAAAAAACTTGAGAAATAAAAATCCATAAAAAAATAAAGTTTAACGAAATTTCAAAATATTCGGTTGATGACAGCAGAATAATAAAAAAAAAATTTCTCAAAGTAAAAATCGAAGAAAACCCATCGTCTTGTACGCATAAGAATTTATTGCATACGGGTAAGACGTTTTAATAAGATCGATAGAATTTTGATTGGCTCAACGATCCGCTCCAGAATTCTTCTTTCACGATGAACCAACCAATCTGTATAATTCACAGGGCAGCAATAGGAAGCAAATGTTCCTGGTTACGCCATTGGCAAGATATGCTGGTCCTTCTCTTGCTAGAGTGTATTCGTACCGTGTGCACTGGTGGGCTCACGTAATCCCTGGATCCACCTATACCGAAGTTCGCGAGATGCCCGTTCTGAACGTTCGCCAAAACACCCACGCATTTTCCTTCGTTTGTAACGACAGAAACGAGAACCCATAGGCAAGGCTATTCGATGATACTTAGGTGGTAGCTGTGTTATCAATGTCCCACCCGGTATATGACGTAAGACAGGACGTAAGTATTGGCCCGCCGTTGGCCTCTCGCTTGCGGCCTATCGCTTTGAATTTTCGTGCCGGTAAACAAATCTCTGGAATTGGATCGACGAGTGGTTACGTCATTTCTGCACCAGTGTCAAAATAACAGGGGAGACTTTCTTGAGATTTCTCGGGGAAGTAAATAGTTTCAAATGTTATTTTTCAATTTCTCTTTTTTTCTTCTCACCGTCCTCGCGGTACCGGATATGCTGTTTTGTATTTGCGGACACTGCGATCTACGCTATTTCGCATTCTCGATGCAATTGTATAGGGGAAATAGAATTCATGACGTCCTGGTATTCACTTTGAGTGATTTCCAGCAAATGAATTTTCTAGTTCGCCTCGGTACAAACTTGTCAGCGATTAATCAGACTTGACTTTGCTATATTAACTCGCCGTTTTACCTACAGGAATTCGTACTTCTTAGAAATCAAACTGATCACTCTATACAGTTCCTTCGGGTGCTTATAATACACGTACTTCTTTTTTTTTCTTTTCTCTTGTCTTTCCGACTATGAATACGTGTTTATCGCCGTCTCAGGAATTTCTTATCACTTACGTGTTCCGATGCCTGTAATGGGATTCGCGTCAGAGCTTCCTTGAGCATTGTTGCCGATAAGCCACGAGTGTAGGAAGAACTAATTTATCAAATAGTTCAATAAGTATTTAGGGACTGTAATGATCGAACGCGGAAATGCATAAATGACAGATATTGGATCGGTAGCGTATATAAGATTCAACTTGTCAATATATATATTACAAGTCTCTAGGAAATAATTATCAAGGTACTACCACGTGGTTAATTACTGTCGTGTTTTTCGAAGACAATCTAAATCTTTATCGATGATCCATTGCGTCATCATATATTTTATTCATATTAATGACTATCGATTATTATTGATTTCAAAGATATTACAATATGATCTACAGATTTCTCATAAAGTCTATGCGGTCCAGTAGAATGTACTATAGAGCGCTCCAATTTCTCACTGACATTTATCCGACGTCTGCTCTGAGAAAAAATTTTTTTTTCTTTCGAAATCTGATACAGCGAATATGGTGGTACGATATGGCGAGTTTAGACGTAGTTTCCAGGTCGCATCCAATTCTCAATTCAAATCCCACGTATCACTTTAATTTTAGAGATAGCGGGAAAGACCCGTGGAAAACGAGCGCGGTGGTAAACTCGACGGAAATGTATTTTTACGTGATCGCTGGTGGCAGGAAACCGAAACCTCGTCTTGCTCGTCGACGTCGGCTCCGTCGAAGTTAAGTTACCCGCGACTCGGCCGGGTCTGCCGGAGTTTCGCAAAGGCACCCTTCTCGAAATAGACCACCCAAATAATTTGCCTGGTATTACAGAGGCTCGCTTTGAATTTTCCCCTGCCTGTGAAATTTGCACGTTCGTTGGTTCGTCGATTGAAAAAAATATTTGCCACTTAAATAAACAGTCGTGGTTGCAGCTACAGTGTGTACCCTTTTTTTTTATATTTATTCTACGTCGACGCCGTGCGTCCTAGGCGCCTGTAGAAAGTACTTCTACTAATATATATATATATATATATATATACTGTAGGTGGCGTTAGTTCAATTCCATGTATACAACCGCTTACGAAATCGACAAGTGTAATCATTAGGCGCCTGTAGAAAGTACTTCTACTAATTTGGTTCGTCGATTGAAAAAAATATTTGCCACTTAAATAAACAGTCGTGGTTGCAGCTACAGTGTGTACCCTTTTTTTTTATATTTATTCTACGTCGACGCCGTGCGTCCTAGGCGCCTGTAGAAAGTACTTCTACTAATATATATATATATATATATATATACTGTAGGTGGCGTTAGTTCAATTCCATGTATACAACCGCTTACGAAATCGACAAGTGTAATCATTACTATCAGATATACATATAACTACGATGCACTTCCGTCAGGCTTTTTTACGGGAGAAATTGGATTCGCGTAGTATCGCGTTACACTTCCTCGCCAAAACGACGCCGGCATCGGTCGCGCCGCGACGTCTTCGTCGCATTTCGGACATAGTTGGCAGAGAATTCTGTTGATGCGCGTAAAATTTTTGGCGATCCCCGGGGAGCGTTACGTAAGGCCGGATGCATCCTGAGCCTGAGACTGGTCACATTGTATTGGCAGAAGAAATTTTCAAAATATTAAACCCGAAAAAAATTTGAATGAAAAATTCACCGTCAAATTTCTATATGTTCTAATCGACCTAATATAACCCAATGAGAGAAAGAGAGAGACGAAAAATAATTTTAATTGACAGTCTACTGTTTTAGAAAAAAATTATAAACGTTTGTACAGTTGCAGTCTTAATATATCGTCCATAAATTTACAATCGTTCAAGATAACAAAAAACCAAGGAACACATATGTAAAATGTCTCTGCGGACAAGGTCGTGTGTTCATTGCTACGGTTGACTATACGTATGTGTACATCTATATACGCGGTCATATAATTATGAAAGAATTCCATAAAACTAGTGTAAACGATCGTAGGAGACACGAGACCGTAATTAGAATGTTAGGCGATTGTTATCGTGCATACTGTATTACGTCAGAAATAAATCGACGTGATAACGATGAAATTCCTTCGAAAGTATATTTGACTTTAATTTCTATATATGTAACGTGATGTCTATTTACTCACCTTTTGAACGACAAGCGGCGTGCCAAAATCCTTGCCCCCCTGAAGACGGAATCCCCAGGGCGAACCGTCGAATCGCGATAACTTGACGCTAATGAGTTGCGCCATCACTCAAAAAAAAAGAAGTGAAAAAAAATGTGTATAATAAACCGAGGTAATTAAAAATAAACAACTAGAACAGTCTCAGGCCTTGTCAAGGTACGGGGATAACAAGGCAGTTCCTCGATGAGCCCGTCGTTCGAGAACTGGATACGTTTACCAGCGTTTGGTGCACCGCTCGCGAATGTATAACGGCACGAGAGGGAGTCAGAGGAGAGACAGCCGTAGGGAGAGAGAAAGAGAGAGAGAGAGAGGGAGAGACTAGTATAGTAGCCAGTCGCACAAAGTATTCGCGAAAGTCTTTCAGGGAGGCTGTGTCTCTATGTATATGCGAGCCTCTCTCAGCGAGCGTCGAAATTAATTTTCTCTCGTTTGAATTGTCGCGGCTTTTTACTTATTTGTCATTCAAATATGCGCGCCTATTTCTCACGGGACTTAGTACACCTGAACGGATTGTAGGGCGCGCGGGCGTGAACGACTGCGTTCCCGGCGAGAACTCTCGAGAACGTTCCTCAGAAGAACGCAAAAACCGAAGTAAAGTAAAACCTCGCTGGTCAGTCGGGCAGCAGGCTTTCCATGCGATTTGAACGAACCACTCGAGAGCGCGTGCGTCCGCGCTGTGGTGGAGGTTGTGGTGGTGGTGGTGATGCCAATGGAAGTGGTGGGACCCGAGATGGCAGCTTTAGCATTCTCGACATTTCACTCCATACCCCTACTATCCCATCCTCACTTCCCTTTCTCTTCCTCGATACTTCTCCATCGTCCCCGACGAGCCGGATGAGCCCTGATATCCTCGTGCTTCGTCGTGTTCTTCCCTGGAGAAGAGGTACTGTATAGCACCTTGCACCCTGGACGACTTTATGCATACTGGATGCGAGAAACTACACGCATAGCCCTCTGGTGGCTTCCCGGTGAACTATCGAGTCATCTGGATCTTAAAAGACTTTTATTTTGATTTAGAGGTTAGATTCTTTTCTATGCTAATTATATTCTGGGCATGATACTAATTTTCTGTATTATTTCACAGGTAGTTGCATACTTTGAACAAATACTAGGTACGAGGTGCTTAGGGGCTGTGTTAGAATGACAGAAGACTATATGTAATTGGATTGTATATATATTTACCACCTACTCAAAGTGAATCCTCGCATTTTGTGTTTGCTGCATTCTGAGGTACCCGTGGCCGGTCACGAGAGCATGAACTAGTTTGTGAATCATGCCTAGAATGCTTTACATAAATTGCTCAGAGCCGACGTCACACTTAGGACCCCACTGGTCGGTGTCTGTCCGGCAGTGGCAAGCAGACGTGACTCACGTCACCTAACCATGCGCATACGAAACGACAAGCCGGTGCATGTAGTGATAGTGACTATGTGCACACATCTTGTAACTGTGACTAAGTTGGCAGGATTTTCGAGAAACCTGGAAAATACGAAGAAATGAGAAAGGACCTTATATAGTAGGACTTAATATACAAGTATATACATACCAGGTGACACCTACACCATGCATTTTATAGAGTCTGTGGGTTTTTTGACCTTAGGAAAATCTGTGTGCTGGTACTGCTAGTTAAGTTTACTACCTTGAGTTGTAGTACTATCTATACTACAGGGACTGCAGGTTCCCTTTTCTTGGGATAGGTATTCCCTACGTGAGGTTAAATAAATTAATAAAGGGATTTTAGGGTAATTTACTTTCAAGTATTACACAGGCCTACCTAAGGGATTTAACTTTCTTTGCAGAATATGTATATCCTGTGGGACTTTGCACCTATTTCTTTTTCCTACTGTCAAAATTCCTGGGTATTTTTCAGCTTTGACTAGACGAATGTGTTTCTTTCTTTTATGCTTTTATTACTAGTAGTATACTTCTCACAAAGAAACTATAGGACCCTCGCCCCATCATATCGCACATGTAGATCCTAGAGTAAACGAATCGATAATCTTTTTTATTATCTTATTTGTCGAATACTTAAAGACAAATATTTGGGACTTTATCTAGATTTTAGAAAATCCGAAAAAAATTGTAATATTGGTATATATATGTATACGGATTTGACATTTAAATTGACAGAGATAAGAAGTAAATAAGTGCGTTCAAGAATAATACACAATTTATATCGAGCGATAATTATTACCAGCAAGGTAATAATTAGCATTTGAATATCCTAACTTCTATATACATTTCATTATGATCTGTACGAACTCCATGACTCACGTCCTTTAGTCAATGGGTCGATGGCCCATTTCTAAATCCAATTCTAAACCATAGAAAAATTCCTGATCGCAGCGATCGGATAGATAGAAATTCCTTTGCCTAATTACATTCTGAGAATCGTCCCGCCTATTTTTTAGCTCATTATCTAGCGGCATGTCAACTGAGCCACTGAGTATAAATGAATGTACATTTCTATGGTAATTGAAAGTACCCATGGACTCTTAAACAGAGTATAAAAAATTTGCCACTGAATGATAAATTCTTTTTTTCATTTTTTATTTTTTTTTCTCTTCGATTCGAACGGACCAAAATGGCGCTTGCGTACGCTTCAAGCTAGTGTCTTAAATTAGCCCTGAACAGTCTGTACGAGTTACATCAACCGTATAAACACGAGTCGAATGTAAACAGAACGATCGTAGGTGGATCATTTTCATGATATTTGAACTGAAAAGAAGGTCTTCAACTTTTCTACATAATATATTGTGAAGCTGACTTAAGGCACGGGGGCCTGATGCGACACGAGGTCTTTAGGTTTGCTGCAGGGAACTCATTATCAGCAGACAGTAGTCATTAACCCCGGGGAGGTTCGTGCTAAAAATATCTCACGAAAATCAACGGCTCTGCCTGGTCGTGTAGTAAATCTTTTTTTCTGTCCTCCGAACGTTTCGAAAGATTCGATTTTTTCGAAAGTAATGGTAGAACGAAGATGGGGGGGAAAAAGAAACAAAATTTTATAACACGTGCGTTACATATTATAACACGGACTGCCATGGATGATTTTTCCGTGTTGCATACAGAATATTTTTATTAAACGTTAGGAGTACATAGATGCTTAGAATTAGACGAGATTCGTAAGTCCCGCCGCATATAATCGTGTAGTAAATTATTTCTATATTGCGAAAATACGCGGGACGCGTAGGAGTCTCGCGACTTAGAAAATAGTTTATCTGTCACACTGGCACTGTTAATACTCATGTCCTTAATACGTCACACGTTGTTTTCTTGTACCCAGGTGATATTATTTTTAATTAGACTGAATCATTTTTCTCAATGACTGATACTCCTATTACTTCTCTCATCCGTGACGCTCAGAGCCGGTGATCTCTGTAGGATTAATAATAATTATAAAAATCCATCTTCTGAGTATTTTTTTTTGTTAATAAAATATTTACCACGCGCTCCAGAATATCTTCGGCGGCATTCACTTTCGATGGTCTTACTGGAATACCCTTTTTGGGTTCGCGCTCCATTTTGTGAATCATTTTATACACGCTGGAGTTTATCAGGTGATCGTAATTAGGCAGATTTGTCTTTTCATATTTTTTAAAATTTATCCTGAAATTATTTACAAGCTATTAATGACTTTTTTCATATAATACGTTTTATGAATATTTTTTTTTTATATATTTTTTTTTACTTCTCACCCAAGTGCCTTTCCTCGCAGTACTTCTGCCTGGGAGGATAAGACTTCCGCAATCATGTCGTCATTAAAAAAATCATTTGGACATCTCCATCTTCTACCATAAGTCAACTCCAATTGCTTAGCCTGCGGCCAGAGGTCCTTCGAGTGTTTCCTGCCGTGTCTTTGCTGCAAGAGATACCAACGAATTAGAAACTATTGTACATTTCCGAGCTAATTAGAAACACCAGAATCAGACGTGTTCCCAATATACAAGGACCGGTATTGTACATAGGTAACTTTTTTAAACCACTCCGGATATGTGCCATGCTGTAACGATTAAACTGTTAGACATACAAATATATGTAATAAATGGACTATGTATAATTATGAAAAAGACATCATATCAGAACTATATTAACAGGACGACATAATGACGCACGTATATACATTGTAGATGTACAGGGTGGGGTGTTTATAATGACCAGGTAAATTTTTACGAAAACGAAGCCATATATAAAAAAAATTGTCAGATGGAAGTTGTAGGGTTTCAAGGGGGACGAAAGATTCTCTTATTGAATTCCTTTCCGAGTGGAGGCGTTAAGGTAGTTTGGAGGTCAACTTTAATTTTTTCAATGGGATGACTCGATCTTTCTTCCAGAAATCAAAAGAGCATTCAATTTCGAGTCTAATAATACAAGTACACTAACGGCCCAAAATTGACAGGTGATAAGATATTTAAAAAATAAGAAAACCTATACGTTTTAGGTAGCCTACGTGGTTACCCGGGGCACATTGTGCAGCATAATTTGACTAGGACCATTAGCTGTCTAGGGACGTTAAAGATGCCTGGCTTAAATTTCCTCGCGTTTCGCGCTCCAGTAGGACTCGAATTTTATGGGGAATGGAATGAGGGTGAATGAAAGAGAGGGGATAGTAGATAGTAAATCCCAGGGAATGTAGAGTCGGATACTTGGTCTTGTTTTTAAGATATGTTCTCACTTGTCAATTTTGGGTCAATAGTGTATTTGTACTTTTAGCATAAAAAATTGCATAATTCCATTGAAAAATTGAAAGTTGACCTTCGAACTACCCTAACTCCCGCACTCAGGAAGTAATTCGATAACGGAATATTCCGTATCCCACGAAACCCTGCAACTTTTGTCCGAAACATTTTATTATACCTAGCTTCCTTTTAAAAAAAAAAATCGACCTGGTCACTATAAATGCCCCACCCTGTATATAATATATGAATTTGGATAGACATATTCGATAAGGGCTCCTCACACAAAAATTAATTGACACGAATCATCCGGTGATTTTCGATACCTGCAATTCTTGTATAACTTGATCTTTCGGTGCCAGGTTTGGATCTGGTTCAAAACTTCCTAAAATACATTGCAACGTGTTGCTTAGTATTACTCAGCACGCACCTGCCATTCTGTTTGGATTTCTATAATAAAACTGAGAGAACTCTTTCTCTCTCCTCTGTTTTCATCTCTCTTGCACCCAACATAGCAAACGGTATCATCGTGACGGATGACCATGACAATCTAGCCGTCTCTAGTCTAATTCATAATGATAATATCCAAGAGAAATACTCACTTTCGGAACACGCAGGACTAGGACCCCGCGATCTCAGCACTTGAGACTCGTAGGAGACGATGAATTTCTTCACATTCTCACCCTTTCCTTTCACTTTTATTTCCACCTCGGACGTCACAGTCTCCTCTTGCTCCTCGATCACCTGGGGTAACTCACCCTTTGTCACCTGGGACCCTTCACCCTCTACAGACTCTCTTTCACCATCTGTCACTTCCTGTACTTCACCTTGATTATCTTGAGCCTCCGTTTCAAATTCTCTTGAACAATCATCTCGAATTTCATCTCGTTGATCTTCCTCGTATCTATCTTGTTCCTCGCGTTGTTCCCTGCTCTCTCGTTGTTGTTGCTGTTGTTCTGTATAAATAAATTTTTTTTTTTTTTCAAACTCGATCGGTTAACCTATTTATTTATTTTTTTCATCCTCTCTTACCCGATCCTCTACGACTACTGTCTCTGCTCTCACTTTGCACACCACTCAGTTCCATAATCTTGTGCAGCTGTTCGGAAACAATTTTCAAATGATTCTCAATCTCGCTGGGCAGTTGCTTCAGCGCCAACAGTTGGCTCTGCACGTTCTCCAATTGTTTCTCCAAGCTGATCTCCGTCGAGACCAATTCCTTGATCTTCTCCTTGTTCAGTTTTGAAACGGCCTGTACTTCCTCCATTATTCTATCAACTGGTTCCTCTTCTTGGGGCTCTTCAACTGTTGGCTCCAATTGATCCTCGGCTGGTTCTGCAAGCTCAGCCGAATCGGTTTCAGCCACCTCAACTATTTCTTCCAATTTAGATTCGGGCCTTGATTCAGTCCCGAAATCAGACTTTTCCTCGGTAGGTTCCGGAGTGGCTGATGGTGTAGTTTTCTGAGGTATCAAAAGGAAAAAAAAAGAGTCATCTATTAGTACGATGATTATACGTGAGAAGCGAGTGAAGAGGTACTGGATATAATTAATTAAATGATGAATACTCGTATTCACGTTAAAGAATTATTGAATTAATTATATATATATATATTCGGTTTATATTGTGTCTGTATTAGCAATGACTCTTGTAACAACGTATGGTATACTGTCTTGTATGTTGTGAATTAATAAACGCGATTCCGAGTACCTCTTCATCGATTCTGATTATTTTATCAGTGGATAGGATTTTGGGATGATATTCAGTTTAAATGAATTTCTATATGCTACATTTTTTACCGGCAGGGGTTATCGAACATTTAGTGTATGAATGGAGCGCAATAAGCTTTTATTTTCTACGTGCATCGTACACATGCAATATCCCAGCACGGATACATACACTGTATCCCTAGTAATTTGTTAGACGTAATATAACCGTAATATAAACTCCGTGTAAATTCGACTTACACGTATCGTATATGTAGTATATCAATTTTCACTAGAAATATTAAACCGAAGCAGATCGCCAATTGGAATTGATAACTGTTTCGAGATCATTTTGATTAATTGAACATGCATAAGGATTTGGATGAAAATTTATATATAATTTCTTTTTTTCCACTTTAACAAAATTATGTCAGCGCATACGCGTGAACGAAATGCACGAAAGTGTATTGAAGAAATATTGAGGAGACATTTTTTATTGAGATTTTTCAATTTCCTATACCTACCGTGAGTAGGACAGAGAGGATCTTATGGGGCTTTACGTGCATAAGACAAGGACGAACGTATTGTCTTGCAAATTCGTTAACCATAGCATACCCTTTGGAATATTGGCTTTATTATTCCATATATTTTATAATGAATAACTTCTACATGATTTGACTATCCAAATGATTCTTTTTTATTTAGCGTTTTTATATTCCGAATTATTGATACTCCTGAATTATTAAGAATTTTTGAAAAATTTTCTAGGCTGTATATGCTTGGTCTTTTTTATATTGATTCTCAGCTGTCAATTCCAATTAATGTGCTTCGACTGAATCATTCTGTATATGTACTTCTCTTCCTCCTGTCTTTTCTCGATCTTTTTTTTTTTTTTTTTATTAATATTAACGTATACTATAGTTTACTATACTATTACTTTGTTATGCCGTTATGTGACACATGCTGACACAATTTGTCACTTGTCTGAGATGCAATATTAGCATGCTTTTATATGGTAAATAATCGAGCTAGTAATATCATAATCATTTACAGATGATCCAAGATCTAGCATCTGTTATAGTGATCCTAGGATGAATGACGCCTATTTTAATCTAAACAGAATCATGAGTATTAATTGAATGGCTATTATTGATTCTCTACTTGTACATGTACACCAGTATGATCGATGCGCAGGGTACGAATGCGTATACAAATATTTTCGTGAAGTCTATACCAATTTTATTTGTCAGACCTTCATAGAGAATTGTGGGTACGAATGACATTCTACGATTTTCAGTATCAGCTGGTGCGTCATTTAATTTATCTTTTGAATTTTTATTATCGTTTTCGAAAATTCCTGGTTCTAATTTATTCTTCGATATCTTGAAGGATATCGAGCGCGAATCGAATTTCAGGATTTTGAAACAATTGTCCCATGTGGATAAATTGGCTGTTAACAGTATGGTATTTTCGTTTTGTACTTTCTTGGCGAATCTCTTACTGCCACGATGAAAGATTTCGGTTCTCAAGAGATTTTTGGTAAAATTCAAAAAATTCGTCATAACCTCACCGATCGGGGAATTTCGAAGGTTTACCGAGTCATCGATTTTCGTTTTGACCGTTCGCAACCAATTATTGGTATTTCGTAAATTTTCTGTTATCGTTCTCTTTAGTTCTGGTTTCACTCTGACGTAAGTGTCGAAGATTCTCAAAGAAATTGAATCTGAAGTTAGTTTTCCTTCTCGCATATACAATTCGACTCTCTGATTCTTATTTTCCAAACTTGCACATAACCTCGAAATGGATAATCTTTTATTTCCTCGGTGAAAAACTTCACGGGTGACAGATCTTTTTATTGAATCTAATATTTGAGCTTTTTCTAAGCTTCTTTCCATGTATCGACCTTTTCTTGAATATTTATTTTTCAATCCGTGCTTTTTACCAGGAACACCCACGACAGCTGTTCTACGACGTTTGCATCTACGGAACACGTTGTTACGAATGTAGTGTCCAAAGTCGTCAAAGGTATTACTATTTTCGGTTAAAACTTTCTCCAAATAATGAGGCTTACAATATATTTTACGCTGAGCTTCGTGCTTTCCTATGAGCAAACCACAAAATCTCTGAACACCAGATTTTATTCCTTTGACAATACGACAGCGAGTATCGGTTATCCAGTTATCCTTTTTCAAATACTTCTCCAAATATCGACCCTTTCTTTGTAATTTCATTGACCTCGGAACGGGCGTCGATGACGGTTTTGAACATGAATTAAAATCATCGTACAGCTTCGTGGCAGAATTCTTGAAAAAACTTAACCAGGAATCGTTATCCTTGGTAAGATAATTCTCAAGATAACGACCCTTGAAATATAATTTAGAATCTTTCGATTTCTTCGCGGTGATTGGTTTTGTCAAGGAAGATAAAACATTATTAAAGTAACGATTCCTCATGTACAGTCTACGAGTGTTTCCGGCGGTACAAAATTTCGAGCCTGTGGGAATCGAACCCATGGCAAAGGAATTCCAGGAGTGGCCGAGAGTCTTGGAAAACATCGCCGGGGATGAATTTACAAAGGAGCACCAGGAGTCGATATCAGTAATATTTAATTCTTCTGAAACATCAGCCTGAATATTCGACTGTCTGATGTTGCATCCCGGTACATACACCTTTACCTCGGATCTTGATTCTGGAGTCTTAATGCTTCCTGGCTCTAGGAGTCCCTTCTCCAGGAGACGTTCGGTAATACTCTTTTTCTGCTGCTTCTTGATCACGACCTTATAAGGCTCAACTACTTCCGTTTCTTTTTCCTCTTTGGCCTTCGGCACAGGACGCTGTGGTTTCTGCAAGAAGGTCGTGGTGCGTTTCAACTCCTGGACCTGAGGAGGTTCGGCTGTGGCGATATTCTGAAGTTCCTCGAAGACTTTGGATTCCTTAAGAAGCTGTGCCCTCGGTCTGAGCTTCTTGAAGTTCACACTGGCAGGAAATAGAAAAATAATAAAAATTTTGCAAATTATTTTTTTTTCCCCTAATCATAATTACCCAAGAACTCCTTGATCCGGTAAAAGTTCCTCCTCCTCGAGAATTAACAGAGCAATTTCATCGTCTGTCAAATTTTTATTCGGCACTTCCTCACTGTCTGGATATATCGGCTTTTCTATAGTCTCCACGCGATGATATTCCAGTGTCTCTGACGAATATTCGACAGTCGACGTTACTTCTTCTTCTACTTCCGGTGTGTCTTGTCGCACTTCCTCCGGATATACAGGTGGCAGCTCTTCTAGCTATACAATAAATACTACTGTTAGTACCTTCTTTTTTGTTCGTTGTCAACTCTAACCTAACCTAACCTAACTCACAGGAATCGTATATGGAACGATGTTCTCTTGTGGAATCGCCTCAATTGCCTTGCGTGACTCTTCGCCTCTACATGTTGTGAAAATTCGAAAGAATACAAGGAATTATGTTAAATCATACACTTAGGCATACCTAAGGGCATAACCTTACCTGAGAACACCAAGTACGAAATTATTTCCTGCCAAAAGAATTTGCTCGTGTGCCTTTCCGTGAGTCAAGCTGCTCACTGGTTGATCATTCAATCTCACAACAACGTCGCCAACTTGTAATCCCATACATTCCGCCAGACTTCCTTCGGTGATCTATCGACCATAGATGTATAAGTTAAAAAGATTTCAGAGAAAGTAAACAGTGTTTTATGATGAAACAGGATGATTTTGATTCCAGTAGTCAAGCAGCCAAAAATCGTGATGGGTAAAGGTGCTGTAGGAAAATTTGGGGAAAAACTCGAAATGACCTTTTCGAGAATACATACTCTAATGACTGTTAGTGGCTGAGGAAAGTCACTTCCACCCGCCAGTCGAAAGCCCCATGGCGTGTTGTCGAATTTTGTGAACTTTATGTCAATGGCCATTTTATTCTACATCTAAAAGCATACGTATACAGGCAGCTGATTAAGCTAAGCAAAAAGCAAAAAGGGTCTTGTGTCTTAAGTAATGTAATATTATACCCTTTCGTTCGCCATTAGCGTGGAAAAGTTTTAAAAATTCAATGGTGCAAATTATATGACTATATGTAATATGTCTATATATAAATTACATTTCGTAAAATCGTAGAAAGACAAAATACCGTATGGTACCATGAAAACATTTCCACGAGTCTCCTCGTACCAGCGGCTAATAGTGTCGCCGTAACTTTGGACCTCGTGACATTTGCTGCGGACTTTGAGTAAATTTAAACGGTAATGCCGCTAAGCAATTGCCGCACACGTGCCACTTAGAAGTTCGTACATACAACCTTCGACATTTCGAGCGGCCTTAAATTTTACACGTACGAAACCAAGTGGTAAAGTAGATCGAACAATTCGTAAGATTCAAACTGAATCGAAATTGATTTAAATACTCGGGAAATAATAACTGCTAATTCAGCGAAGGACGATAGAAATAACCGTTGAATTTAAAATGATCATCCCTTATGAAAAAGATAATTAAAAATGATAATCACGCACAAAGAAACTTGAGACAAAATAGAGAACCAAGGACACAATGTAGTTTTTGGTTGATGTGGCCGAGGAATCCCGGAAGTTCTTGTATTATTTCTGGAATTACGATGTCACGGTACGATGCGCTGTTATTATTCACTGTTGTCTAGCCAAGCGTTATCGTTGGCAGTTATAAGAAGCGATGGCACAAAATCATGAGGAAACTCGTAATTGACTTTTACGGATAGAGCCAAGTGAGAAATTTGAATGTTACAGGAGCGGAAGTCGTCTTTTCAAGTTTGAACGCGCCGTGTCTGGCGCGTTCTTCGTAAACCGGATGAAGGAAACGAATCTCCCATGAAGAATCTTAATAATACTTGCCAGCGAGCTCGTTCTATTGGCGCAAAGTAATACGGCTAACAGTTGACAGTGCTCACAGCATTTGGCAGTCTCAGCTCACCAAATGGTACAGAATAATGCAACTGATTGGGGTCCCCTTCGTTTCGGACGGGACCGAAGCGGCGCAGCTCTGCAAGAAATGGTGTCACGATAAGCTTTGCCAAAGGCAATCAATCGGTGCGCACAAATACCCACCCACCATGCTAGAGGTGGTCCGTAAGCTGAATCTATTTACTGATCGGTTCTATTTAGATCAAGCCTCGATTTCGTTATTCGTTACTATCTGGTCAGCGTATATTGTACCCGCTATAAGAACGTGCAAATTTATTGCATCGTAGGAACAGCTGGGAATATTTATTAGCTGTAGAATTCTGTATATGATTTCAGGATATTGTCTTTCAGCGAGATACAAAGATAAACTAGTACCTTAGAAATCGATTGAGCAATAATTTTTTAATATGTACAACCCATCGGTAATGTATAATTATTGGAAAGGTTGTAGAGGATCTTCGCAAAGTTCCGGGCTGACATTGAATATAGGATATTCACTATTTGATGTATAAACGTCATGGATTTTTTATTCATAGTTGAAAAATGTTTATATCTTCTCAAAGCTCTCTACTTTGTTACTGATAACGCCAACTATTGAGATTCTTAAGAAGCATCTCGCGTATATGCTTTTTTGTATTGTATTCCTTGAGTATAGGGTGTTTATGCCGATGCTTCGTGAAGATCGACATAGAACTGGTTGTATATCATAAATATTATATGTCTGATAATTATAAGAAGTTGTTTGACTTATTATAGAAAGCGTTAATAAGTTTTTCACGTTCTTTTTGTTTAATTTCACAGGTCTCTGTCGCTAAGTTATCATTGAAGCTCTCAGGTAACTGCTAAATTTCTCCGGAAGCGCATGCTCGGCTCAGTTACTACAGGGACTCTAGTTCATGAAAAAAAGTTGAAGTCAAGTAAATATTTAAGTCTTTAGATTATTCTGTACAAAGTATTTAATCACGGTGATTCGAGTAAACGAATTATTCTCTGTAATAATCGAGGAGAAAATAGAAATAATCGCTCTAGGGACTTTGCGTACGTCGCTTTGGCAACCTCTTAAGAAAAGCGGCTCCAAGAAATTCAGTGAATCCATTTTTATACCGCCTGCTATTCGTATCTTTAACGTTTACAATTGATTATAACTTTGAAAAACCGGGTAAGTACAGTGTCAATTATTTTGGGTAAAGGATGAAGCGTTCCATTGTTATTTGATTAATTAAATAGTGAGTACAACGTGCTTTAACTAACATAGTAGGTCGCTAATTTCATTATTGCGAGTATGGATATATATGACTCTATTTATTAAATCAGTTATATAATTCTTAATAATTGGTCTCTCATGAATATTCGTATTCATATTACATGATTTATTAATACATTTATAAATACCTATAGCAGATATATTTAAGCAACCTTGGTATTATATCTATTACTTTTGAATGTTGAGCTATTTTACTTTCTTATTCCACAAAATTAATGTCACTTGGTATCATATCAATAATAATTAGTAATATATTATATTTGTCTGATAACTTTTTCTTTTTATAAGGTTGAAAGCGATAACTGCTACATTATGCTTTCTTTGAGTAATATCTGTCATTAGCATATATTAAGTTTCATTCATGTTTTTTGATTGAAGATATGGTGCGGTAATAATGATTATTTGTTTTAGATTAACCATGGTTGCTCACACAGTTCTTCTTGATTTTACTGTGTCTGTTAACGTCATTGCAGACGTGGAGAAACGTTCCAATTTAAAATCTACGATTGCCAATGTTCTTGCAGAACATTTTAATGGCTTAAAACCTCTCACAGAGTCAAACATCGATGGAAGTCTCCTTGTCCTCTACACTGGTCCAAAGGGTAGCTTGATTACAGTTAGAGGATATATCGAAGGATTGGTCACAGTAAATGTTGAATATTACAAACGTGATGATGAAGATGCACTGTTGACCTTTGAGGTGAGTCATGATTAATAATCCACTTGAAATTCTAGTAGTATCTAGCATCCTTTTCCACTCCTATTAATCGCACATCCTAAATAATATCCTCTTGTTTATTGCAAACGCAAAAGAGCAGCTCGTGAAAATTATTTGAATAGCAATATCTGTGGAATTAAGTGGGACCTATATACCTATATTCTGAACGTTCTAATTATAGGCGTGCTTTTAACAGTACTTGTTAAAGCTGAAGTTGCAAACACATGAGATAATTTACTGTGTCACATTAATATCACTCTAAACTAACTACAGGATAGCATAATGATTCAAAACTGTCTGAACTTCAATAACAATACTGACAATTATCATTTGAAAGCATAAGTGGAAAGCGATATTTGCCATATTTCATTACATTGGATTTCAATGAACTTTCAAGAAAGTCGTATCGATTAGAAAACTTAACGTTAATCAATAAAACAAGAAAGAAACATTGCATAACGGACAGGACGTTGTAGCAGTGGCGATACTTGGAAGCTGACGTTGCCGTGGCTTTGAACAGCCAACGCAGTAAACGTTTACCACCTGTAAGACGAGGAACCATATATGATCTCTATTTGACTCTCTCAGGTAGAAAACAGCATTCCAGCAACCGAATTCATTTTTCACTTAATCATCAACATCCAAATCATATTTATAGATCTTTATGAGACATGTTTCTAGAACTATCACTATTATTGACTGTTAATTTTAGATATTTAGGGTAGGTCGCTTGCCAGGAATGTCGTTAGATTCCCCACCTATCCTATGTCTCTCTATCTGAGCACTATTTGTATTACCTTTACTTCTACCTTATCTTGGCACAATCAGTTATACTCTTGGGACTCATATTATCATGTAACGCATCACATAGATATATTCAAACCACTGAGCAATAAGAAATATCATGACAAAAGTTCCATGACTTGTCGTTTTCCAAATGACATATTCTGCTTGTTACCATCTCACTAAGGAAATGTCTCGCTTGTACAAGTTCGAAAGTGAAGTGATAATATCAGATCATCAGTTGATTTGCGACGTTTAATTCATCAAGAAGAATCTAATTACAATATCAGCAGAAATAATGGCCATACGAAAACGACATTATTATCCTTTTTTATAGCTCAATCTAATCTCACTATATGCTATATTTACATACAATATCTCGTTATAAATATTCATGTCGCTCTTCTTCTCGTTAGAGCTGCCTTGCCTGTTAATTATCATAATACATATATCTTGTTCCGTGATGTCACAGCAATGTTATATTAGATAGTGGCAACTTGTACGACTAGATGGTACGTTTGTTCTGTTTATACGTTGGTTTGTTCGATGGCTATGGTAGTCGGCGAGAGACCTGGAGACGACATTGCAGGCAGCAGCAACCGCAACGCGGTCTCACACGCTTGCTCCCATTAAACGCGGCGGCCCGTTTGAGAGATACTTTCCCACCGCCGGTGAGTTTTATTTATATTTATGTTTACGGTTGCTCGAAGTATTTAATAGAGCCATAGCTTGGAAACGAACGGGTGATTGGGTTGAATATTTCTTGTCATGTCGAGGATGTCCAGGCAGATGGAGGACTTAGCAAGTCTGCGTGACTATATTTCAACTAATATATTTAAATGCAATCCTTTAAATTTTTTGAAGAGTACGTACTGTATTATCAGCATGTGAAAAACGTATTCGCTATGTACACCTGGTGCTAGCTGAGCTCAAACTCAGATTTTATCCTTGTACTCGTAATGAGACAATTTTTAAGTGCAATGCCCAAACAATGCCTTGTACTTGCACAATATAATTATTAATATTAGAAGGTGAAAAGAATAGTTGTACTCTTGTTTTTGATAATTAATTATTCATATATTGTAGTGTAAAATCAAATCTGTTAACTATTAAGAACGTAATAATGAATTCAGTATAGAATGTAATGTTGATTATGAATTATTAATCGGTTTACGCGCTCTGCTAGATACTTGGAGAAGGTGGATCGTATATCACCTTGTGTTGCTGCGGTGTTTGCACATAAGAGTTAAGGATATTGGCTTTTATTTCCAGTAATTATTTCTTTCTTATTACATTGCTGAGCTGCATTCATTTTAATATAATTAACTGCAGTGCTTGTCTTGACTGGCATGGCTTGAGCATTCTATGTCTTAACTACATTGTTTGATAGAAAGTATACTCACTTCAAGAGAATGGTCATCAGTTTATTTATTATTCTGTTATGATTATTAAAAGAATTAGTGTACAGCATGATTTTTTTATAAAATTATCCCTTAGTTGTGCGACAGGAATTGTATACAAGAAATAATATTTATAAATATTCCTTTTTTTCTCACTCAAAGATGAAAGACTACTCGAATATGACATCGACAAGCTGGTGTTCGAGGCCAGATCGCCATATCAAAAAGTACAAATCGTTCACTCAAAGTCTCTTGGAAATCTGCTGGTACTCGATGAGTTACAAAGTGAGCAAATTGTACAAGTAATTTAATATAAAACTCATTAATGCTACAGATAATCACAAGCCATTTTCATCCATTGCAGATATGTCAGAAGCAGATCTCATCTACACAGAGACTCTGATGCAGCGTGGCAAAGAAGATTACACTGGAAAGGAAATAGTAATTCTAGGTGGAGGCGATGGCGGCCTTCTTTGGGAATTACTAAAGGAGAAACCAAAATTCGTAACGATGCTAGAGGTACCTAAAATTTTGAAAAATCAATTACTTATTACTTGTAGATAGGAAAGTCACAATAAAGAAGCAGCCTTTTCTCACTTCTGGCAAACAAGTAAAAAAACATATTGTGGCTTTTCAGATTGATGAAATAGTCATGAAAGCATGCAGTCAGCATATGACAAGCATATGCGGGGATTGCTTGGACAAAAGGAAGGGAGACAATTATGAGGTAGCTTCGACTGAAATAACAATTACTAATTATTGATACTTGATACAATAAACGAAGCAGTTATCTTCAGAATATCTGAGGCTTAATGTTATTTTATTTTATTTTCATTATCATATATCCAGATCATTGTGGGAGATTGTTTCAAGGCTCTGACACATATGATAGAAGAAGGTAGACAATTCGATTACGTATTCGGCGACCTTACTGATATACCCATTAGTACAACACCCCAGGGAGATGCTTGGGACTTTATAAGGCTGATCCTGAACTCTTCGATGAAAGTGCTTAAGCCGACAGGAAAATACATGACGCACGTGAGTTAATAGTTTAATAAGAGAGAGCATAGATTCATCAAAGTTAAATTTCTCTTTAATGACTTAGTAATTATTCTGTTAACACAGGGTAATGGTACTTCCTGTCCTGAGTCATTGAAAATGTACGAGGAAGTGCTTACGCAGCTGTCAGTACCAGTGACATTCACCAAGGATCATGCGTTCGTTCCATCTTTCTTTGAGGACTGGGTTTTCTATCAAGTCTCGCTCAAATGATGGATTAATGACAATGGTGATCGCGACGTATCGATAAAGATAGTAAATGTCATACACAGCCTAATATCCTTATGACCCAAGCTATGCTTTAGTTTTAGAACATCAATAATTAATCATTTTATTTCATTCAAAGGCAGTCTAACTTTATCTTGATGCGAGTTTCAATGTATGTCCTCACGATTCTCTCAATCATTATGCATCAAGGCAAATAAGTTACCAAACAATGTGTCCCTATGGGATGTTATTAATATTCTTGTTGATTACATTTAATAGATAGCAGAAACGATCAGATTGTTAATAATTTTTGTTCTTAGAGCAGAGCATTTAAAATGCTTGTTCAATAATAACACTGTATTAGCCAGTAAGTAGTTTGTAAATCGTCGGTGCTCAAGGATTTGAATGTTTTTCTATCCTTCTAAAATGCGTTATTCTTAACATGTCCGCCTGCGATCAGCATCAGTTGTGATGCTTAACATTATTATTAATATGATGAGATCAACGTATTTCAAAGAGTCGTCAAATGGTACGCTTGTCTATTGCAATTAGGATTACCAATGGTTGTTAAAATGGAATTGAGTTCAGTGGTTACTAGTAATACTCTTCAGTTTTCTTTAAAATCCAGATGGTATTTTCAATACATAATAATATTTGCTTAATCGAATGTTGCAATGTAATAGTCGTATTATTTCATATCTTTATTTTCTTTCTAATAAGAGAGCCAAAATAATTATGATCTAAACTGAAGAAAGATGTTTTAATGACTGAAGACAATCTGTATTCGCAGCAGTGTGTATAGTTAATCGTAATCTCTTTAGTTAACAGCTAATACACAATCAAGTCCTAGTGAAACAATACCAAATCTAACGAGTCTTTGTTATTCTAAGTAATAATAACTAATTATTTTATCAGTACAAATGTGCAAAGCGTATTTGAATCTTTCCAAAAAGAGTTTGAGTTAATATTATCAGAGTTAGGTTGGTATAGGATATGATAAATACAATTTGTTTATATCCAATGATTTCTCATTAAAATTTTCCATCAAGTTAATAATTGTCATTTATATTGCGAGTCTTGTTCAATGACGCTGTGATATAGTACGTCAACATAAGATAATGTGTAGAATTAGTAGAATCGATTCATTGATACCGTACAATATTACTTTATTTACTTAGAAATATCTTTTGTATAGATAACATGATTTATGCAATGTGTAAACTCTGTTATTCTCTACTCTCTGTAACAAAACACGTAATAGTACTGCTTTAAACTTTCTGTAATTTCATTTGAGGTACAAATTATGCTACAAACGCATTTTCTTAGGCTACCATGCATCTTCTTATCAGCTTTATTGAATGCAATAATATATACTATTGAAACTGATGAGTATACCCATATTAAACTTATCATTCTCCTTCTATATTATATATATATATATATATATATATATATGTTCAACGTGAGAGGTGATTGAAATTCATTGAAACTAGTTAAGTCCTTCTATCTTTTATTATTTGAATCTAATTGATTCTTATTACAATTCCTCCTCGGTACACATTTGCAGAATAGAAAAAAGGGCAAGGATTAATATATAGTGTATTTAAGTACATAAACGTTTCCTTTAAATACAGTTGAGACATTAAGGCTTCAATAAATAATAGTAGATAATTTAAGTAATAGCAATGAAAAATCAGACTTTTTGGTTCGCTTTCCATTGAACGAACATGGAAACTTTGGCCCCGTTAAGGACTTTGTTAGACATCAGCAACATAAATAATTACTCCCAACTACATTACATAAGTCAGGAAAATTCCTTATTTTATTTGTAGACCTGTTAAATACTGTTTCTTCTTTAATTAAGTCTCCACTGGGAACTGACTGTATAGTCTAGCTTTAGATATTTCTGAAAACTGTCCGATCTCATTTATTGTTGGTTCTGTTTCTGTTTCGACTAAGATTTGCTGTAACCATTGCTGAACTTGCTTAGGGTGTTCTTCACTATCTCGTTTTCCTTTTTCGCTTTTTAAAACTTCTTTGGCTAGTCTTTCATCAACAGCTGTATCCTCGTGTTCGTTAATATCAACGCTCCGGTCTAAATCTGTTTCGATGTAGGTGCTGATGGGCTTGTCAGAGTTTTCGGAACCCTCATCAATTTTTTTATCAGCTATATCCACCATCACATTATACATAACAGAATCACTATTTTTTATTAGAGTTACCGAATGTTCTGCTTGTGATTCATCCAAACTTATATAGTCTTTGTCTTCAAGTCGTTTTTTACAATTGAGTGGCACAGCTTTACTCAGTTCTACTGGAGAAGCTGAAGAGTTTGAGAAACTATTGTCATAATCCTTAGACAGTAATAGTTCATTGTTTGGTTTATAATTAGAATTTAATAAAGTTGTAGTCTCCAGTTGGGTTCCAGCCTCGTTTTCTAAACTTGAATTTAAACTTGAATTGCAGGAACTGCTCAGGACGCTATTATTGTATATTATAGTATTCTTATTGGAACTTGAAATATTGAATGTAGTACCAGCTTCCACTTCTTGATTAAAACTTTTTTCATTCTGATCTTTTTCCTCAAATTTTATAGACTTATTGAAACTGATGTGATCCTTGTCCGCATCTTGATACTCTTCAACCTTGTAGGGCTCTACATCCTTTACCACTGTACTATTTTTATCAGATAGTTCTAATTTAGCAAAATTGAGAATTCTATTCTCTATTTCTTCCTTATCATATAAGTTAATTATTAGCGACGGTATCGAAGGAACCAGTTGTAAGTTGGATTGTACAAGAGATAGTTGCTGCGTATGAATAGCTTCTACTTGACGCAAGAGTTGTTTCTCTCTAGATTTCAAAACATTCTCCAATTGTTTAAAACAATTCCTAATTCCTTCTTGAACCTATATAAATAATCAGGAATCATTGAGTCAGTAAGCAACCCAGGTAGCAATTTTTTCGTTACGAAAAAGTCATCCGAATCGGTTACATATGTCAGTTAGAAAGTTATCTGTAAGCTAACCCATGTTCGAAAGTCAACTTTCGGACGTCGAATATCTTTAAAATGCCTTTTTGGCGGATATATGTAACATATTCCGATGACTTCTTCGTGACATCGAAAAAATTGCTACCTAAGAAAATATTTCCAGATGGGTAAATTAGTCTTACCTGAGCAGATGTATCTTCGAGTAGCTTTTGTTTCTCTGCAATCAGCTTAACATTTGTTGCATCAGAGCTGTCAAAGCTATTGTTTTCTGCTTGTTCATTCTTCTCTATCATGTTAAATGTAATCAAATCCAAAGACAAATATTTCACAAATATAATGTTGAAATGGAGTTTGGAGCAACAACAGACACTTTTAGGTGAGAATCTCACAAGGAATTATCGCAAGCGACTAAGAGTGATCAATGGGACACCCATCACTTAGGTCTCGTCTTAACGGGATAATTCCTGTCGAATAACCGGCCTTAGAATCTGGGGCGATTCTTTACAATAGAAAATGTAAATTACTCCAAAACCCTTTGTTGCTAGCCGACCGTCTTGAGTTTGAGATCAGTTAGGTAGAAAGCTTCGCAAACTAGTTTAATAATTGTCCTATAGAGGTAACCAGTGTTGTTTCCTCAAAGTAGAAATCTGTCAAAAACTTGACTATACTTGGTATAGAAATATTAGAAAATTATCTAGCACTAATTCATACCTTCTACCGATTACTTAATATTCTGACCTTTCTAATTTACAGATATATCATTTCCAAAGTAATAAAAGAATATGAACGAGATATCACCTCATCTATTTGTCTTACTAAAGATTTTAAAAGTAATGACACATGAATTTCTCAATATTAACTCTCGTTAAATTAGCTAATTATGATCTTGATCTATTGCATTATAGCTGAATATGTATAGCTGTTCCATGTATAGTGCATTAATCTTTATCAATTAAGAAACGTAATATCACGCTCTTTGTCATTGACACTCAGCTTTTGCCATCCGAAGGAATGCAACGTGCAGTGCAGATGAAAAAACATCTCGTGAAGATCACACGTTGAAGACTGAACGGACTAGATGTATAATTCCTCTGAGGAGCCTGAAGAGTGAGGTGAAGTCGTATCTGAACAGAAGCGACTCGTCACGTGAATGAAGTGCACTAGATTAATATACAGGGTGTAGAAGATTTTCAGTGACTCGTGGGAAGATCAGGGTGCATGGTAGCCTACGGGAAGTTGGGACCATTGGGACCTTTTCGGCAACTGGAGTGATCCTCAGTCAGTGATGAGTGGCGAGCCATGGCGTATGTTAATGTTGCTGAATGGAAGACAGATCAGGTGTGCGAGTGGTTAAAAGGTGCGCAAAGAAGATCAAATGAGATATGAGAATATAATATGATAAAGGAGTAATTAAATGGGCGAGGATTTTTCACGTCGGGATGGAGGAGGTCGTTCTCATTGAATTCGCGTGTGAAATTCCATTTCCTGTATACGCCTTACGAACCGTCATCTTATTACGTACGGGACATACTTAGAGACTGTTTTCATCCATTCATCTTTGTGAGCAATTGCGTAATTCATTGACAGGATCGACGCTGGTTATTGCGTGGATGCTCAGACGATCTTGGCTACGATTTTAACATGTGTGATAGTTTTATAATGATCGTTACGAGATACAATGAAAACAACGATCCGGTCTTTTCAATGACCAGTTAAGCCAGATGACTGGCTGGATGCGTCACCCGGGTTGGACATAAATTTATGAGCAATGTGTAACTTAGGGTGGATATATTTATAGGAAGAGGTGTTATTCTTTTGTTGTTGTTACATTGGGGATTTCATTATTTTTATTATTATGTGTTGTAGGCTTGGACAATTCTGTACTACCTTACGTACACAGCTTTACAAATCATGGTGTTAATGGACAGCAACTACTTAGTTTGAGACCTGAGGATTTAGAACATCTTGGTGTACTTAAGCTTGGTCATCAAGAGATTATTTTAGAAGCTGTCGAGTACTTGAGGAATTTTCATTATGAACTGGATCGTGAGAATCTACAGCTTTTGGCATTGCGACTCTCCTGTCAGGCACATAGTCTGCACAATGAGCTCTCTCGGCAGACTGACTCCAAACCAGTCATGACACAGACTCTTTCGGATGTGGCATCCGTTATGACTGCTGTTAAGCCTTTAGTACGATGGCTAGATCGACCACCATTTAGTGGGCAATTGGAATACAATGACAAAAAAGCTGAGCTATTAAAGCTGTCCTTAGAAATGGCTACATGCGCACAGAGAGATAGATTTGCTGAAAAGCCAATAGAAGAGATTAGGACTACTTGCGGAGAATTAGCGAAGCTGGCAGATTATATCATACAGGATATTTCTGATCCAATGATTTTGCAGCCTGCTAGTCTTGATCTTGCTACCTTGAAGAAACGACCTGGAGATGATTTGGTAAGTGCGTTAGTTAATTTTAATTATACGTTTAAACTTGCAATAGGACAACTACAGAGGTATCTTATTTTATAGTTAGAACTATCTTATTGATCTTTGTTAATTATTGACATTCGTTATTTGCATCATGAGCTTTTTTTTAAGCACATTAGCCACCACATCCTCTATAGATAAGGCACAAACCAGCCGCTCATATATGACATTAAGATTGTCATTTCCTTTTAAGATAACAACGTTTCACCATGATTGTTGCACACCACTGAATTGTACTAAAGTCCAATATTTGTAAGCACTAAATTATTTACTACAAACTTATGAGAACTACGTAATTATTTAGGGTTTCCATATTTTGCCATCTTTCCATGGGGCACATCAAATTGCTGAAATAAAGTTCGGCTCGGCAGCTCATCAATGTGGAAAAATGGAAGAAGGTGACGAAATCGTTCAGGTAGTTTCACATTTGCTGAATCTCGTGTAAACATTGCAACTTTTTCTCTTGAATAAAAAAAAAAACTAGAATAAAAATTTCGTTCCTCAGGTAAACTATCAAACGGTAGTTGGATGGGAGAGAAAGAGTTTATTAGAATTATTCCGTGAGAGTCCCGCAGAAATTTTGCTCACATTAAAACGTAGACCAAGACATACTAAGGTTTATGGTCAAATATACATAAAGCCATACCGATTGCCAAGCAATAAGAAAACGCCATATACTACCCGATGGCAACAGAATCTTCCATCGCCAAGACCAGAACTATTAACGATACCTGATTTCACCATGCCATTGCCAAGGTACATAGACACTATACAAAATATAAAGGGAAACATATGCTGCATCATAAATATATGAAATACAACTTTTTTTTCATTGTTTCTTGAAACAGGCATGCACCAAAGGATCCTAGCCCAGAACCAGCAAGCATATTAGATAGCGTCAACATGCTGGACACAATGGCTACTGACAGTAGTGATTCCGATAGCGAGGTTGAGCCTCCATCATCAGTTCGCCTATACTCAGCAAAGCCCAGGAACCTGGTACAGAGACGAGCCACCATAACAGGTGCTAGTCCTACCACGAAACACGGCGTCGACCTGGAGCAGTTTTGGAGAGAACTAAAACAAGAGCACAGTACAACTTTCCAGCTAAGGGATAAGGCAGCATCCTGTGCCCATGGCTTAGATACTGTGCCATCAAATCTACGACCTCAGACTTGTCTAGGCATAGAACAAACTAAAAGGAAAAAGAAACTGGAAGGACAAGTAGACGAGAGAAGAGTTCAGTTTCAAGATAGATCAGCTGATATTGAAAATACTCATGGAGATGAGTCCGGGAAGCAGGATAAGGACTCGAAACAAGGAGACAAGCCAAAGTTGGATAATCAAAAAAGCGTCTCCTTCGATTCTAGTACAGTTTACTGTCAGTCTTCTCTAATGGACATTGAGATTAACTTAAGCAATAATGCTAATGCCAGTGAACAAACAGTGCCTTCGGAATTTCGTCACGATACCAGTAACACAGCTGACGATAAAGTGACTAAGAGTAATGAGCCAAGTACTCATCACAAAGAACGTGGGAAGTTGGATAAGAGTTACAGTACTCCCGCTTATGACTTGACAGAGAATGAATTTGTCGAGAGAAAATTGGCTACTATTGAAAGCCATTCTAAACTCAGTTTAGCATCGAGCGGTTCGCGGAATGCATCTAGTACTAGTTTGAATAAGACTGAAACGCGCAGTAGTGAGGGATACTTAGAGAATGAAAATAAAATAGTGGATGATAACAAGGAGGTTGAAGGGGATGATATCGCTGACCTCGGATCAGTTGGCAACGTCGCCCAGAAGATTAGCAATATAGAGAAGAGTATTAGGTGCGTAGATACCGATGGAAAATCGTATTCACCTAAAGTGCCTGAGCGTATGGATTTAGTTAAGAATGTTGTACATATTAAGATAAATGATATCGATTATAGAAGCAGTATTGATGAGAACCAAAGTGATATTGAATATATACAGAGTCATTTTGATAATGTACATAATGACAGTGAACGTGTTGATGACTGTCACGTTGACAGTAAGACCAATGACAATGCCATAAGAAACAGAGAAAAGAATCATCAGAGCTCAGTAGTAATAGATAGTATTGAATCAAGTCGAGAAAGTAGTGAAGAAAAATCTGAATCTACCGGTAGCTATAACGAGCATACGAGTGGTAGTGAGGGTGACACGACTATAAAGAAATTTGGTGAAATTTTAGAATCTATTAATTATGCATTAATTGAGCATACGAGGTTGAGACAGAGTACAAGAAGTCTGAATTCTCAGTGCAGTGACAGTTCGAGTCGAATTATTGACAATGTGCAGACTACTTCGCAATCTTGCCAGTATGGAGAAACGCCAAAACTTGAGCAACCCAAGAAACCGGAAGTGAAGCCACGTCTAACACCACCGGAACCACCGCCTAGAAAATATTTTTCGAAACCAGCACCACTAAATTTGAGTAGTATTTCAAATTGTTCAGAAACTCAGGAAAGACCTAGAGTGCCAGAGAGGCCATGTATCAGACGTGATCTGAAGAAATCTGACTCCATTGTGGATAGTCATACCAAAACGGAAACTTTGGATTCTCAGAAGAAACCTGAGCGTATCGAGTCATATCACGATTTTATAGAAAAATCAACAGATTTTATTGATGAGCCTAGTACGCCAGTTAATGATCATAAACCAACTTTACTCACTGATCCTGAAGGCTATTCTGAAATCTATGAAGGCCAATTCAAGGAGGAGAAAACTATGTATGACAAGTATGAACCTTACGCTGAGAAGTTTGCAAGTCCAAGTCATTCCGTCATTGATCAATACCGCGTAGAGCATCTTTCAAGAAACATAGATTCTCCAGACGGTGCAGGCTGCTCAAGACAAGCACATACACCGGACCTGAAGCCCAGAACTCTTGAGAAAGATAAAAGTTCCGAGAAGGGAGTAGTGAACAGAGCCATGATGGTAGCCAGGAGTATCGGACTACATGGGAGTTCTAGTAAATCCTCAGGATCTAGTCCAAGAAGCAGCAGGAAGCGTAATATGTTACTGGCAAGTACGTACAAGGAAATAAAATGCAGCGGAATCCGTTTATTACGAAATTCAAAGGTCAGGGAAATGACGTTATACTAAACGAACGACGAAATAAGCAAAATGAATATATGTATTCATGGAATATATTTCTATTCTAAGCAAACTTAAGGGGGCAAGCGGAATGCAATATGCGTCGATTGTTTTAAGCAGAGTCATAATAACCGGATTCCACTGTAATAATCAAATATTGTACAATAAAGTTCCAATAAAAATAATCATTTAATCCCAGAGAGAAGAAACGTATCGGTAAAAGATGTAGGAGTCGGTGATTTGGAAGGATGGTTAACATACAGAAGCAGAGGTGCAGGTGGTGCTTGGGCCAAGGCATGGTTTGTTTTAAAAGGTTCATCATTATACAGGTAAGATATCCTATAATTGTGTCTGTATATATAATATGTACTCAATTTTATTGAATTACCTAAAATACTCTATTTCAGATTTAAACTTCAGGATAGTGCAAAAGCCGACTGTCTTATAGCTCTTACAGGCTACACAGCCTCTCAGGCTGCTGAAGTCAAATCAAGGAAGTACGCCTTCAAAGTTTATCACACCGGTACTGTATTTTATTTTGCTGCGGATGCAGAAGACTCCTTAGCCGTGTGGTTAGACGCCATCAATAAGGCAACACTAGGACAAGACAGTCATGGTCAAACAAGTGGCTTGTTCAGTGAGACTGACGAGAGCGATAATGAGAGTAAGACTAAAGGAAAAACAGCTCAGGCATCAGAAAGTAAATCAAGTGGAGAAAAGTCTTTTGGATCCTTGAAGAAGAGCGGGAAGAAGGATGCTGGATTTAAGGATCACGAGATGACTGGTGCTAGTTTGGATAGGAAGTACCTTAGATTCCTAGGCACCAGGAATCAAAACGTTCCTGTACCCACAGCACAATTCAGAAGCTATAGAAGGGTTTTACCGACGAGGACACCAACAAGGTGAGTCGCAACAAGTCCTATATGTAAAAATTTAGTCGTGATGCGTTTTGCGTTTTGCCCGTTTTTTTTCTGTTTTTGCAAGAAAAAGTAGTACTGTATGCTAGCCTGTCGAACCCTTTGGGTATAATTACTTGCAGAAAACAAGATTCTATTCCAAATTCCCCGGATTTGCAAGTAACCGTAGCGGGCAGTACGTTTTACGGTCTGAGCTCATCCCACAGTGCTACAGATGTGCTAAGTAGTCACGATATGGGTGATTATCGACGCACGACAGACAGGTAATTTTCTGCATTGCACAGCTTTTAGAGTAACACTATATGCAGCTTGCCTTGACAGAAGTAACATTCTATTAATTTCTTTTTTCATTTTTTTTTTTAAATAAATATATATATGAACATACATAACTTCTTCCCACTAATACAATAACAGTGCTATCAATGCTCCTTTCTATAGTGCTAATTCAGTATTAACAGAACTCCACACGTCAGTCTGGAGTCGACGGCTATTGTAGTTAAGAGACAATAAATAATGTTTACGAAGTTGTTATCGCCTGTTATAATAAATTCACCATTTTAGCAACGAGAAGTCTATTCATTTTGTATGTCGACATTTTGTGCACGTTTTACCCGAAAGTCTCAGAGAATTAAACGACAAAATATAATAAAAATATGACTAAAAAGATAAGCATTAATAAATAAGAGTCAACCTCTGCATGTTAGGTACTTAGAATTGGTATTGGCTGTAAACTGTAGGTAAGTTCATTCGCCAGCTTCTAAAATGCATGAAATTTAGCTTGCTGCGTTAAAATACATGACAGTTCAGATATACCAATTTGGTTCTCTCAGCCTAATGACTATTTATAGTATTAATTATGAAAATCCTTGTATTTTTTTTCTTTTCATTTCTCAAGCAGATCACACAGCAGTCGCAGCAGGAGACCAGATGATCTCCAAGGTTTCATTACTTTGGAAGAATTTATGCTGTCTCATCAGGAAGAGGATCGACGTCAAGGTTTAGGAAGCAGATCAGTGTCACCCTACGTAACACCATTGTCAAGTGATCACGTTCATGTGCAGCATAGAAACTTTGATGACAGCGTAGCAGTTTATGGTCATGATATTCATTACGATGATATTTCACCTAATAATGGCGTCATCTATGGTCAAACAAGAAATTGGGATGACACGTCATCAACGAGCAGCGGCGCATCATACGGATTGTCGCGTCATATCGATGACAATCATTTGCAAAATCATCAGAATGCTGATACCAGTCATGGGAAGTCTAGACAGGTGATCTATGGGAATAGGAAACCGGAAGTCAACAGTATTCAGAAGATCAGATCCCAGGAGGGTGTCGTGTATTATCCAAATAGACATAATGATCCCAGTCATGGTCAGAATTTGTCTAACGATATGATTCAGACTCAAAGTCAATCGAATTCACCGTATCATAGCAGACAGGATATTGTGCAGGGACAGAATAGACAGATGGAAATGATTTATGGAAGGAATGCGCAAATATACGGTACTAGAGCTCCAATAAGAAATGATTTGGACTATGGGCGAAGATCTAATGAGTGTTATCAAACAAGATCGTCTGATATATCAGATACTATAGTTGGACAACATCCGGTCCCACGAAGGCTGATAAGAAATGACGGTAAATTGTGGTTATTCTGATACTTTGTGTGTGTATTAGGCAGCTTTTTATCTTTTCACCATTTTTCAGGTTATTCAGGATCAAGCGGTGATCTTGCTTCGCATACAACATCTGAAACACTACAGCGTGCCAGAAAAGAAGCTTCCGTCACAAGAAAAGGAAGTTTCAATTTGATTGATCGTTGCCGTGATCGTGCATCTCCCGACAAACACTGGATGGATTCGCTTAGGCGTACCGACAAGAAACATTCGAGCTTTGATAAAAACCGATTAAAAAATGTAGCACAATATCAGCCACCGCCTATTCCTAGTTCACCCTTCGAACAGGACGGTATGAGACCAGCTTTTGAAATGCATTTGGATAAGAGTGAACACGTTCAGAAAACAAATAGATTGAAGAGTTTATTTGGCAGTAAAAGTCCACAAAAGCCAAGTACTCTGGATCTTCCCAAAGAATCTCCAAAGACTCTGCTGGGTGAGTAAGGGAATCTGGATAGAAATCATTGTATTCTACGAAACACTTTATATAACTGTATCTTTTTTTTTTATTTCAGGCTCTCCAAGACTTCACAGAGCATTATTTCGAGATAAACGTTCCAGTCAGCAGCAACAACAACAGCATCAACAGGCCAGTCGATCTGGCAGCCAAAGTCCCGGTGATAGTGGAATAAGTCAGTCTTTAAGTTCCTTCAGTGGAGCTAGTCAATCTCAGACATTGAGTCAGAGTTTTAGTTCAGCCAGTTCAGTCAGTGATTGGAGTCCGGATACTCCAACTTCAAACGTACCCAAGGTAATTCTTTAATTAGTAAAAACTTAATTAATAACAATGATCAGATGAATACAAGATATTTCATACGTAGTGTACAATGGGTCATCCAGCATGTCAGAAGAGACTGTCGAATTCCAACAGAAATTCGTTAGCACCACCAACCTTGCCATACATCCCGCCACCAACGTCGCCACCTCCGGACTACCCTGGACTGGAATATCCTCCAGTATTCGAACCAGGAACTTATTCTCTATCAGATGCCTCCCTCTTGCGCAATCGTAGCAAAAACATTCAGCACAAAAGTGAACAATGAATCAGCTCAAAGCGGCAGACGTTCATGAGAACTTCGCACAAACTCTGGGTCTGTAGAATACAATATCGATCTTCTGATTTGATTGATTGGAAAAGTGATATCATTATCAGTCCAATTTTTTAATTGTTATAAAGGTTTTATGAGTGTAGTCGTGAAAGCAATATGCTCGTACTGCTGAATGCGGTGCAGCATCCAAAATAACCGTCCACGCTGTGCCTATGCGAAATATAAATTACCTGACGATAAGAGTTAAAGAATTATCATTACGTCAGGTTCTTCTTAGCCATTGCTGGAAATAATGGGCAATACAATTTTTTAATATCTTTACAATACACATATATACAAATTTTAAGGCTTTCAAGCTATTGAAATTGTTATCGTTACCCGTTAGCGTAACGAGTGCTGAGTTATATAAGTTCGATCTACTGACAATTTGACAGTTTTAATGTCTCTGATAATTTGTTTTTCAATTTTTGCTCGGCAGACGTTCTTTAAATGCCTCAGGTCGTTACTATTAATACGACTATGCATTATAGTATTATATTTATTAGACGCTTTAGTGTATACCTTACGCAATTGATTTTCTAATTGTGCTAATTTAGAATAGAACTTTACCTAAATTGATAATAGATTAACGTCGATAATTATTATATTCAATCATGTCTAATCCTTCCAATCACCGAGCCTTACGCTACGCACTATAGTTACAATCATTATCCTGGATATATTAGGAGAATTAAAATAATATTTTTGCTTCCATTATTACGATAATTAAGTATCGTTTGAAGTTCCATTTATTGATTGTAGGTGACATAATTCTTTTTAGATTTAAGGAAGGAAGAGACTTTTTTCCATTCTTACACAGACTTCCTTACATTTTAATCTCTTGGGAGTGAAAATAAAAGATTCCTGTGGCGTTAATATTATACTGTTCAATCGGGAATAATCCAAAAGCAATTCTGGCATTGCGATGGCTTGTAAATAATTCTTTAAAATGTGTATTTGTTAGTGATCATTTTAAATCACTGATACAAGACTCAATTTTAAAAAATGTGATGACGCATTATAAAGTGCCTACATAATGAGAGAATTTTAGAATTATACATATCGTATACATATTCTTATACCATCTCTCTCTCTCTCTCTCCCCCCCTCTCTCTCTTTTTCAATCTCTCTCCCTCTTTATATGTAACGGTTAAAAACTTTTTTAAACGATATTTATGAATATTATTATATAATCCTGAGACTTTTTGTAGATAGTCGCGACTTCTTTGCCCCTAAAATAATAATTATTGGTATAGATGCATACGCGTACAGCTGTCGATATTCTATATAGATATTGTCGTTAAGCTAAATCCGTTACGTTCCTTAAATTCTAAAGGAAATGCCATGGCGTATTTTCTTTACTTTTTTCACGACAATTTATCATATTGTGTTCATTTAATGGAAAATAACAAATACCTAAGAGAGCCATTATGCATCTATGTTGCCTGTACGTATACCTTGTTTATACATAAGAATATTCTACGCACATGAAGATGTATATTTTAATTATACTGTATAATATTTTACAAGGTTTAATCAAATAAATGATAATATCTCATTGGACGTAGTCGATTTGTTTTTCTAATTGGTATTTAAAATATTTACAATTTTTTGTTATATTTTCTCTTGATGACCTCTGTGAAGTTGATGAAGATGTACATTAGTTGTCCAATGTTTCTACTTCTAAGCTGGCTTAGTACATCATTATCAGTGTCGCTGAGCGATTTAATTTGAGGAGAATTTCTTTGAAAAATATTAAAAGGATTAAAAATTCATTATCAAGAAATATTCAGAATGGATCAACTGCTAAATGGGCCGATGGGAAATATTGTGGCTGCTGGCTTGCAAGCTCTTGTTGGTGGAATTCCTTTGGGTAAAACAGGTGCAAACGCTCTTCTTGCCCTACGCAATGGTGGAATTGCTATTCCTCCTGAGTGTTGGCTCAGTCCAAAACTGTCAGAACAGGAGAAATTGCAACAATCCTACGATACCATGGAAATTCATCTAAATGGAGCATTGCAGATTTTAAAACCTGCAATGGAGATAACAAATATTCTCACTAATGAATGCAAATCTGCTGACCGTTTAAAGCCGAGTATGTTGATTATATTCATCTGTTTAAAATTTTTGCGAGAAATTTTATAATTTATCGGTCTTCTTTACAGATATACCGTCAAGTTCTAATTTGCAATATTACACTCCGCAAGAGCCACTGAAGTCAGAAGTGACTTGTTCAACATCTCAGACAAATAAAAAGATTGAGGTAATGGAAATTAATTAAGACAGTATTGAAATTCAACAATGGTATCAATCTTTTGCAATATTTTTTAATGAGATATTAAATTTTTTATCTTGTTTAGGCGAGTCCTGCGAAACTTGACGTTCCTATTATTAAACTTGAGAAGACGCCCTCCAAAAGTGCAAAAATTAAAGGAAAGTCAAAGGAATTAAAAAAGACTAACAATATAATGCAGAAAAATGCTAAGTGTTCTGCTTGCTATGCTAGTAAAAAAAATATGAGAGCTCCAGTTTTAATTCCATGCGGACACTTTTCCTGCTATAAATGCCTTCCTAATAATTCGACTGCAGAATGCAGGAAATGCCATAAAAAATATAGAATGAAAGACGTTACTAAACTTTATAAATAGACTATTCCATGATTTAAATTATTAATAATTGATTTATCAAGATAATAAATTAAATAACATATTCATCCTAAGGACTTGGAAGTCCTTCTAGGATAAATTTGTTCCCTATTGTAAATTTATTAAATTGATTTATTTCATACTTAATACCGCTTTATATAAATATATTGTCTTTTGTTTTAATTTATTAAGTTCCGTAATATGTAATGTCAATAAAAGTATATGTTGCTTCTGTATCCAGGAGTTTTTATTTACATTTTTTAAAAATCTGCAATTTTACCGATTCAAACACAGATCTGACGAAACGAATGGCGCCACTATCACACAATTGGAATGAACTGTTCGTCTGATTTAAAACGAGTAGAAGACCGTATTTTAAATGCATATTTATTATTTTGTCGTTATTCATTTCAATAAGTTTTCAATTCTTTTAAGGTTTTATAAACAATCCTTATCCCGTTGCATAATTTGCTTGTCATATGACGTAGATCAGCTGTGTTAAATTTCTAGAATGCTCTAAATATACCGCTGGAAGATAAAGCTGAAAAAAGATGAAACGTTAAACCATACAGCATTGGGTATATCATAAAGTTGTGTCACACGATAATATTTAATAAAGCTCGTTGAATAAAGTTAAATGGTAAGCCGTACTTCCTTAGTATTTTTTATTTAATCTATATTTTATTTTATTTTGTAACTTTCAGGTTAGATGTGATAGTAATATTATGAATTCAGATTACAATTTGTTTTAACCTGTTTAGTACTGGTAAGATAATTATGACATTCTATTAATGTAATTATTTTTGTACTAGGTACGTGAATCAAAGGATTCTAAAAAAGATATTCAAATGTATTGAAAAATGTATAGTATGTTAGCTGGCCTTATCTCCTCTGTAATGGATCATATTGAATCATCAGCTCCGTTAGATATTATTGACTTAACAGGAGACTCTCCTGTATCTTCGTTGAGAAACTCACGCAGACCAATGCCAAGTCGCAATGGTATTACAACTAGGGAGCATCGTCCATCTGCACTCAGACCATCAATTATGGAAATTCCGTATGTATACTATTATATTGCCTAATTTGAAATATCAAAAAGTAGCTGGCAAGAAGCTAATTATTTATATCACTAAAAACTACAGATCGTCATCCCAAACAAATCATGGGCATAATATGATAGAAATTCTTGATGATGCCATAAATTCATGGGATATGTGGGAGAACTTCAATATATTACATTCTTCACATCGTAGTTTTACAAATAATCATATTACTCCTGTACCAAGAACTCGTCGACAACAATCTACTCGATCACGTTCTCACACTCAGAGACAGTAAGTAGAAAAATTGCAATTTTATAAATAAAACTTATATTCAACTATAAACACAACTATGTTTTTTATATGTAGGTTGTCGCAACAAGAAAATAATGGTTCCATTGCAACAAACAATCCTGTTGTTGATGTTGCTCCGTACATTAACGATACTATGGAGGCGAAACCAGTGCCTATTATATGTCCAATATGCTTCGAGACATTAAGTTCTGCTCGTAAACCAATGTCGACGCGTTGTGGTCATGTATTCTGTGCCGAATGTTTGAGCTCATCACTGTTCAGTAGCAACAAATGTCCTAAATGTAAAAATAAGATCGTAAAAAATTCCTGCATACGTCTTTACTTTTAACTTTGCTTAATTTTGTATGAAAAAATATCGTTTTCCAAGCCGACCTATTACACCGGCAAGACTGCTATTACTGTAAGATTCGAATATTATGCTCTAAACATTTCAGTCAGCATTTAGTTGTAATTTTTGTGATTGTTCTTATTGAATACGGGTACTCGTTTAAAGAATTATCAAAAATCTCGATATTTGCAATTAATTTTCTTTAGACTTAATGTAAGAATATATTTACTCTTCTGCATACTTGAAATTCCATTACTCTGTTCTAATGAAAATGATGATACATTCGGTTTATTATTTATTGACTATGTGAATATTATCTTCCATAACTTACTACGATTGATAATACTGTTTAGATTAAAACAAACTTTCGGGTATAATATAATTTTGTAATAAAAATATTCTTGAAAAATTATTTTAATATAAACTGTACTCATGTATTCGGCATTATATTATTTCTTTTATATGTGACAATGGTAGTTGAATAGCATTTATATTTTTTGTTCGACCTTCAATATTCTTACCGATAATACAAAGTAGGGCCATAGCTAATATTGTGCCTCGCGACGCGTTCAAGGATAGTCAATATCAGTTCCATACGTTCAAGTGATTACAACAAGTTGTCAGTTATCATGTTTAAAAAACAAGAATCTTTATTACATGATGTGGTCGGTGGAGCAGCAATTGGTATTGCAGGTAATCTTATAGTCACAAGTTCTCACAAATGGATATTATAATTTTTAATATTTTCAGTTGGCATGATAATGGAGAAGGTTTTGTCACCTCGTACTCCGATTGCAAATTCTTCCACTTATGGTAAATTTTAATTGCACCGTAAGAAATGAATTTAATAATGAATTAATCTTATCTCTAACTACTTCAGGCATGCATAGTCCAGTGCAATGGCAATCTGGAAGTAATCAATTGCAGTACGTCCCAAATCCACACCATTGTCATAGAATTTGTCCATCACCATGCAAGCATTATAAACAGAAACACTGTAGCAATGGTTTGCATTCTGAGTATGAAGATTCTTCTATCGACGATAACATGAGTTCTCTACAGTCGTCCAGAATATACGATACTAGCACTGGAGAATATACATCTTCATCAAAGTAAGAATCCTCTACTACAAATCATTTTATTGATAATCTAGTCCAGATTACCTAATCATTTTTCTTAAATTACAGGATATTTCCACACATACCATATGACAGCACACAATCGACTTCTTTTAAGACGAGAACTTCCAACACTGTTGCTTCATGTAAAATAACAAAAGATAATTTAACTACACCTGATAAAATGACAACATTGCCCAAGAAACAAGATTCTTCTCAATCAAAGACTGATGCGTCGAAGAAGCAAAGTATAAAAGATAAATCTGTTGAATCAAAATCGAATGTATCAAAGAAGGAAATCAAAAAAAAGGATTTAACAATCCCAGCCTATAAGCAGAAAGTGAATACAGTAAATAAGCCTTCAGTTAGAAATTGTACATGCTCGACAAGAAAGATAGATGAAGCACTTACTGATTTGCCTAAAAAATATAAAATGCCTTTGTTTGAAATGTCTTCTAAGAGCAAAACCGTCCATTCTTCTAAGACTGAATCTGCAGATATAAAATCTAAGGTTTCTGCTCGTTCTCAAGGAGTGAAAGAATCTGTGAATACTTCAAAGTTAGTAAAAGCTTTACCTGATTTAAGTACAGAAACATCTAAATCGGAGACATTGATCAAGTCTTCTAAAGACAAGACTGTTACAGAGAAAAGCAAGTACCATGGTATCAAATCATCTACTATCTTAGATGCTCCTTCTTTTTCACAAACTAAACATGTTAAATCTCTGAGTGAAACGGGTAATCTTGCGACTTATCACCTTACAAAGTATATTGATTTGGATTTTACAAAAACTGAGACATCCTGTTCAAATACTCAGAATGAGAAAGAAAATATTCGTGACTTATTGGAGTTCTGGTAGCATTCACGGGAGAAAAGGGAAAAATAACGCTTAAATTATAATAATGAGCGTTATTTAAATTATTTTAACTAAATGAATATGTATTTCTGGTGCGCCACAATGTCGTTTTTATGTATTGTTTCTGTGAGTAATAAATAAACGGTACCCTTTCCTAAATAATAACTTTGTACTAGAATAAATAAATATTTTACAAACAGACAACAACAGTAACTTCGGTTTATAAGAAAATACAAATAAAACCTGACCTTTTGACTACAAAAACAGTTTACCAGTAGAAGTTCGAATAAATATCTAGTCAGTTGACATGAAATATTCAAGTTGTACGGTTGACAAATCAACACTGAGTGATTAGAATTATAATTTTGTACTATTCGGGTAATCGGAACGGTGAGATTTTAAAAAAAGCTTTATAAAATTATAGTCAAGGTAATAGTCTTTAAAAAATTGCCCAACTGTGCAAGATAATGCAAGCACTTGGGATAATCGTGCCAACAATTGCCCCATTAGCAAGTAATTAATTATAGTCAGCCCACTTTACAAAGTAAATTAATATAATCTCAGCATCTATTGATATCTATTAATTTCAGTAAAGATAATTGAAAAATTGGTTTCTAACGATCAACCAGAAGCTCCAAATCCTCAAATTATTCACGTTCCACAATATCTCTGCTGTTGTAACAATAGAGGTTTGTTAGTTTTACAGTAACATATAATATCTTCATAAGCAAAATATGTGGTGCGTTGTTTCACCAGATACTGACAACGTTAATAATAATCAATATTATTTCAGTAAATGATCACGGGTATTGTGACACCTGCAAAACGAGATATCCTTCTCCAAGAAAATTAAAAAAAAGTAATTCACCGATAAAATCGAAATCTGAAAGTTCAACAGTATACGATAACGGTACGTTAATGATAACAAATTTTTTGACCCTGATGTACTTTAGATCTAGATTTGAATATGTAAAATTGTTAATTGTGCTCTAATAACAAAAGTACATATTATTAAATAGGTAAACTCAAGAGAACTTCCAAGTCTGCAAGGAGCCCAAATACAGCAGAGTGTAAAAAATCCCCAAATAGAATGAGCAGAAGTCGAATTGGTAGGCAATGTTATATATTTTATTGGATGTTTATACAGTATATTCGAATAAAATCATATTCTTTTAGATCCTAATTCGGCAAACGAAACGACTTTAAAAGTTTTAAATAGGAAACTAGAATATGGCATAAAGGATTTTGGAAGAAGTATGTAGCAATAACTATTTCTTGCAGTGAGATTTCAATGATTAACAAAAGATCGTGTTCCTAGGGCCAATCTCTGAGAAACTTCGCGCCACTTTAGATAAACCTTTACCATATACGGAGTATATGTTGAAATCTACTCAATCCGAAGACGCTTCTGAGGAATCGACATCGTCTTCACTTTTTAATAAGGATGAAAATCTATATACTAACGAAAAGATACAAGAATCGATCGCTAAAGCTAAGGCTAAGGCTGCAAAAAAAGCATCTGAAGCAGCTAAAAACGAAGAAGAATCAAGATACGGAAGCTGGTTAAGAACACCATCGATTCCTCCAGTTTGGACATATTCAAATGCAGTCGATGATCCAAATGAATTATATAGAAAAGCTAATGGTTTAACCAGTTTGGAGCAACTAAAAAATATTTGCAGATGTCAAGATCAAGTGATAGCAACTAATAGTACCTGTGTAGTACTTCCAAAATCTTCTGCTTCTGAGTCGAGCAGTAATCGCTAAATTAATTGAAGTAATTTACCATAATTTGATCCAGTCCGAATAATAATAGGATGTATAATATTATTGTTGATCATGACTTAGATTTCACTTGTTTCGTTTATGTCGCCCTTGTAATTCTATGATAGTGATATTGTCGCATTATTATTGTATTGTTATCATTAAGCTATATGTAACTAAGGCAATTCTATGATTCACGTTGTAAGTTATTATTTTAAATAAAGTACGTGTCCCATTAAAGTTCGGCAATGGCCATAATCGATAGGACAAACTTCCTCCCGCAATATAAGTCAGCAAGTTCCTAATGCGACGACTACAAGAATCGCAGTGAATACTCTACTTGCTTTGGATAAGATTACATACTTTCACCGTATATTATTATTAGTCACATATAATTAATGCAGTCTGGAGAAATAAGTGTTGATTTATCAGCATTGTTAGAAGAAGCGTTTCTCTTATTGACAGCTGATTGGCCATTGTTTTGACCACGCCTTCACGCTATGCTCTGGCGGCGCAGCAGAAAAACAAAGTCTGTCGTCGAGGAAGGATTACGTCCAGAAATGAAGTTGTTTTTCTTTTGTTTTAATCGTTAACGAAGTCGTCAGTGTCCGTCCGTATGCCGGACAGTGATAGCTGGAAAGTGTTCTTGGTATCGCGCCGAACGGAAATAGTGTTAGTCTGCGATCGATTCGTTGCGCCTAAAAAATAACATTCGTCTCCGTGCAGTGGTCATTGACTTCGAGCAAGTGTCAAAATCGTCCCTGATCGTGGAGCTTTACAAGAGGCATCCTTTATAATATACAGTGACGAAATGCTCGTGTACTCTTAATTAGGTCTTTTGATGAACTCAAGACTCACTGTTTCACTTCGACTCCGTCTTTGCCGTCCTTGGTTTTAGCATCCTCCAAAAAGGATCATTTATTACTGGGAAACGTACGTGGCTGATGTCTTATTGCTTTTGTTACAACCTTATACATTGTCTGCGAAGTGCTGTGCATGTGACAGTCGTGGGAATTCCGGTAAGGTCGGTAAGGTGCTTGTGAATTATTCGGAGTATATGCTTGGACAATCTTCGATTTCTTATCGTTTGACCGTGTATAAGAACGTGGTACAGGATGTATTTGAAGACATATTCCTTGGGGAAAATACTTCTTAGAGTTTCCCACAGTTTAATTTTCGTAGGTTTTTGTACTGCTTAGGCTTTTATTGAGGAACAGCTGGGGAAATGATTCTCAGTGGTTTGGTAGTTGGAAAAATATTCTATTGAGGGATTTGTCCTTTGTTGGAGTTTAAGATATTATTTTGTGTGGTGAAAATATACAGTGATTCTCCATAATGTCATGCATAACAACAGTATAGTTGATAGAAAATGGTTGTGACTCTTAAATATGGATTTTAGAATTTTTTTTAATAATTCCAGGTTGACAACGATACATTGAATCGAAGGACTCTTGAGGCTAGAGATAGAGTAACTAATATCAATTAGTTCAGTCTGTCTTACAATATGATACCGGAAGAAAGAAAGGGTAAAATTTATAATAAGAAGCCCTTTCAAGCTTTTAATCACTGATTATCAATGTTCATCCGTGATCAGAGTGCAATGCCAGTACATCAGATTAATGTCAATCCACCTGATTGGCAAGCACAGCCACTTGGACCTTCAAATAATATGAATACAACTGGCAACGAAACATTACCAGAATGGACACCACGGGTATAACATATTGTTTTAGTTACCATAAGTTTTCATAATTATAAGCTTATCTTGACCAGTTTCTTTGTTTGAATAGTAAACAATTATTTTACTATATATCAGTAGCTTATGAATAATGTATGAAAGACATAAGGAAACGCACAGTGTGTTCCTAAAATAAAATCAGGGTGTGTGATCCACATTAGCCTGGCCGAGTCACACAGAAATAACTTTATGCAGAGCTAGAGAGAGATGGTAATTCTGGATGACCTTTGCTCAAATTTTTGAACTATCTTAATGAAAATTATTAGCTAGCATAATACTTCTACACTCTCTACAGACAAAACTAGTATTTCAGAATAATCTGTATGACGCAGGGAAGTGTGTAAATATAAAAAATATTTACTACATATAAAGGTCGTTAGATAAGTAACAGTGAATAGGAATAATATACATTTAAACATTTTCTATTCCCTATATCAAGATTCCAATTATAAGGAAAACCTTTAAAAATCAAATATTCAACAACATGCGTTTAATGCCTCAACAACTATTCACGTCTAATCAGTTTATTTACAATAATGCTGTATTCTATCCACATAGATATATGTATATTTGAATACGCGTCCAGCTGCATACTAATAGGCTGATTAGTGTATCACACATTATTCCAGTGTACTATCTTGAATCAACAACCATTCCCTCCGAACAAAAGACTTGATCATTTTTATCTCAATCTGTTTGACAAAAGCAGCTCTGCAATGGGGTTTGAGCTATGCTCCTCTCAAATGACCCTCATCGTGTAACAAAGTTAAGATAACTAAGAGTAAAAAATCAAATATCTGCATCACCGTCAGATGATCACACCCACAAATGATATTGTCTCATATAAATATATTTAACTTGTCACAGGAGCCAGCATATGCGACAGTCGTTACTGTCATACCAGATCATTGTCACTCGTCGGTGAGCACATTGTCATCCAACAATCATGACATTTGCCGGTGAGTACGTGAAAATCATGGTAAACATACAAATCTGTTTCACATGTCATGCTTATAACAATGATACAGTCTGTATTGTTTTCAGTTTGTGTTGATTATAAGCGTTAAAAAAGTGCATTATAAGCGAAAACTGTTCTTTAAGTTGATTCATATAATCGACAGACAATAATATTTTTTTTCTTCTTCATTAAACATTTCTTGTTGCATTGGATAATCAAAGATAATAGCAATATTTATTTTCTTTTTCTCAAAGGATATGCCACTGCGAGGGTGAAGTTGGAGCACCGCTGCTGGCACCTTGCTATTGCAGTGGCAGTCTGCGATATGTGCATCAGGCTTGTCTTCAACAATGGATAAAGGCATCGGACACACGTGCCTGCGAATTATGCAAATTCACATTTATAATGCATGCAAAGACAAAGCCATTTTCAGAAGTGAGTTTCTTTTTTCTATTACAGACATTAATTATAGGAATGAACTTGACATAAAAGATGCTATTATATAGACCAGCATAACAATTTCTGATGTTATAACTGTTAATATACAGAGTGACCAATATCTTTTATATTAATTTAAATAAGCTGTAATAGCATTGATGACAAAGTGGTGTTTACTTTTGAAACGTCACATTCAAAATATCTGTCATTGCCGATTTAAATCATTTAGCATTTTACTAATGATCAAAGCCATTAAGCGGCTGTGTACGTAGTGCGTATAGTGACGTTATATTAAAAATAACAAAAAAATCTCAACAGTGGGAAAAACTGGATATGTCAGCCCTGGAGGTTCGCAAGCTGTCCTGCGCTGTGGCTTTTCATGCAGTAGCTGCTCTGTGCGTCGCATGGTCTCTGTATGTACTCGTCGAGCGTTCTGTCGAGGAGGCACGAAGAGGATTTGTGGACTGGCCATTCTGGACGAAGCTAATAGTCGTCGTGATAGGCTCCACAGGAGGATTGGTCTTTATGTATATCCAGTGTAAGGCATACATTATGCTTTTTAGGAGATGGCGTGCATTCAACAGGTAATATATTCGTGCCTTAATGTTTTATTAACAAGAGTTCTAATGAATTTGAAGTGTAACTCATATATATCTTGATGAAATTTGCAGAGTCATATTTATTCAGAATGCTCCTGAGAAAGTTGTGCTTCCTCCTTCACCGACGGATTCCCTCAGGGAGGCAAGCTTACCCTTAAAGGAGTCTACTGCCCCGTTGGCAGAGCTCAATCACGCCCTCTTATCGCGAAACGTAGATCTTCCGTCCTGCACTTCGCAGACGGCAAAACCTGATTCTGCACCGCCTCCACAGAGGCACGACGCTCAACTGAAACTTTATGTATTCGACAAGTTCTCGTCCGAGGACAATCTGTACAACAAAGGTGATACTTGCTAAAATTAACGAACCTGGTGATCGGATAGCCTGGAGGCGCGTCGGAAGTCACAATTCTTAATTGCCATAGAAGGGAGTGCGTTATAAAATATATACCCCTTTTTATTTCTCGAAGTCGTTCGACGACGGTGCTTTCCAGGTGCACCTCCGGTCGGCACTTAGTACTTCAGTGCTTATATTGACAGTGGGGTAGGCGGACATTCGAAATGGAGTACCCCAGACAATTATGTACATAATTATTGTATCTGTGATGTTATTAAATAAACTTTACGATATTTAAAAGATAAGGTGTATCCCTTATTTTTTGCATCCATGCTGAACTACGAAAATCCCATCTTTAGAGTATTTTTGAGAAGACCTCTAATGCTATTGGTATTATCCAAGCGTAAATGGGGTATTAATTAGGCTGTGAGCCGTAAACTATTAAACGTTATAAGGGTATCAGATTCCCAGGGGGTAAAGGGTAAATACGCTGTTGACGTTCATATGGATCACCCCCTATATCATTGATTTCCCGAAGACTGATACGATGTTTGCCGAAGTTTACCGAACTGTTGCTGCGCTAACCTGTAAGCCAGTGTTGCGCGGTTTAGATATCCGTTTATCACGTCCGCTTCGTTCAGTTTAATTATTTAAACATGTAAATATGCAATTCAATTGTGCGAGTCAGTGATCGCAGTGCTCTGTTCAATTTTAAGTTTTTCATAAGAATTGCGAGACAGTAAATCATAAACCGGGTGAGAAATGTCGGAAATTCGGAAGAGGACGGTTGGGGATGCGTCAGCAGTAACACAGGATGTAAACGACGATCACGTAAGACTCTTCTTATTTGGAATTTATTATTCGCTAATAAATTGTCTTCTTCTTCTTCTTCTGTGACACTGTTTTAATAATATATGTCGTTTCTTTTAATGCGGAGTCTGCGACTTTGATCCCTCATTCACTCATGTAATAGGGAGACTTTTTTATGTTTACTACGATGACAGATAATCAACCATCGTATATCATATTAGGATTTCTTGATTTTTTAAAAGGTTCATTACTGATTATTCTTCTTTCTTTTTCCTTATATAATATCTCAAATTTTTGAAAAATCTAAAAGTAATATGGAGAAATGATTCACATTTGATGTACACTTTATATTTGGATGACATTTTCATTTTTAATAGTTAAATATACTTTGTGTTTTACCTATTTGAAAAAAATGTCACCCATGTTTTTGAAGATGTGTTTGATAAATCAAAGTTCATATCATAACAGGTTAATGAATCAAACATTGAATAAGTTTTATAGTTTTTGATGCAATCCTTTACAGAAAGAAGATGTTGAATCTGAAGATGATGGAAAGATCGAAGTTGATCTACTGGCTAAAACTCTACCGCAAGGAACAAACCATACCCCTGAAATCCTTGATGCTGCTCTCTCTAGCTTACCAGATCGGTAGGATTTCTTGATTAATCGTTCACTAAATTTTGGGAATTGTGACTAATGAACATTCTAGCCTTGAGTATAAGTTAAATTCATCTGATTTGAAAAATTGAATATGGTTTCACAAACATTCATGCAATTATATACATTTTTGTATACAATTATATAAAAACCATAATAACATATCTAGATGTTTTATAATACATTTTTCCTTTATAACAGCTGGAGAAATTGGGTGATTCGAGGCATTTTTACCTGGTTGATGATAGCTGGATTTTGTCTTATTATTTATGGCGGTCCTTTAGCACTGATGGTCACGGTAAATATCTCAAATTTACAATGTATCGAATGAAACAAAACTTATTTATATCTTTTTAAGTGTATGTGTATCTAAAGTAACTTGCAACAATTTTACCGATAGAAGTTGTTATCTCTAGTAATGCATTTCTTGCATATAAATAGTTTTACATTTATATTATCTTTCGTAAGCCATGCAATTATCATATTAATGATTCATACTATTATTATGGCATGTATGGCCATTTGGTCAACATCTATAATTTTCAATCTAAATATTAATTCTTCAATACTGATTCTTACATTTCAATAATTGATAACTTTCCTTCATCCCAACAGACTCTAATCGTACAAGTGAAATGCTTTGAAGAGATCATCAACATTGGTTATGCCGTGTACAGAATTCACGGTCTACCCTGGTTCAGATCTTTATCATGGTATTTCCTGATTACGTCTAATTATTTCTTCTATGGGGAAAACCTGATGGACTACTTCGCCGTTGTGATAAATCGAACGGTAAATAATCCTTACGGATGAATCTGTTACATTCACATTGCGGCAAATATAATTAAATTTACCAGTACCCCGCAAAGGTGTGTCTCCCTTACTACAAAGAGCTCTGGCATAAAATCAATAATCCCACCAGAAGTATCATCCCTGTATTTCCCATATGGCTTCCTCTACCACCTGTTGGGGCTTCCAATATCAGATGAAATAAATGGGATGACTTACTTAACTTACTGCGTAACAATATACTTAAAAAAAGCAAATTAATAAAACAAGTAATATTTCTTTTTAGGGATATCTGCGCATACTGGTAACTTACCATCGGTTCATCTCATTTTGCCTGTACATCGTTGGTTTTGTTTGGTTCGTTCTCTCTTTAGTAAAGAAGTATTACATGAAGCAATTTTCTCTCTTTGCTTGGACCCATGTAGCACTGCTAATCGTCGTGATGCAAAGTTATTTGATAATACAGAATATTTTTGAAGGACTGATATGGTAAGAAATTCATTAATCTTATTACGTTACGCATAAACGTCGTAAAAGTTAATTACTATCTCTTAATCTATATCTTTACAATGTCACTTTAGGTTCATCGTTCCCGTAAGCATGATTGTTATAAACGACATGATGGCTTATGTATTTGGCTTTTTCTTTGGCAGAACGCCACTGATAAAGTTATCACCTAAGAAAACTTGGGAGGGTTTCATTGGAGGCGGTATTTCGACTGTCATACTTGGATTATTGGTAAATATCATTGAGCTAAAATAATCATAAATATTGGGATTTTAATAAAACCATTTTCTTTATTTATCAGATGTCGTATGTCATGTGTCAATATCGCTACTTTGTCTGCCCAATCGAGTACAGCGAGGCTTTAGGCCGAATGACTATGGATTGCGAACCGTCTAGCTTGTTTCGACCGCAGGAGTATACTTTACCAGAGTGTTTACAAACCATAACGAAAATGGTAATTATCTTTGGAGTATAATGATCGGGAGTGAAGTAGATGGACTCACTATATCAATATCCTTTTTTGTAAATGCAATCTAAAGACAAATAATTGTGTTGCTTGTATTTACAGTTTAACTGGAAATCAACTGTGACTGTGTATCCATTCCTATTGCACTCTTTATCCATGTCGGTGTTCAGTTCCGTTATTGGACCTTTTGGAGGATTCTTTGCCAGTGGATTTAAACGCGCCTTTAAAATCAAGGTAAGAGTAAAAAAATATCCTTGTTTATCTAGCCTATTGCGTGAGTTCATTTTATACAGGACTTTGGCGATGTCATCCCGGGCCACGGTGGCATAATGGACAGATTCGATTGTCAGTATTTAATGGCAACTTTCGTCAACGTATACATCTCATCCTTCATTCACACCGCCTCTCCCCAGAAGCTGCTTCAACAGGTAAGTTATATTATTGCTCTATAGCCATTCTAATTAATATTTCAGTGATAGACAAGAAAAATGAATGCATAATACTTGAAAGATTTGAATGTCTTTATTGCTAGTAGTAATTGCCAATTAAAATAGCAATATTGTTTTTGTTAAGTAAGTACGTAAATCGTTGTAAATAACTTTGTAGTCTTTGTTACTAACATCACAATTATATAGGGCTGGCCTTTGCACTATTGGCATGGTAATCCTTGTTGAATTTTATTATTTTTACAACTTGAGTATTAACTCTACATTTTTTCATTTAAACTCTTCTTTTGTTTTCATATATCTTTCAATTAACATCTCCTCTTTGTTTCTGTTCTTCTTCATTCTTGCATCGGGATATGAGTAAACTTTTCATTCTGTATGCAGTGACAATATCATTGAAGAATTGCTGGCATCGAAAGCAAAGTTTCCTTAGATCCAACTTCACTGTACCTATCCTGATTCATGCTGTTTATGCTTCTTTATTTACAAGCCAGCCCTTAATATCCATTCTGTACTATTCGTACAGAGCGACTTAATTCTGTCTCAGGTGTATAATCTCAAGCCCGAACAGCAACTACAGCTGTACAACACCTTGCAAGCTGCGCTGGAGAATAGAGGCCTTTTAAACGAGTCCTAAACAGTGTCAGCTACCGAGGGTAGCATTGATTTTTGTTTGGGACACCGATGCTTAATGTTGTTAATTGGAAGCAGACGACAACGTCACGATTGTCGAGACGGAGAGACCGACCGTAAGATACAATAGGAATAAATAAAAAAAAGTCACAGCAGTAAAAAGAAACAATAACCTTAACTAACAAATGACTTATTTCCTCAAGATATTATTTTGATTACGGAAACTCAGAAAAGTTTGGATGGAAAAAAAAAATAAGCCACAGACTGTAAATACACATGTAACACTAAAGAGTGACGATCACTCACTCTCAAGAATTTACTCCGACCACATCGTATATTATTATAGCATACGTGAAAATATACGATTACGCGAACTATCTGGCAAAGTACAATTGTATTGTGGATTGCGTTCTTCCGGTTATTATTATCTGTTCATTTCTTTTCATCCAATCGATAACCACTGTCATCGAACACTTCCGTTTCCGGAGTCCGTCGATCCTCTTAACAGCGTGAATCATCGGCTATCGTTCATTAAATTCATTCATCAAATTAGATGCTTATCTATACGTGACTAACAATTGTCTGTAATCATAAGATAAAATGATTTCGTCTATGAAATCGAAGGGAACCCTAGTTCAGGACTATTAACAAAAATAATTGTTATAAATGTTTATTATTAACGTAATTAACTGTCCTTGCAAAGCCAATCGTCATTTTGTTTCTTTAAAACAAGAACTTTCCATAAAATTGTATCCCAACTGTTTCCCATCTTCTAATTTCTCATTCGTCTTCTCCTTCACGTAGCATTAACAGCGATTAATCAATTTTCGTCATACATTCCGCATTTTGTGTTTTCTCTTTGCGTAGATTCTTTCTTTGAGAAAACTGTACAAAACCAATCGGTCGTTCTTTCCATTATGAAGCTCGATCAAGTACCATTGGTATCATAATTAACCCGAGGCCGTTTTAAAATCTCACGAGGAACGTACCAAAGAGTGGAAGTTTCTAATGACAAAGTATCATATAATTTATTGATCGTAGGAAGGTCAATCAATTAGGAGTGATTATTTGCTAAAAGGTAACAATGAAACATCGTGGGAAAATTGTGTTTTGATTCCAGACTATCGATAGTACTTAAAACGAATTGATCGAGCGTAGAATTCGTGGATCTCATTTTCTCGTTTGATTGTGCATTTACGTTACAGTATAGATTACGATGATTAATATGATTTGAGTGAGATAATGATATTATGTATTTTTATATCTTTCTCCATCCTTTGATTTTTTCTTCGTTCATTCTCATAATGAAATCTTAGAATAGAATGTGGTTAATCACTGTTGACAAGAACGGTACTACGGTATTGCAATCTTAATGTGAACAATTCGTTGAGAACTATTTATTGTTAATTATTGTTTATTCATTATCAATCTCGTAATGTTACTGTTTCGTCGTTTAGTAAGATTACAAAAAAAAAACCATCATAATAGTCTGCGTCGAATAATACAGATACATAGTATATTAATATGTCTATTAATCATGAGGACGTATTGCCAGCATCTTATTATTGTTTCACTAATTTCGATGTACATATTAATTTACTGCTACTTTCATTCTCTTTTCTTCTCTTGAATTTTTTTTATCGGTTCTGGTTTTGCATCTGTGATCTGCATCAATTGGAATTCTTTAAGAACCTCGAGCGCGACGTAATTTCATTTTCAGGAAGATCATTTGAAATTGATTGACGTGTATGTAATTCATGTCATCATCTACTAATAATGTGGACTGTTATCGTGGAATCCTATTTACCTCATCGTAGTATTGTTTATCCATATTATGGTGTCTAGAGTGAATTCGTAGAGAGCGAAATGGTCACTCTTGTCGTTCATGGGAATCGTCTTAGCTGCATTGGGGATTCCCTCTAACAAATTATCAGGAAGATTAAGCGTGGGTCACATTAAGTCATGAATGCAGAGAGAGAAAGAGAGTGAGAGAGACAGAGAGAGATATAATCATAATACACATGTTACAATTATATGTCTGTTTTAAGCTGAATGTACCGGAAGCTTTATGGTACGTTGTATTTATGTAGTGACCAAGATCAAGAATAAAGGATATTTATGGAGATGTATTTTTTGTTGTTAGCGTCTGTACAATTGTATTTAGCATGAAAATAATGTTATGGGTCTTGTCCGTTACTGTGTTTTTAATTTATGTCAATCAATTTATGTCATACAACAGAATGATTTAAAATTACCGAAAAATGTTGCGCAAATGTCACCTTTTGAATTGAATTGGCACCCTAGCGGATTTTTACCGACCTAGAGAAACCGTTTGCAGTGACGTCTTGTGGATTTATTTGGTACTAGTAAAAAAAAAGAGTTCGTTACCCTGGAATTTGATTCTGGTGAAGGACGTAAATCCAATGAAACAAGATGAAAGAAGAAGCAATCCATTTACTTCAATGTCAAATATTTATAAAAGACACTGAATCGCACTACGAGCAAACTGGAACTACACAGTGAGCGGTCCATATAAAGTCTAGACCGACTCTAATGAGTGCTCTGCTCGATGTTCAGTGTGACATGATAAATGATTATGTGTCGAACTGTATTATTATTAATGGGAGAATTTATACGATTGATTTTCCAACTAAATCCCAATTCAAGTTTAACCTAGCTTTAACACTGTGTGCAGGTAAGACACCACGAACAAATTTGAGTTATGTAAAATCACAATTTTAACATTTCAATGCCACTCTTTATATCACAGTGTCGTTCAGACTCGAACCGCTCACAAACTCTTCTCATCTTACTGAGTCGCTCTGAACTCTGCCGATGCTTGTTCTCTTTGAGGAATACAGGAACTAATTGGAAACAGACGTAAGAAGACCTGTACTCTTTCGTCACTCGAATGTGAATGAGCATCGGAGCGGAGAATTATAACTTATCCATTCATTCAATACTGCCGTTAGAAAGAAAACACCGCGAATGGCGGAAGCACGAGCACTGTCATGATGGCCTTGGATTTGTTTTACAAAGTTACGTATTAAATTGAGCAAATAACGAAAAGGTACGAGAACAACTGGTCGTAAGCGATATCCTACACAACGTATGCTCCTTGCCAGTTGTTAATATAACCCAAATGCCTCTGTTACCCCATCTAACAGTACAGCTGTTATGAAATCGTATTAAAAAATTTGCTTCACGAAAAAATAAAACTAATGGTGATTAGTTTGACGGAAAAAAGGATACAAGACCGCTTTTAACTTTTCGCCACGCGTTACATTAATAACGACTGATTGTTACGCATGTTGGTTTCAATGCGATATCGAAGAGAAATAATAAAAGAATATGGAATAAATATTACTGCATGTGAGAAAACTGTTTATTGCCGTATACTTTGATCGGAACGTGTATCGCGTACAAAAAGCATTCGTGATTAATAGCAGTGTCATTTTTTTTAGCTGTAAACAAAGTAATTTTTTTACTTCTTGTCGGAAATCTCGTGGCCGTTGTTGATACGTATCCTGCCAAGATAATGTTCGAGCGTATACTGGAGATATAAAAAGGTGAGAAGAGGCATTCAAAAATATCCTATTTTATCAAGGATCGTTACACACGATTGGATCGTTCTGACTGTTTTAACCAGTGCAGTCAGTTAATGTAAACGTCGACACGTGGAACTAGTGAAAAAAAATCGGAGATATCAAAAGAGGGACATTGCTCGATCAAAGAGCTAATTAGGGTGAAACTTAATTTAATTAGCTAATGGACTTCGTAGGCTCTCAATATATAGTACCCTCTGAAGAACTGAAATTGCAATGAAACCGATAAACTAGCGACATTATCGCAAATCAGTATTATGTGACTGATTATCGCCCAGTTGTTGTCGATAAAAATCTATAATGATTCTTGATTAATAATCATAAGCTTAATTAGGCATCCTTACCCCATATGGAAGTCTTATCGTATATCGGAGCCGTTCGAGAAAAATTGTTTTGATTTCATCCAATTGACTGATGCAAATTGACATGCAAATCAATGAGAACAGAGATTATCTGTATTTGTAGGACAAGATGAGTTTTTCTTTGTGATGCTGTGACGAGGAGCTTTCTGACTTGATAATTTGCAACGCGTTCTAATTGGCGAACCACTTATGTCCCTAGGACTTCCGGTTATCGTCTCGAAATCCCCACTGGGAAAATGTTCCTTCAGTAGCTCTTCCAATTTCTTCGACAAATCTTCGATCTTGGATAGTCGTTCAGTATCATTCTGTAATAAATTAATGCTTGATCTTCGCTTGCGAGATTTTTTATCATTATTTCTACCTTGAAACAGATCCTAGAGTTGTATATGATCCTTCGAAAATCACGTACAGCATGCTCCACTTTGTGATAAACACGATTTTTAAACTTGTATCCAATTGTTTCAAGAAACAAGGGACACTTGACTGCTTTGTAATAATCTTCAATCTGCAATATTATTGTAATTACAATACTAATGGGTAATTTATTATTTACTAATGTCATGTGATATTAACTGTTTTGTTAGAAGGCTGATCACTCATGGTAGTCGATGGTGGGTACTTGAAGATCTGCTCTTCATCCAGCTGCCAGATAGTCTGATGAATACTTTCAAGCTTGTTAAGAGCCAGAGGACTGAGACTCTGCCTTCTTCTGGAACTGTACCAAACGGACCAACCTCTGTCAGAACTTTTGTTTTTGTCTGTAAGCCCAGAATTGTCCTTCTTCTTAGTCGTCTTTAATCCAATTGTCTTGGAATCATCTTTCAATATTTTCTTAGGAAAACTCTCTTCGCTGGGCTCTTCAACTTCTCTATGAACTCTTCTGCCGGTTGATTTTCGTGATTTGTGCATCATGTAAGATCTATCCACATCTTTACGTTGGCACTTCTTACCAGTTACTGGAATTACAGTGCTCGGTACTGAAGTATACTTCATTTGCCTCCTGGAAGATTCTTTCTTGGATGACGTACTCAAAGTCGAACGTCGTACCGTTTCTGAATAAGTGGCACGACTTGGAACATCGGTACTGTCGGCTGTATTTCTTGGTGACGTTTCCCTTGGTGTGCTAGCACCTAGACTTGGTTCCAGTTTCACAGTGGTAGGTGGTTCATCTTCTTGTATTGAACTGTTTGACGATTCTGAACTCTCCAAGTCTGGTTCCTGTCTTTGTTTGATACTAGCATTGTTCAAGGTCCTGATTAACCAGGAGTCGGTCTTCACGTTGGTCTTACTAGACTTGATGTCCATACGTGACTTAATGCCTGGTGATAGTTTACAAGTCGACCCGGAATCATCTTCGGATGCTTCATAGCTAGAGGCACCATCATCGACACATTTAGCCTCTGCAGGCTTGGGTATCGTAGAAGCCAAGGATTTTGCTTCCAGTGCCTCAATTTCAGGTTCCTTAACGTTAAGTGCTTCCAGTAAAATCTCAGCTGAGGCGCAGGCCGCTTTCCAGGTGACATCTTGTCGTATATCCTGGAGCGTAGAATCGCCCCGACGTAAGATCCTTGGAGAATTCTCCAGGGAGTACGTACGTGGTGGAACTATGGATGCCGCTGTGAAAGATATCCTACCAGAAGTGGCCCCACTTCCGGATGCTCCTAAGGACTTATCCTTATTGACTTGAGAATTCCCAGATGACCCTACAGGATTCCTGGATGACGTGTTTTCCGTTCTGCGATTGGGACGCCTCTGGTGTCTCTTTTTGGGTACGTTGTAGCTACCTGGTTTCATGTAAACGCGAACGTCCTCGGAGCTGTCATATTCTTCAACTTGCTGTTGAACGTTGTTTCTGTTGTTGATAAGATTGCAGACATTCCACGGTGCACTTTGGATACTTTGCATGTTTTTCAAAGTCTGTAACTGACGATTGGAATCCATCTGAAGTTGTCTCACCAGGTCCATGGAACTCCTGGACATCTCTTGAGGATGAGGTGATCTTAAACTTCCACAAGCTTTAGTTTCTGGATTTCCCACTGAGCTTAAACAATTTGTGTTTCTCATACTGGCAAACCAGGCTGACAAATTTGCTGTCATCTCTTCTGTGCCTCTAGCTGAACATGCGTCAGGCTCTATTTGACTCAAGAGCGTCATCCTGTTCCTGGGTACTGGTGCTGGTTCAACTTGATCTGCTGGTGGTTTTCCAACGTAAATAGACTCTGTGCCGTTTAATGATTTACTAGTGTAAGGATGATCGACTTTTGATGATTTTATACCGTAATCCATTTCAGAATAAGATTTAGTTACATAACCTGAATCTATTCCCGTGGATGACGTGCCTACGTAGGATTCAATGCCACCTTGTGGATTTGAGAAACTGGCGTCTGTCATTCTAGACATACACTTGTTGCTACAATTATTTCCGTAAGTAGATTGCTTCACTTGGTAACTAGGCTCTATTGATGATTTAGCATTAAAAGCAAAGTCACGTTTTCTATCTCTCGTTGACCATTGCCGTGAAGTTTCTGCATTGCTCTCCATCACTTTGTTTCTCAAATTACAGAATTCTGTGTTGAGAGACTGACGCGACGAACTGCTCTTATTAGGAACCTTGGGCCTGAATTTACTTTGCTGAATACCAGCTTCCGGCTGATTCAGGTTCATATCCGGTACTGATTTCGTGCCCTCTACAGTAGCTCTTAAATTTTCCGTCATAGTCCACTTGCCACGAAGTTTCGTTTCCTTTTGGCACTGTTGAGTATTCAAATATCGAAAATTGTGCACTGTCGATGAAGCTTGAGGTGTATAGTGCACAGCATATGCTGATTCCTGATTAGTTTGATTAGCCTGAGTAATTTCAGAAGATCGAAAATTATTGGAACTTGACAAATTGACGAGATCGTTTGGTGTATATAAGGAAACGTCGCCAGGAAATGAGCTGTTTGAGAATTCTTGTCGATTCAAATGTTCTACTGTGTTTGGTGCTGTTTCTTCTAATTTGAGAAAAGTTTCTATGACATTTCTAAGCAGCTCGTAAGTTGTGCTTTCCCAGAAATGAAATGATCTGATTAATTCACTGTCATACTTCTCAGCAAGTCCAGTGTAGTATTGCTTATTAAGATAATTATCAAGAACCAGCCAGCCATTGCTGATACGAATAAGTGCATTGATAAGATCACGTATGAATACTCGATCGCCTGCGAAAACTGGAAAGCAAGTAGAGGATTTCATAATGGCAGTCCTTGTGGCAGAAGACATATTGGATAACCAGTGACGTTTGGGGTCTTGACTGTACTTGGCAGAATTTAAAATATTTTCAGCCTCACTGCAGCCCCAATAAGTGGTCTTGCGAATGAGCTCAGGAAATTGCTGATCAGATCCAGGATCCAGAGTCTGCGTGGCGACGTTTCGGAATCCGCTAGATCCCATTGAATATTCCGTAGAAAAATCTGCAAACCACGTGCTCTTGTTAGAGATATTGTCACCGGCGCCATTAAAGAGGTTAGTATCCAAATTTCTATCTTCTTTTCCGAGATCATTGGACGATGCTGTGTTACAGAGAGCGGAGACCATTTCCTCAGCTTCAATGGTAAAGTCGAAACTGGCTGAAGACTCGTCGGAGTGACGTTCATCTTGGTTTTTGGTAGGACTACATTTTTTGGAAATTGAATTATCCTCGCGACAGTTGGCGTTATCAAATATTCCAATTGACGAATCAGGATGGTTCATTTTGACAGAAGACACCCAATCACTGTTTTCCATTCTTGAAACACTCTGTAACTTGGTGCAACCAATGACTGTCTTATTCTTAACAGATTTTAAGCTGGGGGCTGCTTCGATACCGGAAGTGTGCTTGTCAACAGGTGGCGATGAACTGCCGAAGACCAAACCAATTGGAGAACTTGGAAATATCTGAGCTGATTGAACAGCCAGCGGTGCTGATATTTGATTATTGGAAAATGTCGTGACGGCATAAGGAGCGTTTCCAGGTAGATGAAAAGCTGCGTTTGGATTTCCTGTCTGCAGACTGCAAGCATTGATCGCGGATATATGATAAAAGAGACTGTGAGGATGTGGAGCTGGTTGTCGTTCCGATACTGTGCAGATATTTTCAGGAGGCTTGAAATATGGCGGCGTTATCAGGTTCACGCCAGAGTTGGCGTAGTGCTCCAGGGTAGGATAAGGGCCATGGGCGAAGGTAGATGATGCAACTAGGAATTAAAATAATTCTATCTACGTATATAGAGCATAATGAAAAATTTGAGTAATGACACGTTGTTTAGTACCATTTATATAAAAAGTGTTAAATGATCTGCCAACCTTGGTTTTGTAGGGATGCAGGACTGGGTGGTCCAGCGTTACGTGCAGGAAAGATACAGGATGGATGCAACGTTGCAGTACATGGCTGTAACGTGGTTATGGGACCATAGTGAATTTGCTGCTGATGCAGATGAGATGACGGTATAATCGATGATGACGATGATTGTAGGGAAGGTCGATTCGATCGTGCCGTTGATGGGTTCATGATTTCTAGGTTAATTATTGCACCTGACTTAGTTGATTATCAGCTTCTACGTTAACAGGAAACATTTTGATTTTTTGACCGTTATCCCAGTTAGATGTTTTTTTAAAAATAATTTAATACTTTACCTGGTGCATGAGATTTTTTTTAGACTGGGTGATGATTCAGCTGCTTGTGACATCGTGTCCAGGGGTAAGGTGAGAAAAAAGCAAAAAAAAAGGGTCCACAAGGTTTTCGATCAAATGAGAACTTTTGAAAGTGACACAGAAAAAAAAACGCGGGAGAGAAAGGCAAGAAAACTTGAATGAAAAGTCGAATGGCGAATCAATCATAAAATTCGCATCCGGATTGCGCAGAAACTGCACGAAGACATTCTTGATCTGCTAATGAAAGATCTCAAGTAATACTTCGAACTTGGATAGAAATCAAATCCCCACAAGAGAATTCAGTGAGCTCGATGAAACGGTATGTGAAAAAATGGCAGAGCGAACTGTCGGGCCTAAAACAAATAAGTCTGACAACAAAGAAAAATAATATCTGAATTAGTAGAAATGACTTTCAATTTTTATCAAAAATCATTAGGCTCCCCTTGCCGTGTACTTTGAAAATTCAATTTCAAAATGGCATCCGTTGTCAACCATGTCGCTGCTGAAAGTACCTCATATACATATATTTCTCACACATATGTCGTACAACTGTTCCAAGTCTACGATGACTCGTATTGAGTAATTATTGATTTTACAATTTGAAAGTATTTAAATTACTTTAAAAATAATGCGCAATATATCATCCAGAGAATGTGATAGCTTTTCCATTTTCAATTTCTTCATTCGACATTCTGCCAAAAAGTCATTCCCGTATTGCAGCTTACTAATTAGCTATTTGTTATTTGAACACTTGAATACGTCTTAGAATTCTAGCTGTATAATTTAATTGAATATCAGAAGAGTGATAAAACTTGTAATTGAATCGCATGAAAACGTATAACTAATAAAAGAGTCTTTTCCAGCTTGGGAAAGATAAAAATTAATGAACTGCGAAGATTTGATTCGTTATCGAAATTTAAAAAATGGAGAATCCTTATGTGGTTACATGAATTTCGCGATTGTTTAATGGAGTTCCATTATCTTTCTTTTCTTCGCGAAGAACGGTTGGTCCATTATGATTTTGTGACGCAATTGCGGATCTCCTAGCTGCTCTCACCATCCGATTTAGATTAATTTGTATATCGTAGCTACTATGGGTGGATTAATAACGTGCGAAGGCGGCGATGAGGCTCCCTAGGAAGGAGAGGATCATGAGGGTCCAAGATGTCGGAATCGAAGTAGTCGCTGCGTTGCAATAATCTGTTGTACAGCTGCAGACTTCTTGGCGACCGCCGAAACCACCTCTCTGGTAGCAGCGACCCTTGTAGGCCGTCTCGTCCCATCCGCAGCTTCTGATTACCCGGGTATTGGCTGGCACTTTAGAAGAAGGTATTATCACATGAGCAAATTTTACCAATAATAGATAATCATGAACATACACCGTTATAAATACTTACAGCCATTCACGCTGAACTCAATGACCTGGACGATCTTTCTGCACATAGTATACTTGGCACCCTCCACGTGTTCCACACAATCCTTCTTCAGGGCATCCGGAAGAATGTTTTCGGCGCACTGGCTGTTATTATGACTATTGCATTCATAGCAATGCAGAGCATTGGTACCTAGACAAAGAATAAAGTATAACTGAATATAGTTTGTTTGCAGCAACGAAAATTTCGATTTTATTAAAATTTTAATACATAAAGATGAATTTTTATTTTATAATCTACTACATTGTTATAAAAATTCTTATATCTCTCTTGTTTAACATCTTTCACGTTAAATATTTTAATACAGTTTATTATACTCATGCATTGGTTATCAGGTTGACCCGCGGTGAGGTTAACGATAACGAGACACGATAAGTTTAAGAATCTTAAATCATGAACTAATCCCAATTTGTTTGTTGATATTATATTATTGTATATTATTGAGTAGCGTATCAGAAAGGCGTTGTTAACATTTGTAAAAATTTTATCACAGTGGCCATTTGTGACATAATCGGATTTGTCAAATACGGCTATTAGGTTAGCTTACTGATCTTTTTTTCCACCGATATAACCAAACGATGTACTTTTTTTTTCAAAAAATTGTACTTTCAGAGAATTGCATCTTTCGAAGAACTGTTTTGGAAGAACTTTCCGTACACGTAAATTACAGGAAATTAAACTCGCCCGTTCATTACCAATCCGAGCAATTTCCGGTAATCATTGTGAACTCATGTTTAGGAGCTGACTGACACCAATGTTAAATAACCCATATTCGAAATTGCCAGTAGCTCATAAAGCGATTAAAAGATGTTTTTTATACACTCAGAGGATGGTTTATCCCTGTAATAGCAATTTTAATGACTTTGTCCCATTTCATCAGAGTCTATATGTCCAACAAATGTAATGGAGTTCAACGAACTACCAGAGTTACTAGCTCAGCCTGCATAAAAATCAATGCAGCTACCTAGAAACAAGGTGACATCATCAAACCAGGTGAATGTGGGTGACGCGTTAGGCGGTTCAAAATTTATATATAAATTTATAACAGCAATACGCAAGAACTAGGTGTCGTTAGAATCTATTAGATTTTTAGTAACTTTCATAGTATTTTTTAGTTAAGAACGCATTTTGTATAAATCCGTAAAGTTACAATGTCAATCAAACAATATAAAAATTGTATACAACAATATATAATTCTAGAATTTTCAAGTACCCCCTGTCATACTACAAATGGAATTTAATTATTAAATAAAAAATACTTTAATCAATTTTCAATCAAAATTTATATTGCGTTCTTCACACCAGTTATTGCTCAAACAAGTTTGTAAAGAATAATATTCAGAAAGTTCAATTAAACTAATTCTGTGTATTACTTAATAGTCAGATACTGATTAGATAATTTGATTCTAATGATTACAAGCGGGTACTCTACAAGTCAGATATATGAATAACGACTCCTGCCACTAGACGTCGCAATACTTGGTCCAGTGGTGACTTTCGGGAAATAACTTTGTAAAAAAAGATAGCTTCTTACAAAAAAATTCAAAAGAACGTAACGTCCTATATAATACTTAAAAATATTATAGCACCTACCGAAATAGCCTAAAAGGCAGGTAGCCACAAGAAGTATTTTCACGTTCATTTTCACTTTCTTAATAAATTCGTAACAATAGCTCACTGATAAGATATTTGTTAAAAGCAAACAACAGCTGTAGGTATAGTACACAGGGGTGGATAAGAGGCCGAACTCCCGGCCTCGAAAGCTAGAATCGCACTGTTGATCCCGGCGCTGGCTGATACGGAGGCGTACCACCCCACATCGTAACGACTATTCGTGCTCTGTAGATGAGTGATACTAGTTGAGAGAGAAAGAGAGACAAAAGAGATTCATCTCCTCTCTTCAGACCTTTGTATCTACATTGCAAGTTTAAGCGGAACATTCATGAAGACCGATGCCAACTGGCCTGTACCAGAAAAGAACAGCTGGGAGACGCTTTGAAAACCACCGGAAACGATTCAGGCTTGAATTAATAAAAAAATTACAAACCATATTAAGAACAATGTTCCGATTCTACTATTATTCTATTTTTAATAACTTCTTATTGGCCAATAATAAGAATCTAAACATTTATATTCTTACGTATGCACATAATGATTTTTATTTTGATTCTTGTATTTTACCCGTACGTCTTTCTATGGTTCCTATAGGCATCACATTACACCTTGAGTCGTTGAATACTGCCGAACGGACTAGCTAAATAGGAAAGGCCGTAGGTGGTACATAATTTTACGTTCAAATGGAGTGTAAAGTGGTGACTTGTGAGTACCGGAGTACTCCTCTGAGTGGATAATGTCTCTTTTCCTGTGGCACAGGAACGCTATACGAATCGACACGCACGACGAGTACAGGAAAGTACATAAACCTTGTAGGCCCGATCTGGCCGATCTGTCATGTAACAATAGGTTAGATTTAGTAACGTACACGTCATCTGATAATGGCTGGTTGTCATGAAAGACGAATAGTTATATTGATAGAAATAATGTGTGGCAATTGTAAGAAAGTTATTATACACGGTGATAAGGAATTTACGATTATTACTTGTATTTAGAATAATTGTTGAAGTCTCGGTGTGACTACTCCTTATAGGTATGCATTTTATTAGAACAGCCATTGGTTTATTGTAAAGGTAAATAAATATGGATTGATGAAAAATACCATGACTATGGGATTTTAAGATTGCGTGTAGCTAAATTTATATGATTAGTATATGTATATTCCATGACGTGAAAGCAGCGCTAAGCATTGCTACGTCACTCCCAATTCACAGTTGCAACTCTACAAATTTTCATCCCCCTTTCGATTACCGTTCGTGTGGATTCCATTAAAGTAATTTGATAGATTAGAGGATTGTCCTACATTCCCTTGTAGTCAGGAAAACGTTTTATTAATTATTTTGTACTCGAATCTTGAAACGTACAATTTTTAGGTTAATTGAAAATTTTTTAAATTATTCAATAGGAATGATTGAAAAACCCTTTGCATCGTGTTACGTTATATTAATTAATTAATTTTTATGGCACGAACGAAAGTAATATCAACAAAATTTAACGCGCGTTTATAAGGACTTAGGTCGACTCTGAGCGCCGTTTAACGTCGTTAGCATTTCAGTGCGACATTGCCGGTCCGTGACATACTTTAAATTAATATAGTGCATGCAACACTAATAATATACCTTCATGCAGATACGTAGAAATTAAATGATATTTATTAGCTATGGTGATATTAATTTCGAAACAAACTTTTCGTTATAAAAATTCAAATGTTGTGATTTCTCGATCTAGGGATTTTTTTTTTAATAATCGGCTAATAAAACTCACTAGAATCTCTCTTCAGGATGGAATAAGTGCAGGACAATGAAAATCATTGTGACGGGAATTAACTATCGTGAAGAAATTTTAAAAGAGTATATTTATATCGGAAGAAATTCCATCTCCCGGCATATCATTCTACTTCGACCATATTTTCTCAGGGTTTATTGAAAGATTATCATGTTCCTGTTACGAAATTAGACCAGAGGGATCACCAATCAGGTCTCGCAGATTTGCAACGTGCTGAAGGTTAGAATAACCATAAGTTGACATTTTCAATCGTGCTGGATATCCATAAATCGAGTTCCCGTTTACATAAATAATATTCTATGTCGTATATAATTTTTAGAATCATTAGGATAACATATTTAAAACTGACCGAGAAGATAGGAAAGATCACAAGTTATTAACCTAATAACAATCTTTGTGCAGATTAATGAGGATACGGGGTTACCTAAATGAGAAAAAAATCACAATGCCCCACAGCTCTAATCTATTACGAATATTATTGATTCTACTTATTTTTCATAAAAGTAAGTTATTAAAATTACACGTACCTTTTCATCATTTTTCTATACATGATATGTATGTATCAGTAGCAGAACTATAAACTGACTGATGGTAACCATACAGCTTGTGGGATAAATTGAAAGTTGGTTTCCCTGTATGTACGTACACGCAGCGTCGTTAATGCCTAGGCTCCTGAACCTACTTTTGTCTCTGTCCCACTCATGTAATTTAAATGGGCAAACTCAATCGGTAAGTTCAGGCATTGACGACTGTAAGTGTACCATGTGGTCTACTGTCGGTATTACCGGACTGTCTATAAATAATTTAACACGAATTTACGTTATCAGTGCATATAATTAGATAATTACTAATATGATTGACCCATGTATGTACTAAAGCATGGCGAGATTTATTTATTATGAAATTTTTCAACTATTTGCTGTTAAACCTGACGATGATAAGAAGCATCCAGAGGAATCGAGTGTTATCAATGCAGAAGCGACAAGAACGATGAGTGCACCAGGGATAATGCAGACATCAAGTATCTTCAAAATTGTCCAGATTCCTGTAATTACTGTCGAAAATCCACGAATCAATGTACATTCCTCTATTATTTAAAAAAAAAATTATTCATTATTTCTATTTCACGAAATTTTTTTTCAGATTATTTTACCGATTCATCGGAGCTAATAGTTATAAGAGAATGCGCAAAATTATGGACAGAGGGAAAGGAATGTTATCGTGGAAGGTATACACGCGACAGTTTTCAGTATATATGTGAATGCAGAGGTTCCGGTTGCAATCGGTCCTCCACTTCCGTATCCAGTTTCTATCATATTATTATATTCCGTCTCCTTCCATTTACTTTATTACCGTATTCGTTTCTATAGCAGAATTATTATCAGCGCGTGATCGCCGTAATTAAGAGTAACGCTATGAATAATTAAATATACGAGATCGTAATGAGGCATTGAAAAATTGTTTATTAAAAAAAATTATAAATCATTAAAAGCCTAGGATGTTGTTCACGAGTGATTTAAATAAAATGAAAAAGCAATAAACAATAGTTAAACGATCTAATTAAAAGGTCAAATTCTTCCATGACCTATCGATTTGTCATAAATATTTTTGGCTCAACAACGTGTAGCGTGTCGCACGTGAACAAAATTTCATGCTTAATGCATGTAAATTATTTTTTTCTTTCCCCAATGACGTGAACGATAATACTGAATATTTATTGACAGTAGACATGACGTCATGTGTCATTTTATCGTTTTAACCCTTAGTTTTTGCACTCTATTTTCTGTAGTAGAATTTGTCACGCTAGGGCGAATATATATTGATGGGAATTCGCACCAGAAAAAAGAATTCAAAAAAATCATCGAGCTACCCTTTCCGCCTGCTCGTAGCTCCGCCATTTTACTTCCTACAGCAACGAAAACCCATTTAGCCCATTGTTCTAGGGAGAGCACCCTACAGTAGTTCCTTATATACCATTCGTAAATGTGGGTGGCTGTGTCATTTCCTACCCCACATGGGTATTATTATTTGGGTCGCGGCAATGTGGCGCCGGGACGCCTGGGCGTCCCTCCATTGCGTACTCTTTATTATGTACCCAACTATGCAAACAAAACACCGCCCTCTTTAGCGTGGTCTAAAAAAGGAAAGAAAAAAAGATATGCAATCGGTAGCGAAGTACGATCAATTTGTAATTTTCAAAATAAAAAGAATGAGACAAAGTGGCGACACAAAAGAAAACGTACATAACCTAGAATCGTAGTAAAGATCGATTCGCATGTTGTAGATAATTATTTTCGTGTATGAAAAAAAGCTGCGAGTTTACCAAGGACTACGGTAATCAGTTTAGCTAGAGTTATTACGTTTAAGTTGAACAAAAGTATTCCTTGTTCGAAAAGTATTTCAGTCGTTCGATACCTTGAAGCTGACAGGCTCATCGAGTAACGGCGTGAACGTAGCCGTGCTTAGGAGCCGTTGAACGAATGCCAAACTCGGAATCAGAATCTCTCTAAAAGGGTTGGGAATAAGGGGGTTTGGAAAATAATGGATATCATAATATCCAGCTGATATTTTTCGCAGTCAAGATTTATAGCCTAGTCAGCCATCTTCTGCGTAGTCGGTTAGCTTGGACGGGGAGAATTGTGCCTACGGTAGAATCTGCGACGTAGAATCCTGAGATATCTAGACTCGACGAAGTGAGAAGAAACTTCGAAGTCTTCGCACGGAAATATATACACATCTATAGTCAAAGTGATGAATGCATCCAATAGGTGGAAGAGATAAGTACCCAGTTCTCATAGATAAGAAGAATAACACGAAGTCATTGAGAATTCGCCCAGTCCTGGTAAAGGAAATAAAATTCGCTCGAGGACGTTCGCTGAAGCTTGCGAAAACTTTTTAACGTGAACAACAGGTAAGGTTTTTTTTTTTTCCATTAAGGTTACAGTTGATCTTTCAATATGGAAAAATTAATTTTTCAAAATCTTCGTTTGTCATCCACTCACGAAATTGATCTTCCTGTAGATCTTTGTACGAATTTATATTATTTTCTGTGTCAATTTCATTTCACAGTACACGATATGGGCTTAGCTCGTCCACTTGGGTTTACCATGAAAATGTCTTGTTTTGATTCTAGTCGGCGATACTTACGCAGTGGTACGTGACGCCAGGGGACGCTGGAAGACGCGACGTACGTCGACGCCACGAAGAGCTTGGTAAAAGTTATCCCCAGAATTCCCCTAGTGTAATTGCCGATCCCGAAACTGTGGGGCTAGACTAGGGGTGAGCAGTGGCGACGTTGAGGGTGGCGTCGACGCTCTTGTGGGCGCCGCGGCGCCAGGCGTCTCTCACCTCCACCCACTGTCCTTCGTAGCACAGTTATCTCTACCACGAGGCATCATACACAAAGCCACCGACCAACCATACTCGCTGGTATCGATTTTCAAAAAAGTTCCAGTAATTTACATTCAATTTCCTCTTCTAGTTAAGAATCTTCTAAGCACCTTTTTATAATTTCTTCATCGCGTTTTGAATTTCATACTTTTTATTCGACGTTTCAAGAATATTTATATGAAATTTCAAAATTTTTTATTGAATAAATTAATTTTTACGAAATCTTGGAAAATATAATTCTTAGCACGGGCTCCTTCGATCGTTAATAATTTACAAGACAGGAAATAATATACTTTTTTGTCTGGAGTATGTTTATAGGTTTACACGAAAAGGGAGATAATGATAATATGAATTATAAGTTTATGAAAAATTATAGAAATATTTTTTTGATTGACTAATGTATTTTTTTTATTGAAGTGACGAGAAGTTGCGTATCTCGAGTGCTCGTAAGTCTGCGAAAGTTGGCAACGTTGCAACACATGAATCAGAATGTACGCAGGCTGTGTTTCAAATTTAAAAGATAATTTGACTATTTTGCGAAGTGTCCTGTTTCATGCAACTCGTGTTCTTCTTTTCACATTGTGTTGCGTAGACATTTTTTTATTGCTAGGTACGACTTATAACTTGAGAAAGACATCTTAGTATGGTAAATAAGAGAATATATACTTCCTACTAGAGGCGTTAACTTGAATCAAACGAACGTCTGAATAGAGTTTGTTGAATTGATAAAATTTTAAGAAATTGTTGTAAATCACTTAGAAGTTTTTTAAAATTCGCTAGTAAATTTTACAGAATATTTAATAATGTTTAATTTAATACATTGCTTCAGTATCTCAGTTGACTAGTCTATAGGTAGATGCGCGTAACAGAACGCTACAAAAACAAAGACATCTCGACGTACGTGACACGTCTTTCCAGCGCAAGTGGTTAAGAGGGTTTTTTGGGTTATTAGGCGTGAAGTAGGCAATTTTTAGATCTTTTTTTTTTAAACATAACATGATCTTAAAGACACATACATACATTAAACACAGTTTAAGGAATACGAAACCTTTTTTTCTTAAAAAAGACAAATAATAAATAGCGCTGGCAGATCACCAGCAAAAAAGGTTGCTAGGCGGAAGTCCCAAGTCTTCGTAGGATGGCTTTAAATAAAAAATATCATACATTTTGTAAATCTGCATAATAACGCGCGTAAAGAAAATTACCAACGTTGAAAATAAACAATAATAACAAAATGGTGATTTTTGAAAAAAAATTCATTTTTGATGAAAAAACGATTCGACGCTTCTCGCTAATTGATTTTAAACTATTACGCATTTTGGGTCGGTCGCAGTGTACTTTAGTCTACAGCATTACTTTATATCTTACAAAAACTTTTTCTTGTATTCTGCAGTAAATTTTTTCCATTACATTTTTTTTTAATTTTCATATCCTGAAGGAAAATTATTAGTTTTGTTTAATTTTGTGTCTCTACACGTCGTAAATATCTTGAAAACTTTCGACTACCTCGTCGATGAGCAAAAAATTGAAACTCAAGGCTTTGTCACTGTTTCAACGATCTTTCAAAGTTCATAGTAGGAAGTATACACATAAATGCATACACGTATACAACTTTCAAAAGTAGAATAGAAAACTAGAGTATAATAAACAATTCATTCACGGGTTCAATGCACTTTTTTTTCAGAATTCACAAACAATGCAAATCTGGACAAAGGACACGTGGGTTTTTATAGAATGATGAAAGTATATATGCTAAAATAGAGAAATAAAATGTATAGTCGATCCACGAGATCTATGTGTCATTTTGACAGATATAATATAATGAAGTCTCCAGTAAGTCACACGTGGTTCCGTATACAATTTTTGTGACGTGTGCATACACCTGTATAATTTTATACTGTGATATATTGTATTTTTCTATTGTAGTAGACAGTTCCAGAATTCTATGGAACACTTCGTGCGATTTGCCAAGGATTGCATTGCTTAAGAATTGTGAAAAAAAGAAGTACATCGAACTCTTGAACCGACTAGACTATATCAAAATACAAGATAAAAAGACCAGGTAGTATTTGAAACAGACCTTGAACAATAGTGAGGGTCCACGTGCCGAGGTCACTGTCTCTAGCCTACACACTACTCGTTCCGAATGTTAAGTCGAATTCTAATTTAAAATTGTACAAAAATATATCTGAAACCGGAAAATTTTGAAAAAACGTATAAAAAAGAAATATATGATTTGAGCCCAACCAATCAGAAAATTCCCATAATAGTAGCTCGATTCGAAAGAGACGATACACTATTCTAAAAATACAAAGTGCTAGAACAAAAAAAAAGCAAAAATAAAAAAAAGCAGCAAATATTATACTGGAATTAAAGCATTGACAAATTTTGGCATATTACAAAATCGGTATCCCGATATTCAGTAAGTATTCAAAATTACCGTATAATACGAATCGGAATCCGTGCCAAAATCAGTGAATTCCCCAGCTCCACTATTTTCCTCGTTTTTTCCGTAAAACGAGACAATAGTGACTGTCGCCTAGAACGTGCGATAATTGAATTTTCCCCAAAATTAAAAAAAAATTCGTTCAGACTCCATACACTCCATATACCAAAATATAAATCAATAATTAAAATAATCTACACTGAACCAAAGTGGAACCAGAGATACAAATAAAACAATAATAATAACAACATAACAATTCCAATCGATAATTCGATCGGATCAAAGCGTATCCAGGATAAAGAAAAAATAATTTCTACGTTGTTCATAGACTCCACAAAGTTTCCCCAGCGAAGTCCAAGCATAGTTTTCATACTGTTCGGTTATATAGGTATATATAGTACCACACCCTTCTAACTTCGTACGTCATATATACACATATATACAGTATACTATATACTATATAGTATATACTCGCACGAACAACCCTCTTGGTCCTAACATTATGCCACGTGTACGGCTACGCAGGACGAGCATCTGTCATAGTGGGTATGTTCCAAAATCTTGCTCTTGTACCGTAGCCTATCTGTCTGTCCTTGTCGGACACGTATCGTTAAGCAGAGACAGGATGTATACTACACAACGTACAGAGTATATTTTGGAATGTACCCATCGACTATAGATAGAATATAGTCTAACAGTTTACACGATATACTATATATAGTACACCCTGTTATTCTATTATAGCATATAGGTAGGACTATGTCGTCACTGGACGGATCCACGCCCAGCAATCACAGCGATCCACAAGGATCAAGAGCAGGAGAAATCCGCGCGCGGTGCTGCGCCGAGACGCGAAAGACGCCTAAATGCGTCGCACTTTCAGACGCGTCCCGACGCTCGCATTCTCACAGCCGCGGTCGTCTTGTTAGCTCGAACAGCACGCAACGCTCTCAGTGCGTAATTACTGAAAGTCTAAAGATTTTTGAATTTTAGTCAGTGCATTAGAATACCAAAGCGCTGAGTTTACGTCGGCTGGATTTCTTGCTGAGAAAATTCACGAAATTACTAGACGCAATGGATCGAAAAGTTGCTGTACTGGCTGTCGTATTCGCACTGGCCGTTGGTTCAGGTAAATTTTTTTCTTTTGTAATATTATTTACCAAAGACCACACCTGTGCGTAATTATATACGAGCAGTCGGTCCACGTGTTCCATGTGTTTCTTCTGACAGATTGAAGACAGTGACGTCACTGGCAAGACACACGTGGATCTACAGATCAAGTAGAATTTTGATTATAGAATCTACACGTGTATGAATTTTGCACTGAATATATTTTTTTTTTATTTTAACGTGTAATCTCGTAATTTTATCGGAACGCGTGTCGTTTACTGATAGCACTGATTTTTTCCAAACTTTCTACAAAAAATTACGTGGAATTCGCGAGTCGACTGTATATCGGGTTTGATATTTTTTTTTTTGAAAATATTTTACCTACTTTTCTTTAATATATTTTTTTTAAGTATTTTACCTAATTATTTGTTAATATTTTTATGACGTAGATAACAATTGATATTAAAAAAAAATTACGAAAGTATTCGTTAATTTTTTAATGATCCAATATAGATATAAATACTCTATTGATCGAACGATCCCCCTATCCGAAGTGATGTCAGTTTATTAACCGTTCGTGTCAAATGGAGGCGTTGTATTAAATTAGATCAGAGATGCTAGAAATTAACACAACGAAGAAGATGAAAAGAAAACGTCATCAATTTCTTCAGAGTCCAATTGGTACTCGTAAAAAATCATTATTAGTACTTATACGTCATTTAAAGCCCTATCCCACTCGTCATATACGCAATTAATGTTCTATTTAACGTCTTTGCCTTTTTTTTCCCCACGACCAATAAAGGGTATGAGATCATGGGGTAGTGTTTCCGCAAAACAAGGGACAGGCACAAGGGGGATGAAGACTTATTCTAGGGGCGTCGGTTTGTCGAGGGTGGCGTCGCGACTTTGGCGCCGCGTTGTCGCGACTCGCATAATTGAGCCTATGTGTGCCCATAGAAATACGTATATGTATATATGTATATATATATATATATACACACTATAGGTGTACATATGGATATACATTGTTCAGAACTGTAAAATACAAGAGTGATTCCAAATGGCCTATGTTATATATATATATATATATATATATATACACACTATAGGTGTACATATGGATATACATTGTTCAGAACTGTAAAATACAAGAGTGATTCCAAATGGCCTATGTTATATATATATATATATATATATATATACACACTATAGGTGTACATATGGATATACATTGTTCAGAACTGTAAAATACAAGAGTGATTCCAAATGGCCTATGTTATATATATATATATATATATATACTATATTAACCCTGTATATAGCGATAGGATCAAAGTATATAAGGAGTGCTTTATTTACTATCACGAGCCCATATACCTGAGACCTTTAGGGCGACTTTACAGATGCACACTTATACCGAGTCCTAATTGCGCTAGTACATGTAAGATGTGATAGAATACACCGCATTAGCTCAGTCCAGGAGGTAAACTAGAGAAAATCTATATGCGAGTATATATAGACATAAAATATGGGAAGGGCCTGAAAACGATGATTCAACTGTATACATATAATGTAATGTATAAGGGATTACGCGAGGAACCTTTAAAAGTTGTATTATTTATTTACAGAAAGGGTTAGTGAATATTTGCGAACGAATAGATATCTACTTTATTAATGCTTTACGTAGAATGGGAATATTAAAAACAAAAGGAACCGCTATAGTTTCTTCGTCTCTTGGAGATCGTCGGCGCTAGAGTCCCTCTAGTGAGAATCCGGCTAACACCCGAAGGAACGCCATATTAGGGCTCATTCAGACCGAAAGCAGCGGGAAGCGGGAAGCGAGCAGCGGAATCTTAGCTGTGAAAATACATTTTCTGCCTTTTTATGTTAGCTGGTCGTATGAAAGCATTAAGAAATATGTTATTTACCTTAATTACGTATATAGAGTCAAGTATACTACATTGATAATAGTAATACATAATTTTTCTTAAAACATGACTTCATTACTAAGCAGATTCCAACGTTCAACTTTACGTAGCAGCGAGAAAGTAAAATGGTGATGGCAACTCTACTTCATGTCATGGTTCATGTTTGAAATAAATTTTGAATTCGACATCAGACAAAATGTGTATAGCCCGTGGTATAGCCTCGTTGTATGTTACATGCGTGTAGTCTCCTTTGTTACAATTTAACATCACGACCAATCGCAATATGCCTATGCGTATGTACGTTGAAAAGAGGTACCACTCTACTCTAAAGTTTCAAGCTGCTTGCTGCTCGCTTCTCGCTTCCCGCTGCTTTCGGTCTGAATGAGCCCTTAAGGAAGGGACACCGGAAGGGACGCCATATTAAAGGCTTGTTTGGCGCCACCATGACATTGCGCGCGGATTTTCAAACTATCAATCTTTACCATCAAGAGACTCGGTCGAGTCTCGCGCCAAGTATAGGCAACCCGCCGTACAGGGCTTAACACTACCCACACTACAGAATGGGAATCTCTCCCATAAACGTATTCACACACACCATTCTATACCGGAAAGAGTCCATAATATGGCGGAGCCAATCACTAATAAGTGAATTTTATGTGATAAGGATTCAATGATACAACCCTCCCGTGCTTAATGAAAATAATGTATTTTAAGATGCGCCCGATATGAAGGTGCAATTTCGAAAAATAGCATTGTCGGGGTCATAAGGGTGATTTTTCCGTAAAGGTTATATCTGTCTTTGTCTTACGCGCGCGAACACCTATAAATCCGTCTCTCTCGCACTCACGGGAAGTATAGCAAAACAGAAAACACCGCCAACGGTCAAACTTTTCCATGACAGATCGATCAAGCTTGACGTCGAACAACTTCACTCCGTTGTTTCTCGCGTCTTTAGTCGGGCTTCTTCGAAACGTCCTTTCGACATTGATACCGTCTGAATATGCCTACTAAAGTTTTCTATCTCTTTATAGATGGCGCCGTAAAGTGTTACATGTGCAACACGGCAACGAATTCATCCTGCGGCGATGACATAATGAACAGCAAATTCAAAGCAGTCGAGTGTACAAATGAAAATATAATTCGGTCCAATGCCGAGATCTCGAGTAATCCGTTATTGAAACAAATTACTGACATCTTGGAAACCGACACTCCGCAGCAAGGTGACATCGCATCGCCTGATAAAGCAGCATGTGGCAAGATGAACGTCATGGGTAAAATTGACTGATAATATTTTTTGTACATAACTCGTAGAACGTCAGTGACACCAATTTTATGTTTACAGTGGGTGATAGAAAAGTGACCATCAGGAACTGTCAAATCGCAAAAACGGAGTCGGTCGATCCTTGCAGCACCATCCAAAAAAAGCTTACCGAAAAGGGTCAGACGTCGAACACGAAACTGTTTCCAACTTTGGACTTCTGTAACGTTTGCGAAAAGGATGCCTGTAATGGTAAAATGGGCATGGTACCCAAAGCTTTCTACATGATCTTCCCAGTGGTCACAGCCCTTGCACTGGGCAATGGGAATTATATGGCGTAACCGGAGTACGCGGTTCAATTGGCCAGTGCGCGCAGCGCGAATGTATTTTTATTTTAAAGCCCGTAACGTACCAAAACTATGCACGCAATGAGAGGGATAGTGAAAGAAAGAAAAGGAGACCATGTAAACTGAAATTTTAGCAAACCATGCAAAACAACGCGTTTCACAATCAAGCCGTGTAGTATTGAACATTATCGTGCATCTGTAAGAGGGACGTGATTTCTTTGTCAGTGTTGGCTAAAGATAAACGAAAAAAGAAAAAAAATCAAGAGAAAAATATTTCTGGCTTATTGTAGTCTCTCGTTGAAATAATCGAGCGTATTTCTGTACCGAATGATATTCGTACGTTCTTCATGGAAAGGGTGAGGGAGGGGGGGGGAGAAATCGATAAAGTGTGTGTGTATGGGGGGAGGGAAGTTGAAAAAATGGAAAAGTGGCAAGAGAATAAAAAAAAACTATAAAATATACTATATATAACAGCAGCCCTGCAAGACTGCACAGTTTTTGCACAATTTTGAAAACGTGTCCGACCGACACGCGTAACTGCATAAATTTTCGCTTTTTTATTCACAGTTCATCCTGATTGGGGCTTTTTATATTAATTAAGAGTCAACTATCCTATCCTACCGCCCACAACTCTCCATTGGGCTTTGTATTAACGATGTATCTTATTATGTGTAACTAATATTATCGACACGTGTATACTACGTATATATAAATAATATATATAAAGAATCAGCTGTATGGCGATAAATAATTGTTAATTGTAACAATGAGCGAGGAAAACAAAATTGCCTGAGTGTTCAAGCTTCATCGATAAATTCGTACTAGACTCCATAATAATTGACATCTCTTAATTAAAAATCTGATCTATATTTATCGATGGGTCTTACTACTGTGCTTCAAATACGGTCAGACCTAATGTTATTGCGAGAATGAAAATTATTGTAAGTAACGGAGTCGAGCAATAAATGTGTGCACTGACCAAAAACGCTTTATTTATCACGACTCAGATATACGCGAGATTTAAAAAGAAAAAAAAGACTCTCGACTCGCCGCATCAAATTCTTTAGTCAAGGTCGCTGCCGTCGAGTATAGCCCAAATCACCTGCTGCTCTTACGTAGACACATCCAGCATTCTGAGATGTTCTTTTAAATTATATAGATGTTATTTATATCCAGGTGGCTTGAAATCTGCCAATAAAGATATTTAAACTGCTCCCCTCCTACCCGATCACCCGACTCCTTTACACCAATCGTCTGTCAATTTAGGTTAACCTCACTTACACCAGTGCTAGTCGTATTGCCATACGTCCAGGGGCAGTACTCTGTAACACACTGGTACAAGTACAGAAACACATACAGTAAGTACACGTACTGACTCCAGAAATTGTGTTTGCACTGGGCTTTCGCGTATGCACGAATATTATCTCTGCACGAGGTCGTGTATATATATATATATATACATCTATATGATCTCCCACTTATACCATATCTGTGCCATTTGAATTCTTTAAAATTAGTGATACATTATCTTAGCCAGAGAAGTGAAACACGTCGTGGACCACTGAGGATGTACAAAAATCGAGCATTACTAATATCAATTGGATTCCTTGTTGGTTATGGTACGTATGGTCATTGTATCGTGATAGTTTGAGGAAAAGAAAAATTTATTGTGAATACTTATATATGTATATATACAGTTGATATATTGTGGATTGGCCGTATGCCATATACCTTACTCGACCTCGTGTTGCTCGGCAGTAGAACGTCATCCATGAATTTCCATAATCTTGATATCACACTTACGCAGCAGACACCGTTTATCCGTTTTGGCAAGCGCCTAGTGTTTCGACGAAGGAAATGTCTTGTTAGGTTAAATGATATTTTTGGCGATGTTCCTTAACAGTATACTGCAAGGAAGAATTGTGGTGTCACCATTGCAACGTGGACCTAAATGACGGCAGGAAGGGCGAGTGCAATGATCCGTACATTGCTGGAGGAGTCGCAAACTTAAAGGCATGTCCACGGAACGAGGAATATCACTGTATCAAGGGCATCGTATACTGTGCGTAGTATTTCATAGGATTTATATTGACTTACGTACTCTCATAACTACGTGAGTCATACTAGCGACTACGTAGCTCAAGCACGTAACGTTTATGATTACAGGGAACAGTCTTAATTTCGTAAATAAGATTTTAATAATTCTAGTTGAATATCTATTTTCAGATAAAAATACACGTACCACGGTAAGAGGTTGTGTACCGAGCAGAAATATCCGTGACTATTGTTCCAACGAGACCTTTCCAGAAGCATCGGTAGAGTGTCACTTTTGCAAGGAATACGGCTGTAACGGATCGTCCGGAAAATTCGAAAAATCATTGTGTTCATTTGTCACGTGGATTCTTATTGCACTCAGGATCTTTCAGTATAATCAATGACTCGAGCTCGCTCTATGAAACTCTACCGGAAAAGGCTGTTGACTTTGGAACTGGAAACAATTAAATGCTGTCTTATGAATGAGGGAGAGACGTTGGTTAAGCCTGTTAACAGTGGTAACGTAGTACAGCTATAGTGAAAGGGAGCGGGTTAAATGCCTGAGTCAATTTGGTAATCCCTCGCGGGGTTAAATGCGGTGGTGACCCCGTCAGTAATTCTAGACTAACTAGGCGGAGACCTTACTTCGAATTATTTTATTTAGAGAACAGAATACGAACTTTTTATAATTCTATGCATTCACGTGTCGTATATACAGTACATATGTAAAGAGCAATATTATATTACGATATAGAACAGTGAAACCCAAGCAGCAACGAGATCTATGAAATATGTAAAAATAGATGTAAACGTTGAAACAAGGTTATGTCGAATAAAGAACATTGCTAAGATATTGCACGGATATATAATTTACAATATTTAATGCATAATGTTACGTGATATCTGACGAATGTTGCTTAATCAATATCTAAATGGAGATATCGTTACAATATTTCATCGAGGAAATTTTTATTTGTCATTTTTCTGTGATTTCTTATATATAGTATTCCGAAAGTTATATAATATGAAGCCTGAACTTCATAAAATAGTGAAGTACAGCGACTGGTGCGATCGTATATGTGACTATGGTTTCATCGGTGTCGAATGAGAGTTAAAATACATTGATTGTATATCTATGTTTCACTGATATATATAGATATACAAAATTTACGTATAAATTATTCGACTTCATCTATTTAATTAAACGATTGGTACATTATATAAAATGCTATAAACAATAAATTTGATAGCAGGTCCCCGCACAGCATCAGATATCCCCTGGATATGCATATTTGTTTCAATATCTTCAAAATATTTCTAAAAACTTTGGATATGCAAAAGAATACAGTTTTTTTATGCTGTATGTGCTACAGATATTTAAAATTGTCCGCTTAGTTTCCAATCCAGTACTCGAACGTCTAACTTAACCTACAATTCGAATTGTTGAAAATTTATTTTTTATATTTTTAGGACCTTGGTAAGGGCAGCAGAGCCCAACGATCGGTCGTCATAAGATCAAGATGCATAAACAATTCGCTGGTACTCAAGATGCCTTAGTAAAGATCATTTGTGATGCAAGACTTATTTATTTTTCTCAAAAAAATTGTGCTTTATTTATTCTTCTCTTATCTGTATGTATCGCTATCTCCAGTTTCCCTAATTTAAATGAATACGTACACCTGACGAAATGTAAAATTTCATAATTGAAACATCGAATAGGCATAGAAATAATATTTCACAGATTACTGTGGACGTTTCTATTGACGAATACATATTGCGTAGGTATCCTAGAAAGGTTACCGTAATATCTACTGTTAGTATGGTATGTATTACATTTGGCGGGAAATTTGAATACTATATAGACACGCAACGTCAAGATTCAAATTGGAATTTTCTATAGATATTCTTGTGGATGTATGTAACATTAGTGTAACGTTGTACGGATGTAAAAACGGCTAGTTGGGAAATCATGGTAATTGTGCAACAGCTAAGCGCTCATAAAAAATAATACTAGCATATATATATATATGTATGTACATGTATATATATATGTACATGTATATAGTTTTATGCATACGTTCTTATACATCTACAGAAATTCAATTGCGTAGGAATCTGAGAGCGTAAAGTTTCAATTATTTTATACGTAATATTTATCACGCGCGATGATCGCATTGACTACCGCCTTAATGATCCATGGATGTGATCATCGTTTCGATCATCAGTTAGATCATTATACTACCGTCCTGCGTTATTGTATTCAGAGTGATAGGAATAATATATCTTCAGCATACGAGAGATGGTAGAGGAATTAAATAAAGTGAATTAAAATTACGTGCTTAATTATCCCTACTTAAACCGTGACTCGTAATGCGGATCAGACCATGAATTATTTGGTACATATTTCGCGATAACACCGTATTATCATGTCAATCGAACAACCCTTTACGTACATATATAAAATATGAAATAATTAACTTATGGAATATTTAAATAGTCTTTTTCATTTTCCTATACTTATCATTATTATTAAAATATTCATCGAATATCGCAAAGGTACCGATATACGCGTTAAACTACATAGTGTTTTCGTTATCGAATGCGCTTTTCACGGGAAAAATGTTTCAGAATTTGAAATTTCTTTTAAATAAACACATGTGATAAGATTCACGTTTTTCTCTGTTTTTACTTTTTCAGGAATTCTTTTGCGCTTTGATCTCACGTTTATCGCGTACCTAAAGACACTCGTGTTTTCTTATGTATTCTATCGACTTCATCCATCCTTTACTCTGTCGCTCGCACTCATTGCCAGACTCCGTTTTGGACCCTGTCGTCAGGATCGACTATGTGCTTTTTTTCGCCCCCCCCCCCCTCCTTTGCTCATATTCTTTCATTATTTTACATTCTTTTGGAAATTTTGGAAAAATTCAATTTGACTACTTGCCTCACTTATATGTTTCTCTGATGTACTGCTTGGAAATAACAAATTTGAAATTCATTTTGCGATAAACATCTTTATCAGACTCTGATCCCACGATTCGTATACTAATAAAAAATGGATTTAATCATAAGTAGGAACTAAGTAGCGTGGGGTACTCAAATACCCCAATGTGGACATTCGTTACACGACCAGACAAGTGGACCAGCTAAGGTTAACATTCAACTATCCTAACGCACAGCTCGTACTAGAATTGATGCTATCTGTGCCATCCATGATGGTGTATATGCCTTTTTTCATAATCGAGTAAAAATATTAGATACCTCGAATTTGGCGATTTACCAGAATAACATATGCACAATTGCACACAGTAGGAATGGCAGTATTACGCAAGAAAATAAAATGAGCAATATGAGAATGGTACAGTTAAATGATAATAACTTAGAAATAAATAACGCCAAAAGAAATACTGCGTAACTCGCAGCAGACTATATAAAGAAAAGGCATACTATCTTGAATTTGGATTTGATAATTATTTATCAGGGACTATTTCCACATACTCATACACGCGTACGAACGAATCTCTGCTTGCGACAAACGCAAAATAAAAAGGATATAAATTTCGCGTTATCTCAACTACGTCGATCTTGAATATTTTCACATTTGTTCACTCCAATATTTCTTCGTGAGACTTTCGTTCCTCGCTCTTCCTTGTCGTGCAGCCGGATCTTCTTATCGAACCGTAGTTATACTCTGAGGGGTTCTGGCTTCTGGCTGTTACTCTTGGTACTTATCGACTTTCATAAAAGAATTTGTCCTCTTGTCGTTGGCAACCGTGATTCTCAGTTCGTGGTTCTTCCAGGCGCATAAGTAAGTTTTAAGGAACCACAGGGTAATTCTCGATGGGGTGATCGTTGACAACTACCACGTTTGACTTGTGGACCGACTGGTTGGATTCAGCATTGAAAACGTCTAGGATGATTGTTGGTCCATATCCTCCCAGGCTGATTTCCAGACTAAGCAAATCCTAAACAGAAGTGAATTGAAATTTCTTATTTATGAGGTGTTTGCTATTGCCAATTCTTCAAAAAATATTTACAATCCCTATTCATGTGAAAAATTTAAATATCCGACAGTCAATTTAGAATTTTTGAAATGGAAGTATACTGAAGAATATGCACTAAGTATATAACAGTCTTTTAATCTTAAAATTGTATTAGAAGAACAAACAAACCCAAGACCTATATTAAATTTCTTAACTTTGAACTACGATCACTTTACGTTTATAGTGTATAAATGTATTTTTCGAAAACAATAATTGACGGAGGAATCTGTTAGAAATTATTAAAAATTTTATATAAATTTAATATGCGACGATTTTGATTTTTTATGAAATTTTAATAAACTTTTATTTTATTTTAGTATTGAATTTTTATAGGCTTTCATTTTTTTCAATCAGCTGATTTTATTTTTTATTCAAAAGATCCCATTGTTGTAATTACCTTAAATTGTATGACAGAATGGTACCAAGTACCCAGACTGTCATTTCGTCATACCGATTGTCCTCATTACAATTACTCCATCTTGTGTCCCCTGACTTGTTGCTATTTCTTTTTTCTTCTTCTTCCTCGTGAGTCTTCCTTGCGACGTATTAGACCTTCAGACTCATAGTTCCCTATGGGTGGGGTGAGCCAAGTCATTGTATATCACAGTATAATAGGCTGCATTCTCAAAGGAAGCTCCGAGTGGTACACACTGAGATCTATAAGTTCCAAAAGTAAGGATCAAGCTGTAACTGGTGCCGAATATCTGAAATTCGTGGGATTATCATTGTACGACGAGATATATTTATAAAATAATTCAAAATCGAAGTGATAACACTGACAAGAAGATTCTGTGACAGTGAAAAATATTGTATAATAATCGATTGAGTTTTTTTTTTAGAAAAGTACCACTTTTTTTATAAAATGGGATCTATCGTTGTCGATCATAGAATCGTCCTGGCTGCTTTTCTATTGGCTGCTCTGGTCCAATCAGGTTTGAAATAATAATTTTTTTATAGTATATTTCTATTTTTACCAGGAATTTGAAAAGAGTTTTTTGACATATTCCTGAATCCTGGGATGAAAGTTGATTTTTTGTAACACCTTATAGCACCAGAAACTTATTTTAAACTCCGACTGTACTACTGTAATATTAAATTAAATTTGTTTATTTTGAATATCAAAAATTAAATACAATCTTTTTTTTGTTTTTCATTGCGATAAAAAAAAATTGTATTAAATTTTACTTGTTAATCAAATGCGGGCTTGCGCGTGTTGCGTTCTATTAATTCGTCTAATATCTTTGAAATTCATTACCCACATAGCATATGACGTTATCAGGAATATCCTAATTTCATTTTCAACATTTCAAATAGATAATTAATGCTAGTTTTACGAAACCCGCCAATTTGACGGATTTCAAATTTTATGATTATCTCTTAAAATCCACACAGGTGCGAATTACGAATTCGCACTAGTCAGTTGGAATTTAAAGGTTCGTAATCTAGGTGTGAAATTTAAGATTTAAAGTTACAGGAATCATAAATATTATTTTTTATCAATTTACGTATGTTGACTTTGATAATAAATGTCCGTAAATCTAGTGTTAATATTCTCAATAGAGCCCAGTACATTCTGAAAATATATAAAAAATATTCGTATTTCCGTTTCAAATGAATGCTCAATACATCCTGAGAATCCTCTGATAGATTCAGATTGTGAACAGCATATTCAAAGTGTTCAGTGCCAATCCAATTTCAGCCCCTGAGGTCCTCATGGATTTGGGTACATTTTGAAATTCACTGCCAGTATTACGGGTATCGTTGTTTCTCTCTTAACCTGCATGCAATTCAGTGAGAGATAACAATGTTCGCAGTACTTGACAATAAATTTCCCTAAGTACCCATAGCGTGACCAGGAGCTTGTTTGTATGTCTAAAGGGTAACCCTATTGTATCTACCTATATACCCTTTACTACTGTGCTTGGAACTACATGTTAAACGAATGTCACAAGTGTAATTAAATATTGTAATAAATGTAGAACTATTAGAATTATGGAAAATGAAGGGCAAGCTGATTATAATACTGGTTTGGGAATTTTCAACATTTTTATAGACTGAGTTTGAACAAGCTTTCCACATTGTGGATCTGTCAGAGAATGATTTCATAACGTACTGAATATTCGTTTGAAGTAAACATATTCTCTGCATATACCCAGAATATACTTGAATATAATTTCGTACATGCACAGTATATACGTAAAAACCTCTTTGAAAATTCTTAAAAACATCCTAGAATATAATTTTGCTATCTGGTTTATGCATTAAACTCGTAATTAATTAGACCTATAATTTTATAATTATGCATGCAAAACCTGTTTTTATATCGCGTACGTATATCTTCAAGCTTATGAAGTCGATCATTATACACGGTAGCTATAAACAAAGATCATAATTTTCAAACTAATTTATTAAAAATATAAAATTTGTTTCCGACGAAAAAGAAATCCAATGTAGATCCGATAAATCCGATCCTTACAGAGCGAAGCATATGGAACAAAAAAAAATTGTCAGTCGTAAACAATTAGATAACAATGAAATAGTGTCGCTTTAAGATTAGATCATGAAAAAAAAAAACAATGAATAACGTGACATAAGAAATTGTAATAGCCTAACGCCATCTTGCGGATAAAGATCGTCATTCCCACCCCAATGATAATGCTCGATGAGTAGTAACCATCCAATTACTAGTAATTACAAAAAAGATGGTACTGTATGATAAATTTTTGATAAATTTTAATAAAAAATTTGTATGTATAAAATAATCATTTACAGCATCCGCACTACACTGCTGGTCCTGCTCGTCCGACGCGACTCCCGATTGTGCGGATCCACTGAATGCTACCGAGCACAACAAATTATTCCATACGAAAGCTTGCGAAGGAACAATGTCGCCGCATCATTATCTCAACGAAAAACCTGTATGCCGTAAAACGGTGCAATACGGTAAGTCTGATTCCAATATTATTTCTGCATAAAGACAAACAAATGTCCATGGGATTATATTTATCTTGTTTTTAAACAGCAGCTAAGTTTGTCTCGTTAAAAGTGTAGGTGGTCTCTAACTAATGTAAGGTAGCTACGTTAATGTGTAATTTGAGGTACGCGTCATCGTGGTAACTTAAGTTGCAAGTTACAACTTTATACGCATTAAGCGACCAAGTGTATTCTCGCTTTACAGTCTTATATGACTAATATACGTGACTCATTACAAAAGGACGTGATCAAATGATAATTGGGTTAATTAGATGAGGTTAGATTATTCACAAGGTCAAAAAATTCATCCGCAGATATAATGTATTTACCTTTGTCATTGTTCACCTGCGTAACGATCCAAGTGACCTACATAGTCGCACTGAGTTTGTGTTACGTAAATTTTACACTGTCAAAATCCACCCTGCTACGTATGTATAACCATTAGGTTTGTTCGTCGTTACGTAGACATTCTGCATTCTTTTAAAAAAATGCAGAAACTGTAGGTAACGACGAACAAACCTATAGTTCATGACCATAAACTACGTATACGGTAGATGACGAATCGACGATCGCATTCGTGTCTGCGTTCTGCTGTCACGGAACAATCAAAACTCTTCGTGCCTGACTGTTCAGTCTACATAGAAACGAAGGATGATTATTTCCGGGACCTTGGGACACTAGATTCTTGCGTAACGTCCTTTTACTTCATGTCCGATTAGCAGAATAAAAAAACATCGGACAGTTTCATTCTAGTACGGAAAAAATAGGAAAACAAAATTCGTACAGTCATCGGCATGTTGTGACTCGATGATACAACGTAGCAGTACACGTGCTGGGTACCATTAATTTTTGTATACTGTCTAATAAGATGTCTTAATTTTTAGACGCCCTCTTTCTTACTTTTTTAGTCAGTGGTGAACGCCGCGTTATTCGTGCCTGCAGCGTACCGAATCCTGACGAAAGGGATATCGTCGATGGACCCTGTACACACTTGACTACTGCCAGTTACATTACTATCGAGTCCTGCCATATTTGTAACACTGATTACTGTAACACAGCTACTTACGTTTCCGGCTCCTGGCTTATCAGTGTTGCTGCAATGGCCGCTGCCGCGGTCGGTGGATTTTCTACAATGTCTATCGCAATTTAAGTGACTGTACCTTGCGCAATTGGTACTATATATAAGTGGTGACCTTGAATGAGTCATATACATTTTTCCACCTGGAAAATGGTCAATATGTAGGAGTTTTCTTTTTAATATGAAATGTTTGTCCAAATGGATAATACTTTTTTTTCAAAGGTACGTGATTCAACATTAAATCATTTTTTTTTTTATCGAAATTATTAAGCTGAGATATTATATATGGGTTTAAACCGCGTTTTTTCGCGAAATGAAAACGGTGGGCAAGATTCAATTGATCTGATTCGTGTGAAATAAAAATGTAGGAATTTTTATTATTCGTAGCAATAGTTCTGAAGCCAGATTACGGTTTTGAAAATTCATAAAATTTGGGTAATGCAAGAAAGTAGAATGAAAAACTGCATTTTTCATTGTTATTAAACAAATGGTTAACCTTAACCGTTTTGAGAAACGCGTCCCCATTTTTATACCTACCCGAGCGCGCTCAAAAGTTGCCTTTGGAGCAGCACAACTTATTTTGCTCAAGCAGCTTAAACGTCGAAAGTAATTCAAATCTAGATTACTATTTCGTCTAAAAAATATTTCCAAAAACGATGTATCTTTGAAAATAACTTTAAAATATTGAGTTTTCGAATATGAAAAACGTATGCGACTCCGTAATAGGGCATTGCTAATGTTAGATTGTGGTAGAAAACTAGCCGAGTTTTGTTGGTTCAAACGTAATTTCACCTATTTACTTTTTGAAGTCATTGAAGAAATTTAACGCGTTATTAATTTGATTTCCATGAGAACGACTGGCGCGTTAGCTGAATACTTACTTTAAAAAATATATCTGATCCATGGATCACGGTGCTTGTACGTATTTTTTTATTTTTTATCTACAAAATACGATTTTTTGAAAATGAAAAAAAAACTAATACCAAACGGTACACATCATTGTCATGTAATCGGCTGCTTTTAATTAGCCCAATTGTACCGTGTGTTTATGCCACACTAACGTTTCATGGATTATTCACTGTGCGTGGATTTATATGACATTAATTTCGAGCATGTATAATCGTAACACTCAGCTTAATTAGATTTTCACAGTTATAAGTTAATTTAACACTTCAAATTAAGCTTAGACGTAATGGCTAATATATAATGTAGATATAAATAATTACCTGTACGTGTAGTTAAGTAGAAGAGTGAGTGTAAAATTTGAAAAGAATATTATGAAAGATACTCCAAAAAAAAAAAGAAAAGGAAAGAAAAAACAGACTTACATCACTCTCTAGCATAAACAATAATTAATGCAATAACGTGGATTAATTAATAAACGCAATTCCCTTTGTCCAAGAGAATGCGGATTCTGCGTTATTACATTTCACATAAAGTTTCTATGAGCTATGTTATTATATTCTTTTTCATCTAAAAAATCGTAGCACTTTTTAAACAGCAAAGCTTTAACCCGCCACTTGAAACTTTTGTAGATAAAATTTCGCCAGATTCTCCATAAGTTTCCCTTTATGAGTATTAAACAGTTAAATATTGGTGGTCATGTGTAAACTCAGCATTAATGCCTGGGTCTCTAAATCTATTTTTGTCTCTGTCCCACTCGTGTAATTAAAATGGGCAAACTCAATCGATAAGTCCAGGCATTAATGACACTGAGTGTATGTATATATGTACATACATATAGAACAAATGTACAAGGATAACTCACGGCGTAAAATACAGATGGCGCAGATAGCATTCACTTACGTTTCTACACGTGTCCACTAAGGTATAGCCATATGGTATACCTACATTTGTATAGAGCAAATACTAACGAGTCTTGAGAAACTAGAAGCGTCCGCTTGTCAATAAATAATTGAACAGCTTGTCAGGGAATCCGTCCAAAATGTAGTTAACAGAAGCGAGCTCGACTGTATCGTATCAGCGGCCACGATAACGTAATTAGTATAAACACATAAATAATAGTGAATCGAAAGTCTAGAATTTGCATTATTGTATATAATAGTGCAAAACGATATTTAGCGTGCGATACACGCAATAAAAATATAAAGAGATATTTTTTGCCCACAAGTGTTGAACAAGATACCAGACGCATTAAAAATTTTATAGCAATAATCGAAGACCGACCCCCCCCCCCCC